CATCTTTCCATAAGGCCTGGTCTCCCTTTTTATAACATTTATTTATTAGGGAAAGCATAGAGAAGTTTATTCTTTTTTTTTCTTTTCTATTTTCTCCATTAAGAAAAAAGTCGAATGATGATCTAATGCTAGTGTTTATATAGGATTTTTTTTTTGTCCGGAACCCTAATGTCCGGTAATGATTTTGGACATCAATTAATTTTGAGTCAAATCATATCGGATCTCATAATGGGGGAAGCTCTTCTAAATTTATTTTTTTCATTTATAAAACTTAAAACCAACTTCTTATTTAAAGAGAATCGAATTCTTTGTCACTCGGACCAACAGCCGATAGTATTTATATAGAAAATTTGCTGTACTACCAAGCCTACTTCTTACATGGGGAAAGTAGATTTATGGAATTTTGTTAATCAAATTTTGGTAATCACCTTTTCTCTTCTCTTTTTCTTTCACGTCATTTACTCTTTGTAGACTATTACTTACCACCGAAAGGTATTTGATCAGATTATAAAATTACTGCTAAATGATTAATTATTTCTTGCTCAACTTAATTAATTAGATTTTTAAATTTAAATTTTAGTCCAATTAATTCATATAATCACTTTTTTAATTAATTTTTAATGTTAATGAAACAAATGGATTACAAGTCACATAATGATCGATTGATAATGGTGACAGCAAAAATAATGATGGTCTGAATATATAAATATAATCTTCTAAATTTTGTTTGTAGGCTAAGGTCAACTTTTTAGATCCATCCCCTTAATTAAAGCACTAGGTTATCTTGTTCCTTAATTGATATGACGTAGTTAGTTTTCAACTGTTCTGAAAAAAGTTTAAACCTCACGGATGAACACAAGAAAATGGTATCCCATTTACCAAATACAATTCCTAACCCACAATTCTCCAATCCAATTGCTTCTTACGTCTTTATGTTGCTTCCAATGTCGGTTTGCTTTAGTTTGATGTTGAGACAATGCTAATAAAAGTTATCCCAAAAAAAAAAAAAAGAATATTTAACAACTAAAATCCACCCTTAAAGCAATTGTAAGTGCATGATAAGGTCACTGATTCAAAAAAAAAATTAGAGATTTAATTAAATTCAAAGAAAGCATGCAATAATTCAAAAGTTAAATTGGATATGATTCTTAATCTAAAGGTCAAACAATATCAGACAATATTTTCCATATATAGGCTATATATAACAATAAAAAATGACAAAAAGTATATATTTTCATATTTAGGTACCGTCATTTTGTCTTTTTTTTTTTTTTTTTATATACCAACACTAGACGGAGGTTAATTTAATAGTGCATGGTGGAATCATGTCATAAACCATGATTAAAGAATAATTAATTAGGAAATTAGTGCATGCAGAATGCAGATACCTTGTATCTTTTACAAGGTTTTGAAGCTTATTGGTTGTTTCATAAGACAGTGGAGAGGAATGTATTTTTTTTTTTACGTAAACCAAAAAAAAAAAAAAAGTTGGGTAATCGTAATTAATTTTATCTTAATTAACCAGCATATTGAAGGAATAATTTTTATGAAAAATAGGAATATTAATGTTAGTACGTACTACTAAATTATTTTACAAAGTGGAATTCGTTATCATTTTTTTTAATTTTTTTGGAGTCAACGAATTTATTCCTCACTAATTGGCATCTACTACTGCTCATTTATGTATGTTTAAAACTTATAGAAAATTGAAATTTAAAATTTAATTCAGTTAATCTATATAATTATATTTTAAAAATGATATTTAATAATTTTAAAATTTAAATTTTTTTTATTTTCAAACTATGATCTTTTAAAAAATATATAGAAAATTTAAAATGTATAGAAAATTTTTGGTCGTCATCATTGATGTATGCTTAAACGATGCCAAGACATAAGTATATTCTATGGCACTTTTTAAACATGCCTTAATATTCCATTATATATATATTGAATTGTTAATCTAAATTTTCGGTTAAAGTGTCACTATTTTCATCTTTTACCTATTGACTCATTTGATTATATCTATTAGATAAAAAAAATTGCCTGGATTGCCTTTTTTTTTTCCATGATATATAAAGGAATTTTAAATTAAGATAAATTAATTTGATTAATTTATTAATTTATATATTTGTATCATATAAAATATTAATAATTTATATTAATATAAAAATATAAATTATATTTTTAAATTTATATATAATTTTTATTAAAATTTTAAATTATATCAATTTTATATTTTTATATTATTTTAACATCATATTATCAAATATTTTTAAATTATCTATTTTTTAAATACTGTTTTAAAAAAGAGGGTAGAGGCTATCCGAGTGAGTGAAGGGATGAGTCAAACATCCACTTCGAAGCAATAGGTTTTTTATTTTATTTTATTTTCTTTTTTAGTCTTCAACTGATCAACGGGGCAGAACCAGGACCAGTTTAAAAAGGCCGACTCTAAAATTTATGCAACGTACCTAGCTAGCTAGCCTACCTACTCAATTGAGCGTTGATTTGCATAGGTTTAGTGGGTACAAAAACTGCTTTATAGGCAGACAGGGAGCATCACCATGGGGTTCGGTCCTTTGCCCTTTCCTCGTTTTGTGGCAAAGCTTTGCATTTTTTTTTTTTTAATATCTCTAAAAATTCGCCTTTTTGTCACCATATAAATTTTAGAAAAATACTAAATTATTAAACAATTTGACTGTCCGATTATTTACATAAAATTAAGTTTTGATGAATTTATTATTTATTACTTATATCATTAATTTTTAATTTGTGGATCAATTTCAATTGCTTGAAAAAGTAAAAAATTATTATATATACCATTTGCGGGTAATCATATAGTTGGATAAAAGAAATAATAACATAGATTTATTGATGAATTTTTTAAAAAATACTTTTTAAAATTATATATAATAATATTTTTTTAATATTAATCAAAAATTATTTTTATAAATAATATTAATAAATTTTGAAAAATGTCTATAGAAACCGGTTAACAAAACTCTGACAACATGACCCATAAATTTTATATGTGCTTTAGTCGATACTGATTATCAACATCACCACCTTTTGGCATATATATATATATATATATATATGTATGGATGATGCTACATATTGGCCACTTCTTTCAAATACGTATAAACCACATGACTTTTTCACAAACAAGATAGAGGAAAAATAGAAAAGGACAAGTTGAACGAAGCGAGAAAATAAAAGGCGGAGGGGGGAATTTCAGACGTGACACCCTAAGTTGTTTCCACAAATATTATACTTCGTTATTTGTTTATTTGGGTTTTTGTGAATAATAAACAATTAATTTTTAATAATAATGATAAAGAGGATGGATGGTCATGGAATCTCTCTCACTCAGGGTTTGTGTGATGGATGGGTTTTCGGCCGCCCAATCATGTTGGCCTATGAAAGTGGTTCCTTTGCTTCCTCTTTAAGCCATTTTGTATCCCAATCACTGTCTCTTTCTTACCTAATTGGAAACACTAATAAATTTCTTAATTTTGATACCCAGGCTTTTTGCCTTTTCACCCTGCCTTTTTCTAAGGCACTTCATTTTTTTTGAAAAAAATTATTTAATATGTAATCAATTAAATTTAATAATTTAATAATTTATATAATATATATTCGTGTATTAAATATGTATAAAATATAAAAATTATTATATCATAATTTATGTTGATATGCTTAAATACAAAACATATTTTTTTAATTTTTTTAAATTTATATATGATTTTTTTATCAAAACTTTAATTTATATTTTTTGTTGTATTATTTTCACATTATGTTCAAAATTATCAGGCATATAATCAGTGTACTCTTTTACATTGACCTGATACATGGGTAAAGCTATATATTTTTTATTAAATATATTTTGAAAGATCGATAAATAAATGTAATTAATAAAAAATATAATCATATTTTAGTCTCGTTCAAAAATTGCATTGACTATATATGAAATAATGTTGTTACTGAAATATTTTCAGTATGGTTAACTTAATCTCTGAAAACAAAGAGGTAAAGAAGCAACAAAAATAGAAAACAAGAGGTTTACATATGGAGATTTCCAATTCGGGCAGGCAAAAATGAAATGACTGCTAAAGTAAAAAAAAAAAAAAAAAATTCCTGTATTTGATTTAATATTAAAATCATTTTGTGCCGCCCACTATGCCCCTAGCTCTGTTCATGAATACCATTCATTACATTGAGAGATTTGAGAGTTAGCAAAACAGAGGCCTTGGGTGATCAGGCTTGTGGATTCCATTTACCAATCTTGATTGAAAATGTTCATTTGATTTCATTTGGTATAAGTCGACTGTTCAACAAATTTATGAGTTTTTGGAATATGTTCAAACAATCCAACAGCTTCTCTTTTGTAAAATCCTAGCAATCTGACATAACTATAGCCTTATATTAGTATCAGTGGCTTTGAACGTTGAAGTAATAGTAGTTTTGAAGATAGATGTTTATCTCGAACACACAACTCAAGCTGGTAAGGTTCAGGATTAATGGTGTCCAGCTCTTGTTCGATTGTATTCTTCACCATTTTGTCACTTTTTGCTTTCCAAAATCTGCCACGTTTAGCAGACGGCATCGATACCAATACTAGAATATCGTGTACCCAAGATGGACAGTTCGAATGAATGATCAGTTTAACCATTTCATTTCACAGGATAATTCATTTCCAACATTATATTAGTATAAAATTTGCCATGAGTTGAAATAGTTTTTGCAAGGAAGGGATAGAGAAGCATGTGAACCAAAATGAGGCCTCACTCTCAATATTCTGATCTTTTTTCTTTTTTTTTTTTTAATTTCTTTCTTTAATCCCACCTTTTCTGATAAAGGAAAATTTCCCCAATGGTGGAGTCTTTTCATGGTAGCGTAGGCGGGTCCCATTGGACACAGTTCCAAAGGCTTTTTACCCTCCTACAAATACCCCCCACATTCGCTGCCTCCCATTTCCATCAAGCCATACCCATTTCCATTCTCAATAGGGTCTTTATCTTCACTCACTAAACCTTAATTTCCTCTCCTTCAGCAAACAAAGCACCCCCCCCCCCCCCAGTGGTCTCCTGCAGACCTCTGTTGGACGCTGTTGCTTTTCTCTTGAAAAGGGTAATCATCTCAATTCTATTTTTTCCCTTCATTAATTTCATGCCTTATCTATGTGAATTTTGGTACACCACAGTACATGCATGCCTCTTTGTAACTTGTTATTAGTTGTATAGCTAGCCATCTCCTAAGCTTTTTTGTTTTGTTTTAGAAGACTTTTCTCTCATTTTTTTTTCACTATATGCAGATAAAATTTAGTACAATCAGCCTAGTACTTGGAGATGTCCGCTCCACTTAGCAAGAGCCTGGGCTTATCTTCAGCTTTGAACATCAATGAAGAGGCGATGGTCACCAAGAAGCAAGGCATAGTATCCATTCTTGGACCGGATACTAATCAGAGACCAAGCAAAGCAGCTTCACTTAGAAGAACTTTGTCAGCCGATATGTCCTCCAAGAAATGGCTCACTCAACATGGATTCTCTCCCCTGAAAAAGATTGCATCATCCGACGAATTCCCTGTTTCCATCATAGACTCATCGTCGGAAGAAGGAGATGAGGATTATGAAGAAAGGAAGGAGACTGAAGAAGCACGTGGTCAATTCGATATTTGGACTTCAATTCAACAAGAAAAGAACAAGAATGAACATGAAAAGCCTGTCCAGTTCGATATATGGAGCTCAATCATATCAAAAAAGGCTGAGGAAGAGTCAAAGTCACTTCCCCCTCCTTATATGCACCCTCTTGTCAAAAGATCAGCTGGTGCTTTAAGCAAGAAAAGCCTTGAAATTTGCACCGAGAGCCTTGGCTCCGAGACTGGCTCTGATGGGTTCTCGTCAGACCCTCCATCAGAAACTAGTGACATGGAGGAATTAGATAAAGAGGATGATCAAGAACTCCAACAGCAAAAGCAAGAAAGAATGGCACAGCTGACTTCTTTTGACGCTCAAGAGCCAAGAATTGTGAAATATAACTATGATGTTGGCAAGAAATCGCCACACCGGTCATTTCCACCTCCAATTCCTTCCCTTTCTCTCAAAGATGGAGCATCTGTTCGCATGAAGACACATCGTGATAATGGTAGATTGGTTGTTGAAGCTGTTTCTGTGCCTTCACAGAACAAGTTTCTTGCTCATCGCCAAGATGGTCGCCTTGTCCTCACTTTTGCCAATACCACTCCTAGTGAAGCACAGCCCGAGGTTATTAATGAAGTAATGAATGTTGAAGAAGAAGTAAAGGAAGTGGAAGAGTTAGAAGAAGAGTTTGAAAGCTTTGGAGAAGAAGAGAAAGAAAGTGAAATAGATCTTGATGAAGAAGAAGAAGAGGTTGAGGAAAGTGAGAATGAAATTGAGGGAGTGGCAGATAGGTGTTATGGGATCGAGCAGGCTCCTAAACTTTTAAATGGAGCAACGAATGTACATAGGTTAGCTGTAATGATGAACAAGCCCATATGGTTAGCAAATAGGAACCCGACATGGCCTAAAAGTTTTGATGAAATAGTTAAATTTGGGGAGGAAAGCGAGAAGGTTGAGCCAACCACCACACCACCACTAGCACAGTCACTACCACTGCGGCCGCGGGTTGCTAGGCTAATACCATCACCACCATTAACAGCAGCAGCTGCTGAAGCAGCTTCATCATTCAATACTTATGAGTACTGCTGGAGGAGGCCCAATCAGTCCATGTCCAAGGCAGCAATTCTTACCCCACTTGCTCAACAGTTACCACCACTCAAGGACAATAGCAACAAGCAGCTTATTCTCTCCAAGAATCTAATGGCCAATGATCAACAACAATTGCTAATTTTGAGAGGGAACAAAGGTGATTACTTTGTTCCTTTGTCAAAAGGCTGCAAGGAACCCAGGAGGTCTCTTCTCTTCTGGGAGCCCTATTGCATTGCCACTTCCTGATGATCATCATCCGAATGCCCCTCAAAACACATCAAAATCCATGTCAAATTTGTGCCTATAATTATTGTTATTACTTACTGTTACCCTATCTATGTTTTTTTGTCTCTCCTTGCTTGTTTTTCCACTTCCTCTCCTTGAGGGTGATTATGTAGTCAAAATTCCAAAAAAAAGATCAAGAAAAGGGAGAGAATACTCTTTGGAATTTTGAGGAGATGAAAACTGAAAGACAAAAGAATACTAAACAATATTTTTATATATAATAATAATAATAAAATACCAGTAGTAAATTTGTATGATTCGCTTTGCCTATTTGTATCTAAAACAAAATCCCAATTGAGCACATTATCCGATTTTGACTTGGAGGACTGTCTCTTGTCTGTCTGTCTTTGCAATATGATGGCTCCCTGCTTTCAACTTTTCTTGCTTTCTGCAAAATTCTTAACCAATGGGTTTTGAGCACGGGTCATGTCCGGCCAAACTGATTTTAATTTTGGAAACATAATCATCCATAACTTGATATATGATTGGGGTTTGAACCTTTTGTGATATTAGGTCCAGGTTGTGACTCTGATGGATGTTTCTTCTTCAACAATTTAATTAAAAAAAATGTACATTCATCATGGATTGCTAGAATATTTAATTAGTACTATTTTATTTGCACAAAACTTCTTTTAGTAGGCTATCTTAATATGGAAAATCAACGGAAAGGAACACTCATTTTGTTTAAAATTGTTATAAGATATTTTGTCTATTATTTTATTTGAATAAATTTATAAAGTATTATAGGAAAGATCGATTTATATAGTATAAAATTTTTTAATTTTTTATTTTAATAAATCTAAAGAATATCAAATTATTTTTTTTAATTTTAGTTGTCTCTCTCATTTTTTAAATCTATAAATCATGGATATACATGCATTCATCACCGTAATAGCATTGTTATTTATCTGTTTGTATATACGATTGCAATTGCACACCTCACATGTTATAATCTGTTACACACATCGATTATGGACCTAATTTTGGGCTTGAGGCTTTTTTTTTTTTTAATTTTATTTGTTCATCTAATTAAATGGCTGGTGTTGATGTAAAAATTATTGAAAGTACCATATTACAAATGTTTAATTTTAAAATATTATAATATTAAATAAATAAAATAAATGTATAGATCGGGCCAGGTCCAAACTTAAGGTTTTCAGGTATGGACGGGTCCGACCTATAAATAACTATGACACGTGGACTAGTTTTGAACCGAATTGGACCCATGGCCCGAATTGATAGATAGATGTTAGAACCAACCTGTCGGCCCGATTCACTTCTTTTGCTTCTTCCTTCTCGGCTCTGGCTCTGGCTTCGGCTCTGTCTAAGGGCAGAAGGCAGGCTTGCCAATAGCCATTGAAAAGAGAATCAGTGAAAATACATATAGAAGGAAAGGAAATCAGCGATGGGAGAGAGCAACAGCAGCCTCGATGAGGATTTGCTTCTCAAAGAATTCTTCGCAGAAGTCAGCGAAGTCGAAAGAGATAATGAAGTCATCAGGTTTTCTCACTTTTTCGTCTTTTCTTTAGAATTATTAATTATTATCATTTTCCTGTTAATTTGTTCTTATGCATGGGATTTGTGAGCTTTTTTTAGTTATTTCAGTTTGATGTGTCTCAGCTATTAGGGTTTATTCTTTGATATTTGCATCAAATATGAATTGGGAAAGAGTTTCAATTTTTCTTTTTTTAAATTCTAAAGTTGCTTTCTTTCTGTAAAATTTGAGCTCAAATAACATGCTTTTCGATTGGATGAATTGGGTAACTTTTAAGTTTATATTTATAGTTGTAATAATATGCTTATTGAAGAAACGTCTGTATAAAATTTGCCGCTCAATTTTTCCATTTAATTTTGATGGGTGTTCTTTGTATTTGATGCTGTTTATGAATTCTAGATGATATCTGTTTTGCTGTTTGGTATTAGAATTTGATATAGATGAATGTTTTCAAGATCATAGTCAAGTGGGTACTTTTAAAGTTGGTGAAAGCCCTGATACATAAATATTTAATAAGAGAGTGCTTTGATGCTTTTAATATAAGTATGACCAGTCTTCTATTAGCCTATGCTTAATAGCATCAGAAGTTGAAGGGCATTTGGATGCGCTTCATTCTTACTAACACTGCAAGGAATAGACATACAATGATATAAACTGTCTATGTAAACATGAAAGTGGGGCGCTTAGATATACATTTGGGCGTTTAGTGCTGCAGTCCATGTGAAGCATTATTTTTCTTCTAATTACCATGTGCCTTCGTTGGGAGTACCAGAGATGCAATAGGTACATTATTCTTTTCCTTCAGTAGATGTGTGAATGTTGGATATGTGCTTGACATGGATGCTTTCAGTTTCGTCAAAGCTTATTGCTCTGTTTGGAGGGTCATTCTCCTTATCCAGACCTAGTTTGAGGTATCAGATATGTGGCTAAAATGGGTACTTGAGGGAAAAAAGGAAGGGAAAAAAAAGAGAGTTGCAGCAATACAGCTGCTCCCTCCAACCCTGCTCCTCATTCTTAATTAGTAACCTTTTATTTAGCTGTTGCTACGATTAAAGTGACTGCTTTTGATCGTTGAAGCAACATATGCTTTCTAAAACTGCAATAACTTCCACTATATCTAATATGCATGTATTGTTGCTTGCTTTATGTTCATTGTTGCATCCAAATCCAGAATTTGGGCAGTTTATATTTAGATTAGTGATTTACTTTTACCCTTCATGACATTTATTGTATGACATTCTTTAAGGGCCCATTTTATTTGAAAGAACTATCTTAATCCATGGGAGAATTTACTTTTTGAGATCCTTGTTCCAATACCAAAGTGATATTGGCGTACATAAGAAAGCGACCTGACCATCACTTATTGATGATCTTTGTTCTTAATATTAATGATGCTTTACCTTTTTTTGTATGATTTCTTCTGACTATTATGTTTTGCATCTATCAAGCAGTAACAATTTTGGTTTATTGTTGATGAGCTCCGTACTTCTATCCTCTCTTGATTAACTTTTGGCACAATTAAACTCTTTCCAAAAATTGTAGGATTCTTTCATGCTTCAAGTTAAATCCATTTGAGTTTCTGAAGCTATCATTTAACTCATCTCCAGAAGATGTCAAAAAACAGTATCGTAAGGTATTCCTTTCTTCCATGACCATTTCCTCAGCCATTGATTATTTTGTAACTCAGTTATTTGTTGATTTATTTCATGCTAAGCATTTGTAGTTATCATTAATGGTCCACCCTGACAAATGCAAGCATCCACAAGCGAAAGAGGCTTTTGGAGGTTAGTAGATTATGTTTTACATCTTATATGATGCTCTTTTCTCACATCTGGAAAGCCAGCCATATTAGAACAACTTTAAATATAACACTACCCATTATCAGATTAATTCACTTTTATTATTTTAATTATTTTATATTCCTTGTGGTGCTTGGTAACAAATATTATTGCAAAAAGGAATTATGGACACCCCTTCCCCTTCCAGGACCCACACACAAAATAAAATTCAACATCCTGAAATTCAGCATTGCAGATTCTTGATGGAGATATTTATTCCAACATTTAGGGCTTGTGCTGATTAAATATCTATGGTTTTCTGACTGCATCTACTCTTTTTTGAATGTTTGCTCCCACACCATAAGAACCTGTTAGGAGAAGAAGCATCAAACTTGCAAGTCAATCTTGATGAATTCTGAATTTGGCTGAGTTATTGTCGGGCCTTGTATCTACATATATACCTCATATCTGTTTATCTGTTGTATGAATGAAAAAATATTAAGGATAATTTGTATTTATCAGTCTCTGTGGTGCATTTATATTTATTTTAGAAATATTATAAAATATTAGATTGTCTTAACTACACTGAGTTTATGACCTATGAGCAGCATTGGCAAAAGCCCAACAACAATTGCTTGATCAACAAGAAAGGGATTATATTCTTAACCAAGTTACTGCTGCAAAAGGTAGTGTTTAAATTTTAATAACTTTCTGAGGAGGCCTTATCTTTTCTCATAACATTGGTACTTCTCACTTTAAACTTTCTTCAAAATCAGAAACATTTTTTTGGAATCTTATGGCCTGTGTCATGTACTGAAAGCAGAGTCTTAACGGTAGATTTAGTTTTCACTTTTCTTTGGTTAACTTTTCCTTTTATGTTATATGCAGTTAGTTTGATGAATAACTAGTAAACTTGTCAATTTATAAATCAGAATGATTATCGTGGGGAATATGCAATCATAGCATGTATCTTTTCCTTTTTTTTAATTGAGTTTTTTCTCGTTTTCTTTTTTCTCTGCTACATCAATAAACAAAACAAAACTAAAACCTTTGGTAACTGAACTAAGTTCTCACATTTCATCTGATGCAATGCGCAGAAGAACTTAGAGCAAAGAGGAAGAAGCAATTAAAGAAAGACACAGCTTCTAAGTTAAAGATATTAGTTGATGAGGTATGTCCTTAATATATTTTCCTTACATGCTTTATATATTGATCAATTGAGTGTAATTAGAGTTTTAGCTTTTCATATTTTTGAGGAAGTAATGGATGCTCTGTTATGTCAATATGAAGCCTTGATTGACAATATGTTTTTATGTATGAAGAAATAGTTGCTGTGATGAACATTCTTATTGGCTTTTCTATGTCTGATGTTGCCTTTTCTATGGGATTGGATATTTATTGCTATCCTGTCAAAACCAATTCCTCTAGATTTTTATGCCAAGAGAATAGACTAAGCTAGTCTGTTTCTTTGCAGGGAAAATCTGAGCAAGAATATGAACAATCAGAGGAGTTCCAGCAGGAGTTGAAGTTGAAGGTTCGAGAATTATTAACAGAGCAGGAATGGCGGCGGAGAAAAATGGCAATGAGGGTATGCTGGATTATGTTAATATCCTTGCTTTCTACAGCTGTTTTTATTTAAAGGCTTTGTACCATCATGAGCTAATCACCCCTTTTATGTCATCTAGATATCTGAAGAGGAAGGTCGACTAAAGAAGGATGAAGAAGAGCAAAAGGAGATGTGGAAAAGGAAGCGTGAACATGAGGAGCAGTGGGAAGGAACAAGGGAACAGCGAGTATGTTTTCTCCTTTGAAAAGTAGAATTAACTGCTATTGTACTCCCATTGTTTCTAATAATGGCATTCAATTATTATTCCATTCCAGCTTTAAAGGAATTCTTACTAGGTCTGACATAGAATTACTCTTTTATGGTTCTTGGATAGTTAAATAGCTTTTGAGGCCATGATGTCTGATATCTAGTAGTACTCTTAAGTATAGTTGCAAGTATCAACCAAGTCACTGAAGAAGTGTTTAAATTAGCCAAAATAAGAAAGCTACTTGTTCAACCCTCTTGCTTGTTAAATTGTGGATATCACTTATTAAAAGTGTTAATCAGATGTTGGCCAAACAAATTTTTAAAAAAATAAGTGTTAATCAGATGACAAGCTAGATGAATGCTTCCCTCGACTATCTCTGGGAATAATTACATTTGTGTAGACCTTTTATCTTTTTGGTACAATATCTAGAATTTGTTTTGATCTCCCCTTTCTCTTTACTCGACAGGTCTCAAGTTGGAGGGATTTTATGAAGTCAGGGAAAAAGGTAAAAGTTAGAATGGTCAAAGTTGTTTTTTGTTTTAGGATGAGCAACAATTGAGTCATATTCCAGTTATTAAGGCCAATGAGATTTTCCTAAAGAGTAATGGGTTTTTTTTACAGTCTAAGAAAGGAGAACTTCGTCCCCCGAAACTAAAGACAGAGGATCCCAACAAATCGTATGTTCAGAGGCCTGTAAAGCGGGGTTAGATGGTGTGGTTTTGAGTTTTGACAGCCAACCAGCTAAAAAACTGTTCCTGCGGTGAATGTGGGGCTTTAGAATGTAGGCTCTCAAGTGAATGAAGTTTGTACGAACCCATGTCTCTAAACATGCTTGTTATTATTAAGTATTATTATTGTAAAAGGGAAAGAAAAATATTTAGCAAGATTGAAAAGCTATTTTGTTTCTCCGTTTTTTCACCTTAACCATTCTGTCCTGTGCAACTTTCGGCTCATATAGACAAACGCTCTAACCAGCTGAACTACAGGATTCATTTACTGATTTTATACTTGAATTAAAAACCCTTTTCTTCTTTCTCGTTTTCTTCCCTGAAATAAAGGATTATGGAGGCCTTATCCTTCTGACGAAGTCGCAATTGCTTGGAACAGTGGTTCTCCATTCATTCCAATTGTGAACTGTTTGTCATATTTTAAAATGTCATCTTCAATTAGAACATATGTTTTTTTAGTAAAGAGTAACAGAAGTCCGGGAATTATTGTTGCTGATAAATAGTAAACAATAAGATTTATATATACTAGTAGTAATTTAACTTGAATGGTGTTGCCTTTCTCTTTATAACAAAATTCAACGACACATGTTCTGTAAAATAGAAAGAAAATTTTAGAATAAAGTTACTAAAATAATACGGATTTATATTTGGTAAAAATCTTATAAAGTTCGAAAAAACCTGAAAATATTTATATATGTACATGAATTGACACAAATTCTAATATGATAATTTTCTTATTTTATACATATTTGACACAAATATATACAATTCAAATACATAAATTGCGAGTCTACTACTGTAAAAGAGCCAAACAATTAAATTGCGCTCGAGAGTTTGAGATTGATCTCATCTCCTGGTTCCACAGTTCTTAATTGTTATTGACAGGCCTTGCCCTAATCATATAGCTAATCTAAATCAGATCAGAGGATGTAAATCAACTAACAAATCCTCTCCTTGTCTGGTTATTAATAGAAGCAATGAAAGGTTGACACAATGATGATCAAAACTTCCAAAGTTTCATGTTGGAACAAAAGTTTCTTATCTTCACACAAATATTGCATTGTACAGAGCAGAAATGAGAATTACACCAATCAATAATTCTATGATACAAGGGATGCCCACAAATATATTTTTTAAAATATTATATCTCTCATCATCAAATATAACGTCCTCAAAGGGGGAAAAATATTAGACCTAAAACGAGGAATAAAAAATATAAACTAAATTGGAAAAATGCTACCAACCCATTTGAAGAAACCACCCAACTGGTTTCTACCTGCCTGTAGCTCAATTTACAGAGGGAGAAGCCCAAATTGCAACTTTTCAGCACATTACGGAAAGCAAACCTACTCCATCTGCCATTGATTCCCGAACTTGCATCTTTCATAATCTCAAGGCCTACCATGTGCTGAAAACCGGCGAAAAACCAAAGTAATAAAGCCTCCAAACTTTTAACGGAAGAGACTACAAGTTTGGAAATGCCTGTATATGGCATCATGCTCTATACAGAACACCAGAATCCCCAGGTGTTTGCATGAGCCCGAACAAGTATATAGAGGCAATTGGAAGGATCTACTATATCCAAGCGAGAGAGCCTCGATCATTTGCTACTTGAGGACGACCTCTAGTAGGTGTCGGAGGTCTGTTAGCATTCAGCTCCTGATCCCATAAGTACATAAGTTAACATCACTATTAGAAGCAATGCACGTAGTACAAGTAAAAAGCATACAGAAATAACAAAAGTTTGATTACTGCTAACAAAGAATAAGAGGAAGTACCTGCATCCATGTATCTTCTATATGCTGTCCCGGTGATGCTTCTGGTGATGACATTGCTGGGGGTAAAGGATGAATGAGCTTCGGAACTACCACAAGATCTCTACCCAAAACTAAGATTGCACCAGCATTATTAGCAGTACCTGAAAAATCAAGCATGAAGAAAAATCTAAAGGCTAAATTGTCTGGACCTGACAGACTGCATGTATATTAAAGCATGCGTCAGGGACACACCACAATAATTTGTAGCTGAGAAAAGGGTGATTAAATGTCCCTGGGCAAAGCGCTCAAAGCCATCCATAACACACTCATGAGCACGAACAATCAACTGAAGATCATTGTTATTGCAGAATTCCATAACACGATCAGGCTGCAACAAGAAAAACCATTTACAAAGCATAACATGCAAAATCAGCATTCAAGTAATCAACAAAGACAGTTTCTTGGAAATAGACCTGCACAAGCAAGAGGGAAAAGGAACATAAAAGCAAATTAAACAAGTATTGTAAGTCGAAAGCTTTTTAACTTTCAACGGTATGTTAAAAGATAGCACCATTCCCTCTAAAGCTGTGGAAAAAAAAGAGAAATAGTTTCATGGGTGCAGTAATGGGATCAACCAGCCAGCCACAATTTGCGGGCAAATTGCCCATCTAAGTACTTCCTCAAATATTGAAATCAATACAACATGCAGCTACAAAGGACTTAAAGATGCTGTAGTTTAAGAAAAGTTTTATACTCACCCCAAACGTAACCAAACCTGGACCTCTAGCATTTGGTCGCAACCCTTCCACACTATCATTTTCTGTTGGATCAGACCTAGAGTAGAAAATAGCAGTAAAATGTATCGGCAAATTAAAGCAATGAATACTATATTTCATGACCAAAACAAAACAGTAACATGCTCTGACCATAATAAATCCATTAGAACAATCGAGCCTGCTTCCATTGTAATTGGACGCTGTAGATTCTCAATCTGTTCCACATGATTTATAGACCGACCAATGCCACCATGCATACAAATGATTTTCTTTTCAATTAGAGCAGCCAGAGGAAACCAATTGAATAAACGGTTTATGCGATGCCATGCCCATATTCCATCTCTCTCACCCTGTTACACAAGCCATCAGATTTGTGACTAAAATGTCATACAGAGCATGACTAACATTTTTCTAACACATATGAAACAATACCATGCGTTCAATACACTCAATCCGGAAGCCAAAGAGTGCATTGATATCCGCAGCCTCATGATTCCCCCGAATTAAATGTACATTATTGGGATACTCAATCTGCAATTTTAACAGAATTATATGAAAATCTCAGCTTATCACAACTTCGATAGGAAATAAAATGGGAAAAAGAAGATTATCAAAGCACCAAACTTCTATATTTACCTTCAATGCAAGCAGAAGAGTGATGGTCTCCAAACTGTGTTGGCCCCGATCTACATAATCCCCTAAGAAGAGATAATCGATATATCTGACAGTAATTTATACAAAATCGGTATCAACTAAATAAAATGTCGTGATTAAAAATAAGATGTAACACAGCACGTGCAGATTAAACATAAGAAGACAACAGTATTTGTACATATTAAAAAAGGTCAGTTGAAACCCTTAGTCATGTTGAAACATCCCCAGCAAAGAGCCTTAAGGAAACAAGACTTTTTGCAGAAACACTTACGCAATGTCCCCAGCTGTTGAAGGTGCACCATATTCATCAAAAAGGCGCATAAGATCCCCAAACTGTCCATGAAGATCACCAAAAATCTTGATAGGAGCTTTCAGCTGTAAAACAGTTGGTTCAACAGCAAATATTCGTTCGGCACTTTCACAGAGATCTGCTATTTCATTGCAATCTATGAAAAACTGTCTACGAACTGGAGGTTTCCAACCACGAGGCTTCAAAAGATGTGCAATGACCTGGGCAAAGCCACATATAGACACTCCATAATAGTTTAACAAAAGAATCTTTTCAAGATTCTAGAGAGAAGCATTTTGAAAGATATTATAGGAGCACCACTGCAAGACTAATCGAATTCTTAAGAGAAATGTCTATCAGCTATAACATTTATAAGTATCTCAATGTCCAATTTAAAAACAAATCTGAGGCTCAATGTATAAGAATTATACACTAAATTATTAAACTGGCATATTCAAGAAAATTTTGGATTTCTATCTCCAGTAATCCGATTAGAATGAAAGAAATCTCAAGGATGAATTCTCTCCAAGCCACATAGAACTAATAATGGAAGCAATTTATCAGAAAATCAATAATTAACTTTTTTCTTTGATGCTGATCTGCATTGCTGAAGATTGCAAAGCAATGACTAAGATTTTATAATGCATTGATAGCATGGTAATGAAATCTAGCCTTCAAAAAATCACATGCAAAATATTCATAGCTTTTCCAGCTTTTTTCCCTTTACCCCTTTCCTTTCATATCATGAATTTGAGCAATGACTGATTAAGAAGCCAAAGGAGATTTTTTTCACTGCTTTGGGATATATAGCTTCTGCTGGAAAATCTAGATATATAGCTTTTCAAGCTTTTTCTTCTTTGCCTCTATCCAAGTTGCATCAAGGGAAATAACCACCTCAGGAACAATACAGAACATATATGAGGATAATAAATGTGTGCCCAATTGGATAAAAAGAAGGGAGAAACCTGTCATCTTCACTTGAGGGTTAAAAATGTACTCTCGTCCTAAATTTATTGACTACCGTATCTATAAAAACAAAGATTCATCTTAATTCAGATAACCTCAAAGACTCAAACTAAAATCAATCTCATAACAATATCCTACTCCATAAAGTAAATCATCCAAATAGAAAGAAATCAATTCTTAAGTGTTAAGTGTTTGAGGTGTAGGGCAATAGCCACACCCACACAGATCCTGCTTTTACTATTCAACTCTCCCTTTTCACTTGTAGACACATTCAACAATTACCCCAAAAAAAACATAGGTGCTACTTTATGATGCAAAAAATAACACTATTAGTACCTTTTTCGGGACACTATTGATTGACATCTGCCTATCTAATAGTTTCCTAGCTGCAGTTGCACTCTCAGGAGTCCCATAGCTAACCCGCCTGCCTTCATTTTCAAATTGGTCAATAGAAAGCTGTCTGACCATTCCACCTAAAGCTCCACCAGTCTCTGCAGCTACAACAACCTGTGGGCATAAAAAAAAACATTAGAAACAATGTCATAGGTAACAAACGATGCCAGTATTGACTTGAGACCAGTATCATGTAGATCAAATTTTCTGATACTGACAGCTCTATGGTGAAGCCGAACTCCAGCTGGAGCAACATTATTTGACCCAGCAGAATCAGGCATCTTGATCAAGGTAGACATCTGTTTTCCACTAGGCGTAGCCTCTGCCCCACGATCCCTATCAGGAAGTTCAACTTCTCCGTTAAGTTGTCGTGCCTTGGCAGCAGCAAGTGTGGCACTAATAGCCTCAGCTTCAGCAGCTGATGCCTCAACCAAATACTCAACACCTTTGCTCATTCTCCTGCAATATAAACCACATTTTAGCATCTTCTTGGACTAATTAAGGAGGCTTAGCCATATAACACAAATAAAAACACAGTGGTAACTTACCGAGATCCTTGAAGCATGGCATTCTCCGTGCTTATGTCAGTATACATATCCCCATTTAGAGGGGGAGCTACTGGAGTTCCCAGCACAACTGCTCCATCAGGAACTGCTACAGGTATTGCTTGCCTTGCTCTTTCATCAACAAATCCATACCTTCCCAGTAAGCGCCCTGAATGCACATTAGAAGCAGCAGCTGCAGCTGCAGCATGTGAAGCTGCTGTCGTTGTCTCGGCAGCAGCCAGGTCTTCAGCAACAAGCAGGTCATCAAGCAACACCCCTACAGCATAAATCCAACATATTACTGCACTACTAAAATTACCAAATATTGATTCTCATATTGATTAACACTAAAATAGCAGCTCCTTAAATGCCATGCTAAACGAAAAAGAACTTAAAAATTCCATGAAAACAAAGATTTTAAAGAAATAAACTTCTGTAATTCTCAACCCACAAGATGAATTAAAACTTTTGTAGCCTCTCTTACAACTAAATGTTAAATATGAGAAAGGTGGAGCATTTTCAGTTAGGACAATGCACAGAGAACAAAAACAAAATTCATTCTTCACCAATTTTAAACATCCAAATTTTGATCTCAGGAAGTGGTGAAGAACCAAGGCCTCCAGAATTATCCCCTAAATCATTCTTTGGTCCTTACCACCAGCTTCCAAGTTAATACAAATTCTGCAATGTCCCTGTGTCCTATTTAAATGTTTAATAATGAGGGATTAAACTTTCACAGTTCATACAAGCCCATTTAAGACCATATTTTTATCCCAAGATGGTATGCTTAATCCATCCCATCCAATCCTTGCCATATCACAATCAAGCTTCCTCTTTCCAGCAAATGCCTTTCATCTCCTGCATGCTATCATCAATCACTGCACATGTGTAAAAGATATTTAAGCTGGAACTACAGTGCCTTATCATTAGACTTCCACAAAAGAGCCTGTTGCTTCAACCTTAACAATCTTCAAGCACAAGCCATCAGCCAGAAAGATTTCACTTACTAAAAAACTAAAAGGATAAGAACTAGGAGGATAATTCAATAAAAACAATGAAGCAAGCAATCCGAAATAACTAGAAGTGAATCCCACAATACATCAAATAAGTATCATCACACATACAAATAGTAATTGACAAAATTAAAGATTAAATTAGTATAGGGAAAGACACCATTATTCCTCAAAATATAAACATTAACAAGCCTTTGGGTGACCTGTCATTCTAGGTTAATCATGCAATAGAGTTCTAAGTGAAACTTTAATTATGTATACAATATATAATGGCATATGCATCAAATTGATAACTGATAACTCCATGATGGGGCTAGAAAAAAATGGGGTACACATTGTAGAATAAAAGGCTATCTTACCACCACGTAAACCACCATAAATAAATATTAAGTCACCAACAGCTGCAGCAGCATGTCTGCAACGCCTCGTCAACTCAACTGAGGCATCTCCACCAGCAGCATCAGCACTGTATCTACCTATTCTTGGACTAGTAACAACAGATTTTGTATCACACCAAACTCCCGCAGCAGTATCCAACACTATGAGAAATAGGAAAAAGTTACGAATTAGTAGATTTACAGAAATGGTGTTTCCTTGATGATAAATGGCTGAATGCTCAATGTAATAACAATATCAGTCAACATATTAACAACAAATTAAGACATTGAGCATGCTTTTTTATATTAATTTAACAAACTTCCAGAAATTTATAATGTCTGAGTTCAGGTAACAAAACCTTCGAGCAATAATTAAGTCTTGCAACTTTCTGATAAAAGATTATTCAGATATCAAACAGCAATGATAATTTTGGTTTGTTAGTTACGAGATGGAAGAAGCTAATGAACTCAGATATAACTTCTCACGTAAAGTGGAAGACAGAGAGAGAGAGAGAACAAAAGGAAACAGCTGGAAAACTCTATGTTACAAAAGGATGAACAGCTTTAAGAGCTAAGAAAAGTTGTTCCCTACTTTCTATACTATCATCACATCCTTTTTCAAGCAGAAAGTGGGGAAGTTCATAAAGATTTGACCTGAAAAAACTACTTTTAAACCTTAAGACTTTAACAAGCCTGCATATGATATATAACAGTAGCACAGCACATCACGTAATAAAGAAGTCAAGACAATGAAAAACCAAGATCAAGTACCTGCAACACTTGACAAGTCTTCAACCATGCGTCCACCACCAAATGCCCCACCAGAAACATGGAGCCTTGCATTGACAAAGACCTGGAAACATAGCATGTGCATGTGATTCATCTAAGTAGAAGAAGTCATAAATTGAACTAAATTATTGAAAAATGAAGGACGGGGAAGAAAAGAAAAACTCACTGCTGCATGTTGATATCTTGGAGATGGTGAAACACCCGGAGCAATTGCCCATTCCCAACGGCCATCCCTGTGTTTTGCAAGTCCATATGCACTTGCCAATGGCTGAGAACAGAATTACAGAGAGAAAAAAACCATGAAGAGAGAACGGGCTGAGCAAATCCAATGGTAAAAAGGGATGTAAACATTTCAAAAGAACAAAAAGGACAAAATTGTGACACCATTTACATGGATCTCAGCTCAATCTTTTAAAATATCTTCATTGCTATTATTTTCAAATTCTTCTGAATTCATTATAATAATTCTCTCTCCCTATCTACACAGATAAAATGTATATTCAAAACAGCACCAAGATTTATTCAGATATATTTAAACTTCACCCAACTGAACAAAGAAAAGCTGCCCTAAAGCAATAATAAATGACAAGATAAAACTATAGGTTACGAAATCTTGTGCCATATTGTTTAGAAAACCAAAAATAAAAAACATTAAGCCGTACATTTACTAAATCTAGACACCACACAATGTGGACTTCTCCACTCACCACACTGTTTGCATCCCTCCCTCCACAGAGCAGAAGAAGACCGTCCGATCGTGCACTTGCAGTAGCATACCTAGTTAAACAGAAATTGTCAACAAGGAACTAGTCTACAATCACCTAGGTAAATCATCAAATAAATAAAAATAAGAAAACAATAATCCTAGAGGACAAGCTTGACATCATTGTTTCTGAAAGCATAAGCAAGACTATGAGCTTTAACATGTAATGTTACGACAAAAAACTATAAATATACCAAAATGCCAGAAGGAAGAAATATATATAGATACATTAATAGTCACCACGTCCAACCACATCCATGGTCAAAGATATGTATAGCAATAAATATGGAATCATAGAAGTGACAGTCATTTGGTTCATATCTTGCATACTGCTTCTTCTAAGAGACCCAAAAGTATAAAAAAAATAGAACAGACCATTATTCTAAGGTTGGCACACAAACACAAGTCAGTTGTGTGTGCATTTGAGAGAGAGAGAAAGAGAGACAGAGGGAGAGATTACATGCATGGAGGTGGAACTTCCCCTTCGGGTTCCAATTTACGCCATTCATAAGGCTTAGCAGCAGTATCCAGGGCCCATACGTCAGCCAAAGGTCGCTTTCCTAGAAATGATGCACCAAAATTTTCAAGAAAAGAATTCATTAGAAAATCCCAACATACTTGCAAATAAACAATAAAAAGAAAATTTCTGATAATCTTAAAAACGTGCATGCAAGAAAAACAGCATAACAGATTACTTACCATCATTTCCACCTATTGCCATGAGATACCTTTGCCCCACCAAAGCCATCACATGGCCATAGCGTGGCCCTGGCCCAGGGCCTTGAACAACAACCCTGAAGTACAATTTATAGTCATATCAATAAACGAAGTGCAATTTAAAGTCATATCAAGAAACCAATCTTAACACTACAAGTAAGGTGCATAGACATGCATCCTTCAATGCAAACCTATGCCACCGTGGTCGTTGCTGTGTGAGGTCAAGAACATGAAGATCCTCAGCAGACAAACCAGCTGGACCAATTCCACCCTGAGTCAAAATAAAGCTTCCCATGAGGAATTACTTATTGCAGAGGGAAGAAGTTCAACTAAATAATAACATGGGAAACGTACTAACCTGAATAACGACCATAGTTCCCACAGCAGTAGCCACATGTGCCGCTCTTGGTGTAGGTGGCTCTCCAAAGGGTGCGATCCTTTGAAATTAATTGCATGATAAGTCAAGAAGAATTTAGAAAGGTAAAACAGCAGTAATGAACCCTTAGTCCTAGGCTTACCTAGACCATTTATTAGTTAACACATCATAACAGTGCACATCAGCAGTGGCACCTGCTAGTCCTGCAATTTAATTGAAACAAAAATAAGTTTAAAGCATGATATCTTCCAACAACAAAGAGAATTTCTTAAGAATTAATTTGTTAAAAGGGGCAAAGGGAGCAACAACAACCAGCCTTGACATGCCATATGTTACAAACATATCTGTAGAGGGCCCTGAATTCATATCAAGCCAAACAAAGGTCCTTCTTATGCATTATTACTTGAAATCGATGAAATGTCATTGAGTTTTACACCATAAACAAAAAGACAAAGAAAAAAAAGAACCTAACATGAAACATGATGTATTGGGCTCCAAATAATCCACGAAGGTGCTACCATAGTAAATGCCACTAGATCATGAGTATCTCAAAAGAATGAAGAGAAGGATTTTTTTTTTTTTTGAGTAATAGGAGCATGAATATTTCAAAAGAATAAATAGAAGCATGAATTATAACAGCAGGAAAATATAGGCACATATTTTTTTTTTGAATCAAAACAGGTTTTATTTGCAATATGAGGCAAAACCAGGATATTTAAAAATGTAAGCTAAAAACAGTCATGTACATAGTTTCAACTTCACTTTGAAACCAGGTAAGATGTTTTAAAAAAATCAGTCCATATTAGCACCAGAAAACATCTCTAAAGGAGAATATTTGCAATTATATTAACAGCACTGCCATCTCTACTGGTTAAACCTTTTCACTAGAGAGATTGGGACCAGAAAGAGGTTTTAAGTTTTGGGAGGAAGAAAAAGAATAGAAAAGGGGGGCGGGGGGGTTTCAAAACTCCAGAATACAAAACTGAATCCACAGCACCATAACAAATACTGAAACAGAAATTTCACACAAGATTCAAGAAGGAAGGGATTATGCTTCAGTTCTAGTCTTCTACCACTCTTTAAGACAAAATAACATTCATTTTGAATTGGACAAAACCCAGTTAATGTAAAGTTCATATGCCACCTCCACAATTCCAAGCTACAGCAATGATAAAATTCATTTAACTTGGTATTCAACAAAGAAGAACCTAATAGACAATTATATTACTTCATCTTTTGTTCTGTTAAAAAGCAGCCTTCTACTTGCTTTGGCACCCCTTACCTATCTAGAGTTTTTCCACTTTTGAGAAATAACCACTTTACTCTTTAGAGTAGTTGTTTCTTCACCAATCCACCAAAAAAGAAAGACAGTTATACACCTTTATACTAACAGCAACAATGAAATTAGTTTGGCCTTGCATTACGCTAGGGTTTCTCACCAAATATGAACCTTTGCAGCTACAATTGCTGGGTTTATGCATCTTAAATCCCCTAAGGTTCTCATATGGACATGAATAGCCAAATTTCTATGCATCTTAAAATTTCTAAGGGTTTTTAACGTAAAATTAAATCAAAATGAAAGAAAATAAAAAAGAAGTTACTGATGCCAGCGTTTCCAGCCGCTGATGGAGTCCCAGAAGCAGCAGAATTCCCTTCCAGTGCCGTGGCACCACCAAACAGAATCAACCTGGGCCCAATATACCCAGGCGTACCTTCTTCCCCCACAGCTGCCACAGCCGTTAGGGTATGCCCACACCTAGGGCCGGGTCCGTCTTCTTTCTTCTCTATAATAGCATTCACCACCGAATAAGTGGGCGCACACCTCGGCCCCACCACCGGCGTTTGCGGCTGCCCTTGAGCCGCAGGTGCGGCTGCTGCAGCCAGTTGTTGCGCCGGAGAAGGTGGAGATCCACCAGGTCCCGGATTCGAAGCCTGGTTCTCTAGTTGCTGGTTTTGTTGTTGTTGCTGTTGCTCCCTCTCCATCGGTGCCGGCGAATGTGAAGCTCCGTTGAGATTCTGGTCGTGATCTGTCTCTTGCACCATTGACAAATCCACATCCATTTCTTTAACAAATCGTAAATAAAGTAGGCAGCCTGTCTTTTCTTTACGCTAGTACTCTTTCATTGACAGTTTAAGCTTGAGCTTTGACTCTTTTACTGTTTTCTTACCGAACCTTAATAGAAGAATACCAATGAAGTACGATGCCAAAAACATGTATTTGTAAGTCGAACAAGGGAAAGCCCTACTTCTTTTCCAACGGCTTTCACTTGCAAAACAAGTCACCCACGCGCCGGCTCCCTCGTCTTCTCCGTAAGGATTGATTAGTACTGGAAGGTAAAGATGAAGGGAGAGCTGAAACAAAAATCAAAACAAAAACCCTTAATCGGGGCAAATCAAGATCGGCCACCTAAAATCAAAGCTAATTCGAATTTCCGATCAACATTTTCGAAAACCCCAGCTCAGATCGTGAATTAACCACCTCGTAAGAAAATTCCGCAACACTTTCCAGGAAAAAAATCGCTTATTTTTCCAGGAAAGAGGAAATTTTAAACATAAAAAAAAGAATTTCCTTTTTCCGTTTTCTTTTTTCTTTTTTCTCGTTTGGAAGCTTTTTTTTTTCTTTTTTTTTCTTTTCTTTTCTTTCTTTTATCTCTCTCTAAACTCCTCGAAGCCGACGAGGAACTAGAAAGAGAAAAAACGGAACAGAGACGATCTCAAAGCCTTTTAACAACAACAAAAAGAGAAAGGAATAAATTATCTCACTTTCTCTCTCTAGAATTGTGTTATGTTATGTAAGCCTTTCTCTCTCTATGTTTCGTAAAAATAAAATTTGATTTTTATTTAATTGCCTTTTTATTTTGACCCGGAGCAGCGGTAAAATGATGTACGGAAGGCGTGAGCGCCATCTTAGAGAGGTGAATAACGGCGGAGAACGGGGGAGGGTGACCGGAATGACGCATAATGGGGTTAAAATAGTAACGGTGATTACCTATTCCTATTTGAAAGGAGTTTTGCCTTTTTGCCACCTATTACGGAGGAACTCAAAAATTCACGCGCAATGTTAAGCTCTGTTGTCACGCCCGATGGTGATACAGCAACACGTGGAAGTGCGATTTCCAGTCTGAAAAATAAGGGAATTAGGAGTATTTATTATTTGAAGTTGTTTTGAATTAATTAGATTCTCAGAGCGTTATGACTTTTGAAGCATAGATTGATTTTGTAAGTAATAAATAACAGTGACTTTTAATTAATTTTAATAATGAAATTGAAACTATACTATTACTTTCATTACTTTTTTTTTAAAATATAAATCTTTTTTTTTATTTTTAGGTTGCAATTAGTAATCAGACATTTTATACTATTATATTATAAGTCAATATTAATTTTTATTATACTTAAATTTTATTAAATTTTGTTACTATATTTTTAATTTAATATTTTGTAGAAAAACCTGAATTGAAATAAATTTATCACTTATATTACTAAAATATTTAAAATCTATTTTTTTTAAATAAAAAAATTAAACATATAAAGATAAATTTTTTACTAAAATAAAAACAATAAAAAATTTTAATATTAAATTATAATATAATAATAAATCTACCAAAATTTCAAAAAATTAAGGTTTTTTTTTCGTGATATTATTGCTTTTTTCCTTCTATTTTGGTATTTAATTCTTAATTTTTGTTTGTTTTGAACCAAAGGTGAATATAATAAATTAATAAAAAAGGGTTAAATATTAATTTACAAAAAAATTCAAAACAATAATTAAATAAAACTAATCATTATATAATAAAAAAATTTGGAAGGATAATGACTCTTCCGACCTTTTCTAGCTCTGCTTCTGTTTTAGATATTAATGTTATCTCAAAACTCATGAAAGTAATATTATGTTCAAAGTGGCACTGAAAAAAAGTGCACGTGAAACCCATCCATCTGATAAATTTAAATGGGTGAAAGTTGGCTTTGGTTAGATATTGTTGTATTATATTATTCTCACTATTATGTTATTATTTAATGCTACTAATGTATGATTAAAATTTTGTCGTACACTTATCTTTTATATTTTATTTTTACGTGTCCTGAGATAAAATAAAGATAAAATCAAGTTTTTTTTAATTCGAAAATTAGGGTACATGTGTTAATTTTATTAGATTATTGACGACTTACGTGCCAATAAAAGTTGAGCCCAAATCTAATGTTAAGAAAATGAATTTTATAAAAAAAATATGTTAAATGATTCCAAATTAAAAAAAAAAAAAAAAACAATATTGTAAATAATGAACGAAGGAGGACAATTAGTCCTACCAGGGTGAGGCAGGGAGGATTTTTTTTATAGGGTTCAGGTGAGGTGTGGATCCAATTCGACAGTGCCACATGGACAAAGCCATGTGCCAGATCAGACTTGTTCCCTCCCATTGTTGGGATATGCATGTACATATGATCGCATGTTTTGGGCAGAAGAGAATTTTGATGACAGTGTACCTACTTAACAGCTAATATTATGTGTTAAATTTTAGAAGGTCATTTCAACAATAATTGGGGAGCTTTTGATATATTTATGTTTTTAGAATATTTTCATTTTAATTGATAACTGATTTTATTTTATTATTATTTTAATATATTTATTATTGAACTTGAATTTCACCTGTAAACATTATTAATTAATCATATGATATGAATTTTGTATGGTAGTCATAATATACCTATCACAGAACTAACAATGAACCAATGCAATGTCTGTTTTAATATTATTTTAAATTTTAAAATGAATATTTAATTTAAAATTAATTTATTAATAATATATAAATATAAACTCTAAAAATTTTACATAAAGCATCTTTGAAGAAACAAAAGGTCAAGAATCCAAAACTCTGATTTTAGTGATAAAAAATAACTTTTTTTTATTTCAATATTTTGAGAGTAATCTTTTTAAAAATTAAATTAAATTCTTTTGTAATTTTCGTTGGTAGGCCAGGGGACAAACTATCATGTCAAGGATTAGTGAGAGTGACAGGAACATATCATATGAAAAGAGGGCTCCGGCTGAGAAAAATCTTATAAAAGCATCTTTGAAGTTGGAAGGCATGCTATCCCCTAATCTCTTAAAAAAATATGCCCTTTTTAAGACAATCAGTGATGAGATGCTACCTTTTGATTTAGATTTTAATATAAACTTTTTTATTAGAATCACAATTCATTTTCCTAAAAAATCTTAATATTATCACATGTATTTTTTATATAAATAATTTTTAAATATACTTTAATAGAGTATGTGATAATTTTTTAATTCTACAGAATAATTTATAAATTCTTTTAACGATAAATGAGACAATTTTTTAATTAAAAAAATAATATAAATGCCTAAAAGGTTAAGAGATTGAAGGGATATTGAATTAGTATATTATATATGGTTTGTATACTTGTCTTTTTCTTTAGAATTCAACAAGAGGTTTAGCAGCATATGACTAAATTCAACTATGTTTAATAGATAATTAATAAGTGATTAATTTAATTAGTTAAAAAAATTTTTTTAATAAAACGATTTTGAGTTTGAGTTTCGTCGATGATTACTTATTGAAATTATTTTGAATGTATGATCTGCAGTCATTTATCTTAGATTATTATGTATGATATATTTTACTCTAATTTAAAAGATTGAATAACTTATCTTTCTCTCAATTTTTTTACTAAAAAAAAAATTATGTTTCATTTCATATGGTTAGTTAAAATTTTTTTAAGTTTAATTATGTCAATAACTTAAAATGAAATTTTCCCTTGCATGGGAATAGAAAAGTTAATGGGAGGGAAAGGCTAGGTTGTATGTGTTAACAATTGGACAAGATACAAGGTTATTTTGACAAAAGAGGAAAATAAAATCATGCACATGAATTCATATATGCAAATGACTCACAAATCTAGTGAAAAATGATAAAATGAAACACCAAATATGCACATGCATATACCATATACACATACATGCATTATATCTAAATAAATATAGAATATTAAAAAATATGTCTGTTAGATAATATTAATAATAAAATGATAAAATAAGATGTATAAACATGTTTATAGGTTTAATAAGTTTATGGTATCAATAAGTTTAAACAAAACCTTTCAAAATTTTTATTTTATATTTTTATAAAATGATGCTATTTGCTTATATATTTTGTCGCTCCACGTGTCAAAATTTTATCAAATAATTTAAGGCAAAATCTATCAATTTATGACAAGTAAACTTAATCATAAATATAACACTTAAAATTAAACTAATAATATTTTTTGTTAGTAAAGACAAATTGTTGGGACAAAAATGTAAGATCGATAAATAAAATACTTAAAATAATATTAATAAATTTTTGCAACATAAAAAATAACAAATAGTAGGATAAAAGTGTAGAATCAAAAGCAAAAGAAATCCAAAATAAAAGAAAAATGAAAGCTGCCAAAGAAGAAGTAATATTGAAATATTAAACCAAAGAAGAGAAAGTGTTTGAGTTAAACTCAATGAATGAAATGTTTTGAGTTACTCTCTGAGTATAAATTTGCTTTGAAGGAAACAGAAATCTTTAGTAGGCAATAGAACGATAACTTATATAAATAAATTCCACTTTGATTTTAATAAAAAAAAAAGATGGAGTTGTAAATGGATTTGGGTTGTTGGAATCTCCTACCAGCTAGAGTCATTATCAAATGCTATTTATAATATTTAATTAAATGCCAAATCGAAGGACAACATATTGTTTCTTCTACCAAACAATTTAACTTATCTCTCTAATCTAACTATAAAGTTTGATTTATTTTTATTAATATAACCTTAAAGTTATTAAATGGGCATTGTCGTATGACACAGCTGGAAAAAGAATAGGTTAATTAATTTTCAGCACATTAAAGAGGCTCCAAGTCCTAAAAATATTAATCAATCTATATAGTTATCTAAATAGATAGGTTGTAAATGGATCTACCCAACTTAACTTATTTATATTGTAGCAATTAATTTATATGTGTCATATTGGATATTTTTAATTAGATCATCGACTCTCTCACCGTTTTTTTTTTTATTTTTATTTAAAAAAATGAGATTTAAGTTATATTAAATTGAGTAAGTAACCGTTTAGATCTCATCATACTTTATTATGATGTGATTAAGTTTATCGTATTTTTAATTGAATTAAAATACTAATTTTAGTGACATCAAGTTAACATAAATTTTCATTAAAATTTTCTTTCAATCATAATTATATTAACTTTTTTTTTTAATTATAATTACAATAAATTTTATTATTAATTTCAATCTCATCATAATCAATCTAACTATCTATCCAAATGAAATCTAAAAAAATAATGCAACAATCATTGAGTCACACGTTAAAGTATATTTATCTTTGAAATTGAAGTGCAAAAATTAAATTACATTTTTAATATAATAGAGGGGTCTCCCACGTTTTTTTTTTTTTTAAAAAACTAAACCATTTAAAAAAAAAAAAAGGGAAAAGTGCTAGAGTGTTATAAACACCTAATATTTTCTTCGGAAATGAAATATTCAAATAAAAATACTAAAATATATGGAATATCTATCAATTTTCACCACGAAATTAACCTTTTTCTTGTTTGGCCATTAGTGATTGTGAATATTCCTATGGACCTACTAATTGAAGATTGTTTTTGTTTCTTTTCCAAAAGCAATTACAAATACAATTCAAGAAAACTGAACAATATTTGTAGACGCAATTAATAGAATAAGAAAGAAAAAAATATTCTCAATTTATTCATTTGTTTATCCATTATGTCATTTTCCCATGGATAAGTTTGCATAAGTTTGAGAGGCTTAGCTAATTGGAAAATCATGGAGACTGGAGCTTTCTTATGACGTTGACAAGATTCAATGCTCCATACCCTATACCTGCAGTCGTGAAACCTACATGTACTTGTCTTCAAAACATTGGTAATTAAATTTCTCAATCATTTTTGGACTATCTCAATGCTCCATAATCAAGTTTGATCAAGTCAGAATTAGAATAATTTGATTGCCTTTTTTAGTAAAAGTAAAGTTCAAGGCTTCAATAGGAGCTTTGAACCTTGAACTTTTAGTCAGAATCAATTCCGAATGTCTTGTGAAGCAGCAGCTAAACGTTGAACAAAGGCTTGCTTTCCATCAAAATATTCTGATATTCAAGATGGATAAGAAAAAAAACAAAAGAGTGCAACAATAAGATATACACCAACCAATGTATCTACTTTCTGTTTAGGCCCCATAAGAGGGGGATGTGTATTTTTAAATCAACAAAACTGCATTTCAACCATACGCATGCCTAAGCTGTATGTATATGGTTATCTCTCTTCCTTATGTCATCATCTGTGGATGCTTTATTAACCCTTAAAAGGACCTGAATTCGCTGGCTTTTGGAAGACTCGGACTACTGGCATTCCATCATCATCATTATGCCCAACTCTCCATGATCGATCCTTCTTCCTCTGGGGCTTTTTGTGGTGCTTATGGGATGCATTTGACTTCTTAACTGTTGCCTTCTTGGATGAAAGTCCATTGGCCAGGTCAAAGGAGCTAAGATCATCCAGTACATGCTCCGACACAGGTGTAGCTTCACTTACATCTTCCATTGAATCTTCAACATCAGATGCATCTGAATTCTTAACATCAGACAAGCTTGATTTCCCATCATCTTCCTCACCAAATCCATCAGACATAACAGGTGGTATTTCATAGTGAGGCAGCTTTCCGTCAATGTAATCCTTCAAGATTTGGCGGGCTGCCCTAGTTTCATCAGGTAATCCACTAGAGGCAACATACCCACGCGAAGCACAATAAGCTCTCAAAAATTCAGAGGCTTGAGGAGGCCGAGACTGTGATTCGTATGGCTTGGGTTTTGGTAAATTAATTTTGTATACATCCTCAATAATGTGCCTTTGGACTCTATTAGCAACAACTTGCACAGCCTCCCTGTGCTCTGTCATCCGGTCAATTGGCAACACCCCTGAAGCAATCATCTCATATCTTGAGCTTGAGAAGGATGGAAACACCAATCCAGGACAATCACAAAGAGTCAGCTCATCAGAAATTATTAGTGTCTGGAAATGCTTTGTCTTCCCTGGAGTGGAGGTGACACCTGTACGTTTCTGGCCAACCAAAGCATTTATAGTTGAGCTTTTCCCAACATTAGGATACCCCACAAATCCCACCACTACCTTTTCTGGTTGGTGCTGAAGTTCCTTCAGCATTGCCAGTAGGAGATTGAATATTGGATGACCTGGGGGCACTAGAGCCCGATTTCCTCATTTTGACTATTTCTTCTGCCTCAGACTGTAAACGGGCCAAGAGCTCATCCCTCCCATATATTTTTGTGTCAGGATCATCACTCTTTTGCATGCTATTTTGTGTCTTCCATTGATCAGTAAGCATTTTTCCTTCTAATGCAGCAGAAGCAGCTTTAGCAGACCAGAATACAAAGAGAATCTTATGAAAGTGAAAAAATTTTGCCCATTTTTCCCTGCATAGAACAGAATCAATAAACATTGTAAGAGGTTGAGAAACTGGCATCAATCCAAAGCAGATGAGAAATGGTAGTTGAAACAAACCTGATAGAAACTGGCAGAAGATCTGCCTTGTTTACAAGAAGCAATGTTCTCTTATGCTCATCAATCTCTCTTGCATATGCCTACATTTTAAGAATTTTGGTTTGAAACAAATTTCTCAGCAATCCATGTAATCACCATCCAATTAAATGGTATGAAAATACATAAACAAATAAAAAGAAGAAGGACAAGCATGAGAGTAGGACAAATGGACAACACACAATATGATCAACATCCTATAATAATAATAATAATTATTATTATTACTATTATTGTTATTATTTTTTATAAATGATAACTAATCTACATTCAGTTTTAATGTAGAATTAAAATGGGTATCATATCAATTGAGTTTCTTTGCTTATCAGACCTTGGAGATATGCATAACTTGGAATGCTACCATTGAATATGGTCTTTCTAGATTTTGCTTGATAATATACAGTTGAAATAATGCAATATACTCTCCAATACTGGAACCTACTTTTACTCATGCAGATAAACAATAGTCTGCATGTTAATCAGACCTTAAACTTTAATCATTCAAAATTTGAAAAGAGTTATTATCATTCTAGCATGAAGAAGCAGCATGCCCTAACCTTAATAAATTCCCTCCCACCTCCTCTTTTTAACAAATAAGTACATTTGTCTCAGAATGTTCACTAATTTGTCACAAGTTATCAAATTTGTCGAAGCTCCACCTTTCCCAAGCTACTTTAGCACTATCCAAAGAGCAACATATTCTGGACAAGAGAAAAACTATATTACCTCTAGATCAAGACAGCGGTAAAACAAAGGGTCCCTTGCATCAACAACCATCACAAGCTGAAAGAATATAATGTGATCAGAATGTCAGTAAGGTGAATATCATAGCCTGAAAAAAGCACAAGGAAAATTAAGAAAGAAAAGGCATGATCGAATTAGGATAAATGAAGAGACCCTCAGAATCACATGCTTTTAATTCATATCTTCGCTTCAAATAAACATAAATCTTTTCTCATTCAATAAATAAATCTAAAATAAAGTAGTAAGTCCAAACTGGTCCTTACCTCCATGCTTGCCTTGCCCCCCCCCTCTCCCCCTTCTTTCTTCCTTTCACCTCTCAACCCATTCCCTTTTTTGAGGGACATAGACCTAATACTGAAGCACACATTTTTTCAAGGGTCCTTGGCTTAAGTGTCATTTGTTTCTTAATTTTCCATTATTGTCTTTTTATGATAATTAAATAAGAGTAACATTGTCCAAGTGAAACTTCTAAATTGATATAAGAATTAGGGTGAGAGTAAGTGATACTTGATAATGCTTGATCTTTTTGTTAACAAATATTAATGAGTATTTATCACTATTTTTTCTCATTAGTGCCTTGCTTCACTTGAGTAAGCTTTTTCTTATTTTTAGTATCTAGCACCTTTGGCCTGGAGTAATTATTCTGCCTCATGCCTTAGACAACAATGCTTTAAGAAAATCTATCTAATACAACTTCAACATACATGTAACAACAAATACAATGTAGAAAGTTCTTTACTTTTCATTTTCAAAAGCAAGAAATTTCTACATTACAAGAGACAAAGATCTTACCAAATCACTGCGTTCAAGAACCCGCCAAAGCTGCCTCCAGATATCCAAGTTCTTCTCAAATGGAGTGAGAACAAGTCTCTCATTCTCCTCAAGGCTGCAACAAATAAAAGGGCAAGAGACCACAATTAATCCAAATCTCTATATGCTCAAATTTGCAAATACAAAAGTGCAAAGCATGATCAATCCTATAAAAAAAATGTTCGTACATGTGACAGGCTTATTCAAAGTATGCTTTTTCTTCAGACATGACTCAAACACTATCATCAACAGAAAAGGTAGAGGAGCAAGGACCTTTAAGCCAGTGTTGAAAAATACTCATAATTGGACAACTAACTTTCCAAATACAACATCAAATTATTTAGAGATAATGAAAAATTAGTTAAGTTGTTTCTGGGTTTGTTATAGTTGGCATGGTACTATTTACTTTATTGACCTGGTTGAAGGCTAAATTTGGACATATCCCGGGATATTGATCAATGTGTCCTTGTGTGGTTAAATATTTACTTTTGACAATCTTGATCACATAATTTGTCATTGACCTCTTTTAAGCGATTCAAAAATAATGTTCATATTAGTCATAGCCTAACCTTGCTAAGCTCCGGCGCCAAACTAAGAAAGCTTGTTTCTCACTGGCATCTAGCTGTTCAACAGACATTGCAGCATTCCATGGTGGCCTGTATGAAAAGAAAAACTCTTTAGATTCTAATCATACATATGAAACTAGGTTTAAGTTTTGGCAAAACAATAAGACATGCCTGCGTGGAACTCGGAGACTACTAGCATGCAGTGCCTCCTCTTTCTTCTGTTGCTCTCTCCTATCTTCAGGTGTCATACCACTGGTGCTTGAGCTTGTGTCCCTAGTCACAAACAACAGGCATCAGATAAACCACTGTTATATTTAAGTATAGGCTTGACTGTAATAAAAGCTTGAAGAGAATCACTCACTATAAACAAAATGCTCTAAAAAGAAAAAAGTGGTGAAACTTGACCTTAGCAATGAGTTAGATACTTATCTGCAACCAACCATCTCCTTAAGCTAACACATTAAGTTTAATCCTTTTAATGAAAAAGGGAAGGTAGGGGTGGGGAACTAATGGGACTAAATAAAATCCTCGAAAGACAAAGAATCATAAGTTATCATTCAAAAAGCACATTGTTCTGGTAATCTTAGTGCAAAAGTTATACTAGCCTATAAGACCATAGCCCTTTGGTCAACAAGTTCAGTCCACTCTGAGAATCCTTGCAAGAGACATACCATTAGTCATGAATCTCACTCAAAATGTTATTACAATCAAAGTCCAAGCTGTAAGACTAATAACCAACAAAAACACAGAATTTCATATAAATAAGAAAAAGGGTCAAAAAATAAAATCCCAAAACACAACCAACCAATTATTCAAAACACAAAACCTTTACATAGAAAAACCAAAACTTTCAGTAACCTAACAAAACAGAGTCAGTTTTTAGAAATACCCATTTAACCAAATAATAATAATAAAAAAGACACCTAAAGCTTACAAATTGATGAGGAGGTTAGGGGTGGGGTGCTGGATGGAGAAGAGTTGGTCAGCTTCGTCAGCCTGCTCGATTACGGCATCGATGTCACTAACTTCGGTCACAGATTCCAACACCTTCTTATGCTGGCTCTTATAAAAACTCCCTTTCTCTTTGGATTGTTGTATCATTGAATTATGATGCTTCACCAGGGCTCTTCCCAGTCCTGTCTTCTCATTCTTTCCCATCTTTCTTTAATTCAAAGTTCAGATAAAAAGTTTCCCAGAAAAAAAAAAAAAACAACCCTTTAGTTTTTGCTTCTGAGTTGAGAAGATTGAAGAAGCCGCTTCTCTAATAACGCGAAAAAGGGGAGCCTTGGAGAGGTTTTACCTTTTAGAGCTAAGAAAAGGCATATCAAATGGCGTTACGTTCCTCTTTTGTTTCTCTTTTATGGGTTAAATTAAGGTCATTTTGTGGGCAAGGGCTGAGACTAGACCATAGCTTAGATTGAGGTTAGCCCAATCCAATCGTTCAAGTCCAAATTCAATTGCAAATTATGATTTTGCTGCTTAGGTTACTAGTAAATAACAGATGAAAAATTGTTTAATCTGCTATCTACTGTATTTATTTATTTTTTAATTTCAAAATACGTTTTTTTTCTATTTATTAAGCAAACATTGAGAAAGTTGTCTAAGTATGCATTCCTTGTCTGCTCTTATCCAAGGCTTAAAGGAAAAAATTAAAGAAGAAAAAAAAAAAACCCAATAAAAACACCCCACGTGCAAGTAAGGGCAAACAAGAAGCAAAGGAGATAACAAACTTCAAACTTGGGTAGGATAAACTGTACCCATAAAAACTTGGGTGAGACAAATAAATAAAACAAAACATAAAAAAGCTTCTTTCCCCTTCACCAAAGAAAAACATCACGCAAAACACAAGATTCGTTTTTTTTTTTTCCTTCTTTTTGTCTTCGCTGTTTTGCATAATTTCATTTCATGCAAAATGTAATCTTTGTCTAACTGACAGACTGACCCATTTGTCCAATCATTTTTCTTTGCTTAATGGTTTTTTTTCCTAGCCGACTCTATGGGGGCTCAGAAGAGCATCCATGCAGGCAAAGGTAAGTCTTTTTTCATTTTTTGTTACGGTGACAGTCAAATTTATTGCTTCATTCTTTATGAAAATAATAACTTTTGGGGTTTTTTTTTTTTTTGTTTTTGGTTTTGTAATGACAGCCAAAATTGATGTTAATGTTGATTTCACCCACAAGATATGTGCTTCCATGATGATTCCTTCTTCAAGGTTCTTACTTAATCCTTCAATTTTTCATTGCTCTTTCATCCTTTATTTTTCTTCTTTATGGGAGTTTAGTTAATGGGTTTCCACTGGTCAATTAACTTTCTTTATCTAACAGGAACAGTGGTAGTCCTCTTTCCCTAGTAATTGGCAGGTATTTTCTGTTTAGTTTATTTTTTTTTTTTAGTTAATATGCCATTTTTTCGGTTGGTAAAAGATGTGCGTAAAGGAGATATTATTGGAATTTCTGATTTTTATACTGAATGAAATATTTGTTAGATTTTTTTATTTCTCCTTACCTCTTATGGTCTAGCAAATTGGGACACAAAATGAATTTCGAAAGATAGTATCTTTGGTTTCTTGGATTGAGTAGCTATTGAATTTAGATTTTGGGTATTAGTCCAACAGCTGATTCAATGTGTTTGTTGCAGTCTTTGCATTAAACACCCAAATTTATTTGGTGGAAGTGAGAAGCTTGATGTATCGTGGGATAAGGGGTTATATGATTCAAATATTTTGGTAGCTTATCGGAGGCCTCGACCCCAATGGGTTGCTCAACAATGTTTTGTCATGCAGGTACGTAGTTGATGTTGTTCAGTTGTTATTTCATGACCTTTGTGGATGAGAAAGAAACAAAGGGTACAGTTTACATTATAATTAGGATTGCTGTTTTTTTTGTTTAACAAAACCCATTTGTGAGGTAGGGGTGTGGATGTAGTTCTTATTTCTAGAATTATTTGGCCCAGCACTCACTTTCACCTGAGATTGGAGTCCATGGTATACCTGTGGACAATTTCTCTCGTTCAGGGAGTGGAGGTGTGAATTTGTCTCGATTATCAGTTGGATTGGATCTAAATGAACCTGCAAGTTCTAAATGGAGCAGCACAACAAGTATAAAATTTGAGGTATGTACAGAGCTTATTGCAGTCATAATCATTTATTACAGTTATACTCATTAGTACCTTAATTTTCTTGGGAGGGAATGTAATTATTATGTGATGCCCACCTTACAGAATGTTCGCCTGTTGAGTGATGATGGCCGCTCCATTACCAGAGATCTTGACGGATTTCCTGTCACCTGCAGGTAAATATGCCTTTATTTTTCCAATTCCAAACAATATGATGAAAGGGTTCAGAGGCGTAGCTAGGGGGGACCGGCAAGGTTCATGGCCCCCCTAAAATTTTTTTAACACCATTGTAGTAGAATACTTCATCCCACCAAAAATAGTACTCAGTCATCCTTTTTCTAGTAAAATTATTATTTGACCCCTGCTTTCTCATATTTCTGGCTTTGCCTTTGAACTGGTTGTCGACAATAATTTAATTCTTCTGCAGTGGCAATGCTCATGACAGTATGGTAGTCTTAAAGCAAGAATCTCGATATGCGAAGGCAAATGATCGCAGCTTTTCTCGTGTAATTTGCTCGTTTCTACGACAATATGGATAGTGAAATATGCCATCCATGTATCTTGAATAAGGGCACTAACTGGATTTTTCTCCTCATTTCAGTTTGCTATGCAAATAGAACAAGGAATTCCAGTTCTATCCAAGTGGTTAATCTTCAATCGATTCAAATTTGTTGCATCAAAGGGCATCAAACTTGGACCAGCATTTCTCTTGACAAGGCAAGCGATGTTATATTTTTAACCCCTTTTCCCTCCCCTCCATTGGTGCATGGAGGTGATAAACTTGATTGTATTGAGGGGGATTAATGGTAAGCAGAAATTGTTAGCATGAAAGATGAAGCAAGATATACAAGGATGGTTTGGGAGCTTGTAATGAACTGTGCAGGAAACATAAGAGATGCTTTTATAGAGGTTTGTTTGGCAATGTACCAGAACTAGAGATAATAATACTACAGAAAGAAAAGAAGCCAACTTGTCCTACATGAAGTGTAAATATAAAGTATTTATTTGAGATTAAAAAATTGATTGGAATTCCTGGCTTGACTTTGAAGGGTGCATGAATCCTGCTCTAGATTAGATAACTAGATCAGGTGTTATATCATTTTTAAATTTGCTTAACTCTTACCTTTTCCTTGGACAGCATGACAGGTGGTTCCATTGTAGGAGATATGGCTCCATATCAAGCATTTGCAATTGGTGGTCTGGGTAGCGTGCGAGGCTATGGTGAAGGTGCTGTTGGATGTGGAAGATCATGCTTGGTTGCTAATACTGAACTGACATTTCCTTTGGTATGTAATTGCTTTATTATTATATAGAGGGCATTGCGTTCTAAGAATCTGTATTTGGTATTTTTCCTACATTTATTGTCTGTGATAGCTGTTTAATGGGCATGTTTAACTGCCACAGTGCTGTATGCATCATTCGAAATTTCTTAACTTCAAACAATAGCTGCTAGATTGAGAGAGTGATTTGTGTTAGTTTGATGGTTTAACCTAAATTATTTTGGGGTACTTCTTCCTTCTATGTTGTGTGCATGCTTGAGCATACATTTTAGTTTAAAAGAAAAGCCAAACAAAACCAAACAATTTGGTTTGCGTTGGTTGGTATGATTAAAAGTTTGGGTTTGTTTATAAACTGGAGAGAATTTTTTACTCTTCTTGATGCTTAAACTGGACTGAATTATTATTTTGGTTTCATAGAAACCAAACCAAATTGAAAACTGAAGTAATAAATATACGTGCAGTCCCCAGTTACACCAAGTATCATCATGGTAATTTAATTCCTACATAACCTAATTTTATTTTAAAATCTAGAATGATGAATTTGTCATTAAATTAACTTAAATTTGGAGTGATGAAATTCCTGTGCATGCTAAACTTGAAGTACTTAATGGTTTATATATAAATTATGTTGAAGTACATTAATTTGTATTTAATTATATCCATTAAGGAAGGCCCCGAAAAATCCCTGGCGCAGATTACAACCAAGGTTTTGTTTGGTTTCTACACTTAATTTTGTTCATTCTATTTTAAAAATTGTTAGAAAATTTGATTGTGTCATTCTAACTTATCGTGTAGATGTCATGAAACAGAAGCTTGACATGACCTTAGCTTATTTTTTGCTGCATTCAGAGCAAGATGTTGGAAGGTTCTGTTTTCCTGGACTGTGGAACTGATTTGGGCTCTGGTCGGCTTGTACCTGGTGAGTCTCATTCATCTACATGCATATGACACAAAAATTACTGACAAAGTTGTATCTTAATGATAATCAAATCTTTTGCTTCTAGTTTTCACTAAACATTGTTTCTATTTCTAAACTTTTGTTAATTCTCAACTAGTTGTATTTTGTATCACATGTTTAAACAGCATGATTTGGCTTTCTACGACTCATGAAGCACATGCTTCCTTTTAGTATTTATCATACAACTATGCCCAGCCAGAAATTCCTACCAGGAAGCTGAGCCGTTGGCATCTGCTGGCCTCTTCATCTTCTTCACTTGAATGCATGGTTTATCCTGGAATTTTAGGATGGTAGTTGATTTTAGATGTCAAATTCTGGTATTGATGCATCATATCTTGAATATTCCAACTCATGGATAAAGCATCCTAGTCTTTCATTTTCTGATCTTTTTTGCTGGCACTTTGAGACCTGCATTATGAACAATTATCCTGTACATCCAATCGCTTTGGAGATGCCTTAGGTGCATGAACTTAGCTTATATCCTCTAATTGTTATTCTCGTTAAAATTCTTGCAATTCTAGGAACAAGTAACTGTACCGTTGCCAATATTTATTTTTATGAATAGAATTGAGTGTAGATAGCCTCGAAAGTGCCATGCAATGGAAGATATCTAGGAAAGGAATTGATTAGTTGTAAATCTAGTAAATAAGAATGCGAAAGGAATGGCACCTATTAATTATCTTTTTATTATATTTTATGTTATGGAAGCCATATCACTAATTCACCAGTGCAGCAGAACTGCCTTTCCAGAATTTGTACTTCTTATGACCAGTTTAACATATGAGTTTCAGGAAATCCAGCATTGAGACAGGGCAAACCAGGATCTGGAGTTGGACTTGGATACGGTCTTCGCTTCAAGTCTCCACTTGGTCATTTCCAGTTTGATTATGCCATCAATGCCTTTCAACAGAAGACTCTATACTTTGGCATCACAAATCTTGCTTCTTGAATGTCTTATCCATACAAGCTGCCAAATTCTTGCTCTTCCAATTTCATTGTTATGGAAGAAGATCATTTCAAGGAGAAAATGGGGAGAAGAATGGAAAAGGGTTGGGTTAGGGACGGAGGATGGTGCTGGGATGCCTTTGATGTCTAAAGGGTTGTGGGTGCTGCAGACTCTGGTATATTGACCGTCTTCAACAAGTGATACGGTTGCCATTTCATGGATAAATTCTTAAAGCTGCATGTATCCAAGGTTTTTCCCTTTCTCTTGTGCAAGTATTGTATTTGCAAGATTCTAGAGTAGAAACATTCCATGCAATTTCTTTGGGAAACATTTTATACGTCATCGATTCTTAAAGTAGAGGGTTTCGAGGAAGAAACAAAGTACAGGCTTTAGAGGTTGAAGATTTTTGTACAAATACTTATTCAAGTAGAAACGAGTCAATTTATGTGTAAGAGGGCTCACTTTCTTGTTGACATTTCCCTTCATATCCTCACATTGATACTGTTATTCATTCTTAGAGTAGAAGTCACTTCATCTAGATTACCTTAAGATACCAGAATATGTTAAGTTCTAAAATCGTGGCCTTGGCGTTTGGGGGTGGTCGGTTTCAGGCATTTTAGGTGGTTTGGTCATAACAGGAAATAAATGATATCATGCATCTTCTTTACCTAGATTACCATCTGTAGTTTTTATTTTAGGAGGAACCACCAAGAAAAGATAATTAAAAATAAGATTGTGTGCGAGAAGCATGTGTATCTGTGTGACTGTATCATTCAAAATAAGATTCTTTCTCCAGGGAAAGAATTTGATATCTGTCTAGTTTTGTTAAGCTAGACCATTGTAGTTAGAACTTGAAAGAAGCAAAGAACGACCACTATTGAGTTTAAATTCTGCTGCATCTTGTGTAAAATGAACACAAATTGAGACTACCATGAACCTTGATTCGTCGTTTGCGCCAACCAAAGTTTTAGCCTTTTGGTTCTCAAAGCTTCAGGAATAACTTGGTTAGTCAACTACTCTGCTTTCCATCAAACAATCATTGCAAAGTTAAAGCAAAGTGTTTTCCTCAGTTTTAAAGACTGGGTTCATCATTCAGCTTATTCATTTAAGCACAAATGACTAAATATAGAGTAAATAGAGTAAGAAGAACTATGCATTTAAAACGAGCAAGAACAGAGAACCTTGAGTTCAGAAAAAATCAGCCAAAAGACAGAAATTCCGATAGGGAAATCTTCAAAGAGGGAGATTAAAATAAGATTTGAACGCGACAAACATAAAACATCATTACAAATGGAGATAATACGTCATCATGTGCAATTCTTCATGTCACGAGTAGTTAAAAGAACTTGTTGTATTGGCTGGTAAGCGAATCCCGAAGATTTGAATACAAACTGTAGAGCGAATATTGCCTGAGATTTTCTACTTCATACCATGAGTTGAGAACAGCAAGATGCTTGTCTGTGCCAGAAAAAGCAAGCTGTATCCCAATGCTACAATCTACAGAACCCCCTCGGTTTTTGCAGTCTGATATTTTGATAGCACAATCTTGTTTGTTGAGACAAACAAAATTGGATTTGCCTGCGCATGAAGCACATCCATCTCTCTTCCAGTATAAGTTCTGTAGCCTACCCTTCTGAAACTCAAGCACCTACTAAGACAGAAATTTGTTTTGCCCAATAAGCAACGAAGGAAGCATTAATAAAAGACAAAGCCCCAGAATTATGTGTCCTTACCAGAGTAAAACTATTTACAGTGTATGTGCTGTTTGCAACAAATGCAGGGACAGACCTTGCAGCATATTTTCGACCAGCAAATGCCACCATATACCCACCATAAGTATCCTGGGAAGTTCAAACGTATTTGGAATTGATGCATTGTTTTAGTGTTTCAAACTTTATGTTCTTACTTCAGCTGCATAAACAAGAATGTAAAATGCAGACACAAAACAGTAAAAACAGACAATGAAGGTTCATGTAAACATGATAGATCAGACAGGCCATAAAAACAACTGAAATATCTTCTTTCATCTCCTAAACATGGCTGATATGTTCAGTTCCTCATAGATGATATAATTTTTTTCCGCCGTAATTGAGTTCAATTGTTGACAGATAAGTTGCACCCAAATGTTCCTAGCAAGTGCTCCAATACATAACAGCTACTTGTTGAAGAAAAGGGTAGGATCATAGGCATGTTGGACTTTTAAAACAAGAAAGTGTTGATGTCAAATGGGGAATGGGATGACTCCCCTAAACAGTATCTTTTCCATTTAAAGATCAAAAGAGTGAAACAAAGGTATAATAATTCCATACATGATATAGAAGGCACAAATGGAGTTAGACAGGAAGTTAAAAATCCTCTTCTTGAAACAATGAAACCCCTTTCAGACGAGCAGCCATATCAAATACTAACTTATTGCCCCCAAAGCTATTCAGCATCAAAAGGAGTAACATTTTCACCTGTAATGTGTCAAGAACTGTATTTCTAATAAAATCCTAGTTCCATAAGCCTTTTCTTGCCATCTTGAAATCACATATGAACACCCAGCACTCAGTCGGTTCAAACAGCCAACTCTAAGAGGCGGCATCCAGCAAGTCTCGGTTCAAATCTCAACACCAGCAACTTTGCCGTATCCCAGGCAGTGGTTCTATGTTAAAAAGAAAAAAAAAATCACATCCATATTGGCCTACACTTGTGAACACCTGTAACTTCAACTATAATCTCCCACTCTTCTGATAGGCAGTAGTTGGTTTCTAATGTAAATAGCCAAACTTAACGTGGTCAAACTCAATGTTTCCTAACATTGATTATCTTTTATATTTCATAATCTTTAACCATTTGTATTTGACAAAAACTTTCACTACTTAAAACACATCAACAACAAACAGGTTCCTGTTTTCTACAGATTCAAGCCATAAAAAGTCTCTAAGTTAAAGAATAGAACTTTAACCGAAACACAAAAGAGGAAACTTTAAAGCAAATTCCACATCCAAAAATAAAGCTGAAAAATGAAAATCCAAAACCCAAAACTGGGAAATTAGAATGATCCTTTGAAATCATTACCGGGAAGAAACTGGAAGTATTGATAGTAAGGAGGGAGATCTCATCGAGTTTAGGCCTAAAGACAGCGAGTTGAGAGTTCAAAGAAGAAAGAGAAAGGCGGCGGTCACAGGGGGATAGTTGGTGAGACAGGTTGAAGAAGAAAGAATCTCTGGAAGCAAATGCTATGCCAAAAGTGAACCCATCCGAGATTTTAACCTTGGTGTCTGAACATGGTAGGTAGACTCCGTTGGTGTCGGTTGATGCTTTGATGTCGCTGGGGAAAGTTGCTGTTGCTAAGAAGATGAGGAAGGGGACAAGGAGCTGCTGGGTTTTGAGGTTGGGCATTTTTAGCCTAGTCAAGTAAAAGAACAAAGAAGACAGCTTTTGAGTTTGGATTTGCGTTTGGGTTTGGTTTTGTTTGAGAAAATGTTGGGAGTAATGGAACTGAAAAACAGGAAATCAGAAGGTGAATTTGGTTGTTCTTGCTTTGAATCTTGTCAGAAGCTGTTTCCCACTTCTTTTTACAATTAAAAATTACAAATTGTCAACGGTACTTTCTAATTTCCATGCATGGAGTTGGGCCGATGGTGCTTTTGGCACGTGACGGCCCAAAAACAACCTTTTGATTTTCATATCATATTTAAAATTAATAAAATCACAAAAATTTTACCTACAATTAAGCTTCGAGCACTTGACAGCAGCCCATCACTCCATTTTATACAAAAAAAAAAAAAAAAATTGTCCAACATTTTGATCGATACAAAAAGAAAATAAAAAAAAAATTTAGAGAAACGATATTGGTTGAGATGTTTCCAAAGGAAAATATTGTCATATTGACATAAGTCACATTTCATTCAACTTTGTAATCCACAAAGGCAGAAACAAAGGAATTTGCAACAAAGAAAAATCCATATAACTTAAAATTCTTTCTTTGAAGAAAAAAATGGGGGAAATTGGTAAAAAATATATTGAATTTATATAATTATACACAATATATATTAGGTTCCGATAAGTGGATACACGAATTAATTTTTTTTTATATTTAACTATTTTAATGTGAGTGTAAACACATAAATTAATATTATTTAAACACTTCTATGTTCAATTTATATATAAAAAATATATAATTAATATATCAAATAATAATAAAATTAAAGTTTATGATAAAATTTTTTTGTCAAAATTCAAAATAAATGATAAACAATATTATTGAGTAAAAAAATATAAAAATATTATTAAGATTTATCATAGGGTCGAATCAAGTCTGATTGATGTTGAGAATTTTATATCTAAGACAACATGATCCGTTAAATCCAATATGTTCGATTTCAAATGTAAGCCCATATCTAGTTCAAATGGGCATGTGGGTGAGGAAATCTTATTCGCCTTGGTAGAAATTAAAGGGAGAAGAGGATAAATGTGAAGGAAGAAAAAGGGTAACAAAGTGGGGAAAATGTAAGAAGAATGATTAGGAGTATTTATTTAATCATTTTGTTAATTTTGATTTGAATTCTTTAAAATTGAATTAATCAAATTATATTTATTTTATTTTTTAATCAAATTAAAATTTTTAATTTTTAAAATTAATTCATAAAATTAATTCGATCGATTTGATTAATTTTTTTGATTAATTAAATAATAAAATACATTAAATTAAAATATATTTTAAAATTTTATTTTTTCATAAGTGAAATAAATTAAATAAAATTATTTGATAATAATATTCAAATATCAAAATATTAAATTAAAAACTTTAATAATTTAATTTGAAATGAAATGAACAATTTCATATATTTTTATTTTATATATAAATTTTATAATATTTTAATTAAAATTTTGATTAATTTAATTTTTGAATCGAATTAATTAAAAATAAAAAATTTTTAAAATTCGATTCATTGATTCAATTAAAATTAAACTATAAATACTTTTAAGAATGACAATGAAAAACCATTGTTATTGTAACTAAGTGAAACGATCAATATCAAATTTAATAATAATAACAATAAAAAAAATAACTATCTTTAAAGAAAAGGACAAAGACAACGATTATTCGGACGTGAATTAAAAGCAATGAATAGCAGCCCTTGTTTTTGTGGTGAGTCACAACCACCCAATTTATAATCACATTTAGTGGAATGTCAGCTAATTAAAGTAGTTATAAGCATTTAAAGTCAAAGATTTAACACCCACCTCTGTCAATGATGTAAACCTTCCATGTTTTCATTTCTAAATGATCAATCAAATATTGGTAGTATCAGAGCTCACTTGGACAATTAATTATATATATATTGAATTAATAACGAAATTCGCATTCGAGATCATTTAAAATCATTATTTATTACTAACATATAATCGGTGATTACTTAAGCTAAATTTAAGCTTTATATTTAAGAAAATGATGTTCATATGATTTTTATTAGGGATAGTTTTTAGTTCATATGATAAATTGATTTTTTTATTTAAAATTATCAATAAATAATTAAAAATATTTTTTATATTTAGATTGACCTAACACATATAATATTATGTCAATTCGAATACGTTATTATTTTATTTTATAGACCTTTCACTTTTATTTATAAATAAAGTTATCTAAATATTAATAATCCAATTTAATTTTCTCTTTTACTTTCCTGTTTATTTTTCTTTCTGATCTTTTTTATCTGACTTCTAATTTAAATATTGAAATACAATATAAATAATACTCTCTAGTTTTACTCCTAATAACTCTCATTTTCTTATAATTTCAGGATCTTTACCCCTAACTCGAAGTTTAACATAAACAATTTTTTTTATATCAAATTAATCAAATCTTATTTATTCATTTAAAACTCCTATTTATGGTGCACAAACGACATGGTGGAATAATAGGTAAAAAAAAATGGTTCTGGAATGGGACTTTGTTATTAATTACTACTGTAAATTTACTAATGTGACCCTTTCTAGTGGCATATGAATCGGCAACCATCTGCCAAATAACAGGGGTAGAAAAGTACATATAAAATGTAGCATGAGGGAGACCAAGTAACATTCGGCATGCGTATCTCAATCTTTTGTTGTTGTTAGACAAAACCCAACAGCAACCCTTTTTAACTCGTTCACATGATGCAAGAATCTAAGAACGAACATACTTGGTCCATCAGTGTCGGCAAGCCAGCTCATTCTCATGAAACTTCTCCCCCAATTCGGCCAAAATATGAGACATGACACAACCCAACAACTTGCCTTCCGATATTCTTCAATGTGGGAATAACACTCAATTTTTTCTCATTTCTTCTTGCTATTGTAGGTTAATCAAGTCCTAATGCAATGGTTGCAAAGTTTATGCCCCTTTTAAAGTATCAATACAGATGTTGTATTTGGAAAACTTTCTTAAAAGAGCATGAGCATGAATTAAGAACAAAAGTGGTAGTAAAAAAATGACATAAAGATGAAAAAATAAAAAAAAAAGTGGAGGCCAATTTAAAGAGAAAAGGTGAGTTGTATAGTTTTGCCCTCTGCATCTTTCATTCACTTCAATCCAATGCCATCACTTTCCTAAGAAGAGATCGAATTTGATTGTATTTCATACATAATATGTACAAATCACACAACAAAATGACAAAAACCTAGTGCCGCTTACACACATTTACACCATCAAAATACACCTTTACCAAAAGAACCAGCCTTTGGCTGCTTTTTTTTTTCCACTATTATGAAAATTTTTGATCCCCTTTATGTTTCTAAAGATTCTAAACAAGTTGGAGCTTTTGGGGCTTGCTTGGTTGTGGGCACTTTACGCCTCCTCAAAAAACCATATTCCCCTGCAAATTCTGCTCCAAGCTAGTTCCTCAAAAAACCTCTATTCACCTGTGAAAATAGAGCACCAGTCAGTCCATGAATGAACACAGAATCTTTATATGAATGCTTATATTTCTAGACAGAAATTATATTAAAGCATCCGCATTCCAAGCACATGGAGAAGCATCAAACATGAGTAACCCCCAGACATACAAATACCAAGCACTTCCCCTACCAAAGTAGAAAACCAAGGCATTCTATAAGCTTTGCTTGGTATTTATGCCCAAATTAATCACTAGCAAACCCCCATATTGCAAAGGCTGCATTAGTATTAACCCTGAAATAAGAGGGAGAAGGGAAGGGCCAAAGGCAAGATGCTTTGATCTAAGTGTTAAGAAGAACCAAACGATCATCGTTCAAATTATACAAAACTTCCGTCTTCCTAACTTGGTTATGTATATCTCAAAATAACTCATCTTCCTAAAATGGTTGATATCTAGATCTCAATCTTTACAAAGCTTCTTTCAATCTTTTAACTCTTTTCAGTCATTCTAAGGCCTTGTAGTATGCGCATCCAAATGCACTTCGGTTCTAAAGCTAAAATTGCACTAATAAATAATTATCCAAATCTTTTATGAATTATTCCTTCAGTATAAATTGGTCAAAAGTTTTAACTTAAAAATTGGCCACAAATCATTCTTTAAGATTATTGTCTTGTTCAAAAAATTAATCTGGTTAAAAGTTAGGCAGTCAAGTAAAAGTACATCAATGGTGAATATTAAACAATGTGTTATCACAGATTTGGCAAGAAATGGCTAACAAGACAACAACTAGAGAATTAGGTTACCTTCTTTGACCTTACTTTTTACTCTTTACAAAGTTTAGGAGCAGTCCCTAACCATAAAATAAGGTAGGATATTTTTGGATTTGGCTGATTTAAAACACAAGGATTCTTCTTTTTAATTTGAACTACATTCTGAAGGCAATGAGCATTACATTTAAAAAAAATTTCAGTTATAAAAGATTGAATAAACCAAATGCATTCTAAGCTTCTCAAAAAGGAAGTCCTTGATTGACAACTAATAGAAACCAGAGTAGCAATGCTGAATTCATGAAAAATAAATAAAAGAACAAACAATGAAATAACAGAATCATCCCATCTTCAAAACTTAATGCAACCAAGATCTACCCCAAAGACATTGGTTCATTATCTTCCGAGGTGAGTTAAATCATGCTCTTCCATTTGATCAAATCCATTTTCATTTATTTATAGCACGTGTTGTACACTCTTACAAGAGAATCCATACCAAATTCATGAAAGGAAAGGACTTCTATGTGAAATGGCAACGGTGATTAAGAAGTAAGAACGGTTCCTATAAGAACTGGTCTGGTTGAAAAATCTACCTTGAAAGATTCTAATTTCCAAATTCAAAATCTGCAAAAAAAGCAAACCGATCCAATAACATTTTATATTGACTCTGACTTCTTCCACTAAGTGTAAATGAAAGTACCAACTTTCCAAGGTTCGCTTACCCAACCACACCATCCATCCCCATAACCCAACTCGCTGAGAATATTCACTCACCACCTAGTCAACTAAAAAAAAATAATAATAAATCTTCAAAAAAGAAGAATTTTTACTTACCAGGAACAATCTCAATCTCTAAGAATGACCGAATCAGCAATACCCATCAAGGGTCTTAAACAATCCGGCGAGAACTTCCTAGCAAACAAGTAAGAACTAGAGTAATTCGACTTCCTCAACTCATAAATCAACTTAGCCGACACTTCTTTCGGCTTATACATATAGGGGTGACCCGCCACCGTTCCCGTCCAATTAACCCGAGTTAAAGTATAGTGGGTCACCCCATTTGGAACTTGCATTGATAACAAAGTAGGAAAATAATGCTCTTCCGGGTAACACTCGTCGGCACGATAACACGGTAACTTAAATTTCCTCCAAAGCGTCCGATCTTTTATCACCAATAACGCGTGTTTCCGAGTCAACACAAAGAACTGCGATCCAACTCGGAACTCCTCAAACGGTACTTCAGGCATCATCACGAAACGGCCACGCGCTACATACCGTTTCCACAGTCTGGGTTCCTTGGAAATGATCTCGATGAACGATTTATACTTGACCCGGACACCATACTGAGTCAAGTCAGACGAGTGGGGGTCTGAGTTGGAGGTGAGATCGAAGTTTTTGGAGGTGAAGAGGGAGCGGTAGATGTAATTGAAGGAATGGAGAGGGATGCAGTATTGGGAGAGGACTGCGAAGTAAGCATTGGCGGGATCGTCGAGGATGGCAGTGGCGAGAAGGCGTCGGGTGGCGGAGATTAGCGTAGCAGAAGCTCGGAAAGTGCGTTTGGCGTTTGGGATAAAAGAGTCATCGAAAACGGTGCCTTTGGGGCGAGTTATGTTGACAGTGGGGTCAGCGTGGACGTAGATGTTGTAAAAGGAAGCTTTTGCGGATCGGAAGAAACGGTTCCAAAGAGGGAGGAAATAGAGGTCGGTGTTGGTTAAGAAAAGGAAAGCGATTTTGGGGGAGGAGGCCGAGGAGAGGTGGGAGGAGGCGGAGGAAGGGGTGGTGGCGCGGTGGAAGAGATGGAGGTCGTCGAGTTCGTCGGTGATAGAGATGGGGGGGAGAGGGTGGGGACGGAGACTTGGGGCTAAGAGGAAGAAAAGGATTGGGAGGGAAAGGAGAAGAGAAAAGGAGAGAATGAAAGGGGTGGAGAACATTGAAGAAGGGATTTTGAACAAAGAAAGGAGGAAACGGGAGGAATTGGGAGGGAAAGGTGGGTGTCTTATACAACTTTGGAGTGAGAGTGGAATTGTGAAAATATGGGAAGAAGAAGAAGAAGAAGAAGAAGAAATGTTGAAAGGCTGCAGCTTTGAAGAAGCCATGGTGGAATAAATAATGCGAGCAATTTTCAATTTTGAAATGAAAAAGGAAAATATTTTTTTTAGGTTTATTTTAAAGGGAATTTTGGGTTTGGGGCCTGGGTTTAATGTGTTGTTTGGATGGGGGGGGTTTGGAAATTTTAGGGTTTGATTTTGTTTTTCAGGTTTTGATACTCCCAAGAAAAATGTTTTTTTCTTTCCCAGAGTGAGGGTAGGGGAAGGGCAGTGACAGAGAGAGAGAGAGAGAGAGAGAGAGAGAGAGAGTGAGAGAGGCGTTGCCATGCTTTGGAATTGGGGGGAGGGGGATGAAAGTGTTATTTTAATGGGCTTTAATGGGTATTTAGGAGATTTCAAGTGAAGAAGGATTAAACGGCGTTACAGATAACGGAGGCGGTGGATTTTTATTTTACCTATGTTGGACCGACTGCTCACAGGTTTAGAATCTACGGCTAAAGATTGAAAAGATTTCCAGCAACATCTGTAGATTTTTTTAGAAGTAAATAAATACAATGTGATCACATAATTGACGACCTTAATCACAGCTGATTACATCAACACATAAAATCTACTCATCTTATTCCCGTGACAAGCCAAACCAATCTCCTCAACTTTGCCATGGAGCACGGCCAAACCACTCCTCGGTTCTATGACAGGAAAATAAACAATATCATTACATCTCGCGCTGTAATTCAATATATACATACTAAAACAACAGGGCCTGGGAGGATGGCAGCCCAAACAGGATTGTCTTCACAATACTTCCTCACATATCAACAGCCTGTGCTACAGCTTTTACAGGATTTGAGTCTCCTCGTCCATTAAACTTGGACCTATCCTTTATTGGCTTGTGAGAGCCAGGGGTCACTTTTGCAGCAGTTCTGCTAGGCTTGGTTGCTTGAGACCCAATACCTCCCCCTGCTCAAATCAAACCATTGAAACAAAAAATTAGAAAAACGCATAATATATGCCAGAGGTACCCTATCATTGTGCATTGGGAACCTGCCAGCCTAAAATTAGCAATATAGATAGAAGAGTGAAGAACAGAGATGTCCAATGAGCTTCAGGGAATGTTATGTCACCTTACTACATAATCTCTTTTGACAACAACCAGCTTAAACCGGAAGAGGTAATGTTAATGTACAAGAATCAGATGCTTGAAAATCAATGTGTATTCATAGGCGACAAACTACTATGTCCCAACTGCCAATCCACTATGTTCTCGGGGAGAAGGGTTAACATCAAGGTGAAAATACCTATATACTTTTGGACCAACAGAGAGAACGCTTACCACTGTTAGGCAGAGACAATCGCTTCTTTGCCTGTTTATCTGATTGTATGGATCTCTCTTTAGGATTGCTGTGAGATCTTGAACTGATAAGAGGTCTTGAGCCAGCTTCTTCAACCAAATCTTCAAGAATCGATTTGGGTTTTGGCTTGGAAGACAATGCATTCACTACTTCTAGCACACTTGCTGACTTACCAGGTGGTGAATCACTTCCATTGGTATGCGATGGACCTGTTTTCTGACTTGAAAGGTTAGCATGAAGACTGGATGCAGCTGTTTTCTTGATAGCAGGTTTTATCTGAGAATTAGCACCATTCTTTCCCTCAGCAGGACCATCCTCACGTATCATTACTCCATCTCGAAGATTAATGTCAAGAAAACGATTCTCCCATGGACGTACAGCCATCCATCTTTCCAACCAGTTCCAACCCCAGCTGCTTTTATCTGGTTCAAACCCAGCAGGCACAGACTGCTGTCTTGATCCTGCTTGCCACTGCACGAACATATATTAACTCTTAAACATAAACAACAACTCAAATGGGACCAGTCAATGAAATGGTTCTAAGGCAAGATTACAATCAGATAACCACAGAATCAGGTGATTAGTATGACGACAACAGTTTTGTGGCGAGATTTTGGCATCTAACATCAACCATCACAGGAGGCTGATGCTAATAACAAGGGTTCTGAGTGAGGAGATATTTATCAGGTAACAAAATTTACCAAGAGCAGACAGAACCCTTAACAACAGACAATCAACCCTCCAGAACATTAAGAAAAAAGAACTCCGTAAGACTGCAAGAATGCAATGATGCAAAGTATTAATACAGTTTTACCCATTGTGTGATGGAACCGGAGGACAAGACTAAAAGTGATTATCAAGAAGCAAGGATTAAACAATATTTGATGAACTAAAAATAAAAAATTTAGCATTCATAGATAACAAAATGCATTATTTATTTCAAAATGGAGTTTGAATTGCCATTCACTTTTTTAGCCATTTGCTCATATTGAATCAAACATAATTTTCCTTTTCATTATTTGCTTTTATTTTATGACAATTTTTGAGGATGCCAAAAGTAAACAACAAAATAAAAAAATAGCAAAGGCATCAAACAAAGCGAGTCTAAGTATCCACACCTTTTCTCTTTCTCTCTCTCTCTCTCTTTATATTTTATCTTTTTATCAACGAAAACAGTATTTACACTGAGCTTGCTTTTTTTAACCATTCCAGGACCTATACTTAAGTGATAGAGTAAAATTCAAATTAATTGAAATGCAATAAGACATTGAAAACTCTCTCTCTCTCTCTCTCTCATTCTGAGCAGTGCTTTGGGGGGCAGAACTTTCATTCCATAAATAACATAAACTTCATTGGACTATGAATTTGCCACTCCATAAATTACAATAGTTTTACCATTTCTTACCTGATTAGCCAGAGCATATGCCATGGCTCTCTCACGTTTAGCTGCAGCCTCCTGCCTCTTTAGTAACTTGGCTTGAATTTCTTCAACAGATCCTACACTATCGCACCAGCCTTCCTGCATTTGGTCAGAAGTCATATTAAGCACTCAGCAAACCAACATCTATGCTTCAATTATATGAGAAAAGGAAGGATAAACAGATTAAAATTTCTATGATCATTATTCATTAGTGTAACCAGAAAATGATGTAATTCGGTTAACAAAAAGCTATCAACATACAATTAATACTATCCAGCAAGGATTATCAATTTGTGTGCATACCATGTTTGTAAATATCTATTGGATGGCATAGAAAAGAGAAGTAAACCTAATGGTTGACAGGAGAAAAGTCATAGTAGCAGCAAGCAACATCAGCCACATGCAAAGTATGGTGTGACAGTGAAACTCAACACATGCAGATGCTAAAGCATTGAACCTAAAAACCAATTTTGAATGAATGGCACAAAACCGAACTTATTTGATGTAAGACATAACACCACTCCCAAAAAAGCAGATAAGAACTTAGCTCCACCTACAGATAAAAGGTTCCACCCACATCATCACTCTCAATCAGTTTACCTTAGCATCAAAACAACCAAGTAGTCTGAGTATAATAAAATCACTACTAAAAGGATCCTCATATTTTGCATACAATGAGGAAACAATGATTTTTGCTACACCCATATTGGGAGTATTACCCAAAAAAGAAAGTGTTAGGAGGGATCTCCAGGCTACAGTTTATCCATCATATATATCTTATTCCACCAAGAATTCTTCAAACATCCGCATCCTCTGTAAGACTCTCAATCAAGAAACCTTAGCACCCTCCAAACAGAATTTTCTACTTAGGTGATACATTCTACATTTCCAGATTTGAATTCCACACATATCTGAACCCATACACCACACTTATGATGGTACAACAGAGAGTTGCATCATCACCAACCACATTCTAAAGTCTCAACTAAGTAACCAAATCTAGCACCCCTGCTTTGAAATTTTATCAGCACTCTTGAGATATTTTAAATGTTGCAGATCATTTCTGTAATCAATTACATTCCAAAGAAGATTTAACTCGCACAAGAGAAGTAATTCACCAGCTTTACATGATGGAAGAATATGATACCACATTGCAATCCTACTATTTCAATCTTAACAAAAACCAACCAAGTGTATGCACGAGTACAGATATGCGTAACAATCATGCCTGATTGCATGCATGAACTCAACTCTATTTCATGTGTGTGTGAGAACTCGCACGCATGCACGTTTGTGTCAATTTATATGAATTGTAGAATCCAAAATTTCTCACCTCTATTTCTTTAACACGAGCTTCATTTGCAAGTTGTTGCTGAAATTTCTGTTGTGCAGTTTGACCTTCTAATTCCAGTCGAACACGCCTTGCTCTTACACGAGCTTGAACTCTCACCAAAGCTTGCATGCAGCGAAGAGTTATTGCAGCTTGTTTTCTTACAGCATGACCCCTGACAAGGGCCTGCAATCTTACCAGTCCTTTTAACGCTCGCAGTGCTCTTCTCGCCTGATTTTTAAATAAAATATATTTCAATTCCATGTGTCAGAGAATTATGCAGTTACGTTACTTATTAAGGGGTCATTTGGTATTGTTGTGTGTTTTATGGTTTATGTTTTTGAAAATTTTGTTTTGTTTTATTTTCGTTTTATTTTCAATTTATTGAATTTGTAAAAATGTTTGGATAGAATGTTTTTGTTGTAGAAATGTGAAAACAAAAACATGTAAGAGAAGTGGTTAAAACTTTGACATCTTCAAAGGAAGAGGTTCAATTCTGGCCAGAAGCAAAATTGTTAAACTGTAGCAGTACTGTAGCTGAGCAGATGAACAGTGCCATGTGGTAACAGTACTGAAATTGTTTCCAAAATTTTGAAGACACCATTTTTCTGTTTTCAATAATTTTCAAAACTTTCCAAAATTTTATTTTTAGTTTTAAAAAACAGAAAACAGAAACAAACTATCAAGAACATTTTTGTTTCTAATTTTCAAAGACAGTGAAAACAAAAACAGAAAATGGAAACATTACCAAACAACCCCTAAATAATAGTTCAGATGCATGACAAATCATTAAAAACTGGGTCTCTCTTGTTATGAATAAACTTGTATTCTGTGCAGTTCGAAGGTAGACTGTGTCTTCAGTTGATGATTTGATCAAAACATGAAGACATATGACATGAAATAAGTCAGACTAAGCATCAGTGCATAGCACCTTATACGTATAAGCATAGAGAAAACATATATAGACAAACATAGACAAATACAAGATGCATTAAATACACATGTAAAAATGAGTGGTAGTTAACATGCATGCATTTGTAGATCCTCAGAAAAGCTACTCCCTCCAACCCATTTTTTTTCCCCTTATTTCTTCTCAAGAAGTCCTGGATTATCCTTTTTCCAAAATAATATCTTCAACTTTTCAATACATTCTTTTCACTTATTCCTAGAAGCAGGTTTAATCTTGTTCAAGATAAAGAAGGTTAAATCGAAACCACGTCTATTTCCTCAAACTTTATACAAGTCAAACCATCCCAAACAACTTGAGAAAAAAGAATATTTCAAATTCTCATTTGACAAGGACAAAAGATGAAAAAGTGGAATCAGTACCAGGAATCCTCGGAAAGCTGTTTGTACCCTAGTGGCAGCCCATTCTTCCCTTGCATGTTCATTAAGAGGTGCATCATGCACTTCAAGTGCATCTAAGGGAGAGCCAGCAGTACCTGCAGTTGCATGAGTAGTAGCATCTTCGGCTGGTGAAGCAGCATTCTGATCCAAGTCTTCTTGAAGTTTACTAGTGTCAAACTCAACAGATTGCTTTCTTTGGTGACGAAATCTGCTAGCAGCTACCCTCTGTCACAACCAAGGACCAAAATGTTGAACTAAAAAATTCATAAATGAAATTCTACTTTGGAAATCAATCACGTTTGAGCTTGCTAACATATTAATGTTCCCAAATAAAAAATAAAAGATTAAATGAAACATAAAGGATATTCTAAAATACACAAGTTTGGAGGACTTCACCATGGAAATAAACAGATTTGTTTTCATTGCTATGAAATTGCAAATAGAAACATTTTACTATGCAACGCCCAGGGTAATTTTTTCTCATCTGTTGCTAAACTTTTTTTGCAGTGGATCTTTGATATTGAAATTATACAAGAAAAGTAAAAAAGAACCTACATTTTAATCACTATCAATAAACCTACACTGCTTTATAATAAGGTTTGAAGGAAAAAATCCAGCTATGAGCCAGCTATCAACTCACATTTGCTTTCTACATGCTAGCAAGCTACAATAAGACTGGTTATATGAAAATAAGCATCATCAAGTGCACAATTTATTCTGATAATGACATATAGCATCATCAACTAGTATGGATGAAGAGAGTAGAAATCATATCTTGATTTGGCTAAAAAGGATAGCTATTGCATGTAAGTTACTACATAATACTCTTTCTCCTACGTACCATATTAGTCAACAACTCAACTAAGCCCTAAGTCCAGGAAAAAGGGATTATTCCACAACATGAACATGTTACTTAAAGTGCACATGATAAGAAGACACTTTGTGACAATTGGTAATACTTCAGCATTTTGAAGAGGCACACAAATAACCCAAATCTAAACCTCCGAAAGGGAAAAAGTAAAAAAAAAAAAATAGCAATATTCATACTGACATTTTCTTCTTTATCTGAAGATTGTGACTTTTCTGATTTCTTCAAGCCAACCAGTGCTTTGATCCATTTTCCTGAGACACCCATGCCACCAACAATGATAACTCAACTTGATACAGGCAGACCTGCAAGAGAAAATGCTTGCTAAATCAATCTTAAAGTTACACTCATTGATATCATGCTTCTCAAACTCTATGGAAAAAGAAAACATAAAAGAATGCTAAGCAAGAGGACAAACAATTGTGTGATAATACTTCCTACCTATCAATCCAATAAGAAAGTATCTAGCTGATATTATACACATCCAAGAATCAATGTAATAAGTGCTGATCTATGTAAAAAAATAAATAACGAATACATTTCGCGATATGACCAGTACAATCTATAATAGTAGCCAAAATGGATATTACTTTTAAGGGAACTCCATTATTAACACAAAAGAAAGCATATCATTGAACTAAATTAGGCCACAAAAGAAAAGTAATAATCCTTTCATAAGCTATTAAAGGTGAAATTATTCACACATTGAACACCATTTCTGTCAAAAATAATGAGTTCTCACTTCTAAAGTAAATGTTGACGCCACAATATACAATCTCTAAATATTGAAGAAACCACATTATCAATAATAAACAAATTATTGAATACATAAATCACAAAAGCAGCAATAACAACATGGCAAGCCCAGTGTGTCAGGGTGCAAGGCACACTCGAATTTTGACTCATAAGATAGTAAAATCCCAAAATGTATTTGCCTCAATTTTGTACTGCCCAAAACATGGCATGGCCAAATTCCATGTTAGTCAACTTAAAACCTAAAGACAATTTGATATGGGAAAAAATGGGTCTCAGATTCTTAAATGAAAACTAAAACAGGGGGGAAATACTACCATTTTCAGCTCATTAATAATATCCAAAGACATCAATAACCAACCTTTCGATCTTGGGTTCGAAATCAAGGACCTCGGCTACACGGTGCACTTTGTTAATGTCAAGGGAAGCAACCATAAATTCTCCATCAACCCTCTCATTTGTCACACTTCCTGCAAATCATCACCTAATCAATAAGATAGCAACCAAAAAATTAAAAAAAAAATAAATTTACCACGTAAAAGTTAAAAAAAAAAAACCTTAAAAAAGGAAAAAACTGGAATTTATTTCCATTTTTCATTTATGAATCAATCATTAATTCCTCCCATTTAATCAACTGTCCACATTAAAGTCTACTGATTTCAAACTGCAACAATTACTGCCAAATTAAGCCTCATTAACTACAGATCTTGCAAAATCACGAAAGAAATTTCATAATTATTTAAAAATAAAACCGAAAATTCACCATCTAAAACAAGTAAGAATAACAGAGATCAAGAGCTCAGTTGAACCAACGTTAGATTAAAAAAAAAAAAAAAGAAAAAAGTTGAAAAGAAATAGTACCTTTTTCAACCGTTCGATTGATGATGATCTATCAATCAATCAGTCAGCATAGTCAAACCTCAGTCAAACTTCTTTTTTCTCCCTCTCTCTCTAACAAAAAATTGGATTATCAGTTCTTCACTCTACTTCAGACCTCTTCCACTTTCTCTCTCTAGACTTTTGTCCATCTAATTTTTTCTCTCTCTAGAATTTGTGAGGACCGGAATCGGCTATAGTTCGCCGAGGAGGGGAACTGGGAACTGGGTTAAACTGCAAAGGAGCGGTGTCGTTTATGATTTTAGTTTACTCGTTGTCAAGCTCGCGAACGAAGAGAGGTAATCACGGCACGCGTGTCCCCTTTCACCGGATCCATTACCATTTTTCAAATGCCTTTTTGTGATCACAGCTTACGTGAGCGTCAACGGTTTTTCACTTCATTTATAATTTTTTAGGGAATTAATTTTATATTTTTTTCTAAAAAAAGTAAACATTGATCTATTTGTAAAAAAAAAGAGGACAATTTCTTTTTTTTTATTTATATTATAAAATTTAATCTACTTATTAGTGATGGTTAGCATGATATTATCGGTGACATATTTATTTATTAATAATAGTAATTTTTAAATTGATTTGAATTTTTAAATTTCATACATGAATTATGAAAAATGAGATAACAAGTTATGTCATTATGGTATTAAATAGTATTTATTAAAATGAATAAATTGATTTATAATTAAATAAATATATAATAATAATTTTTGGTAGTTGAGGATATTCTTATTCAACATATGGGATTTAAAGAGACTAATTTTAGAAGTTAAGTTCCAAAAAAATAGAAAACAAGAAAGAGACGTGGAATAGGGGCATCAACGTGGAAATCGCCTCGCAGTTGAAGCGAAAGAACCCTCTAGAATTCCAAGAATTTCGTTGTATTTTTTATTTTTATTTCTTATTTCTTTGCAAAGCTAAAAGGGGGAAAAAGTAGACAATTCTAGAGCCTTCTGTATTTTCTCAGGATTCCAAAATCTAAATCGTCCATTCAACGATCTCTCCTATAAATCGTACCCTACCCAGCATTCCCCTTCCCAAAGCTACTTCATTTATTCTTTTCTTCTCTTCTCATGCCCTGTCTAGAGCTCTCAGGTTGCCCTTTGTTACATTATCTTCACAAACAAAGAAAAGCAGTTTTGTAGATTAAAAATTAAGAAAAAAAATCAAAGATGTTTGGAAGAGCACCGAAGAAGAGTGATAACACCAGGTACTATGAGATTCTGGGTGTTTCCAAGAACGCTTCCCAGGATGATTTGAAGAAAGCTTATAAAAAAGCCGCCATTAAAAACCATCCTGACAAAGGCGGTGATCCTGAAAAGGTATAATATTTACTTTTAATTTTTTGTTGAAGATTTCATCTGGGTTTTTTTTTTTTTTAATGATGGGTGTAATGATTTTATTACTAATTTTGCTTTTTTGGGGGTTTTTTGTTTTGTTTGTTTGTTAGTTTAAAGAGTTGGCTCAAGCCTATGAGGTACTGAGTGATCCTGAGAAACGTGAGATATATGATCAGTATGGTGAGGATGCGCTCAAGGAAGGAATGGGTGGTGGTGCTGGGGCTCACGACCCTTTTGACATCTTCTCGTCCTTCTTTGGTGGAGGCGCTTTTGGAGGTAACAGATTTAGTTTAACAGATAGTTATTTTAATTATTACTTTTATTCGAATTCTGACATGTTGTCATGTTTTTGAAGATGTAAGTTTTATTTGATTTGAAGGATCCTGGTTTGAGAATATGTTAAGAAATTTGATATCATGATTATTTTGTTTAATGTTGTTGGGTTGATTTTTAGAGCATTATCACTTTCATTCTAAATTTGACATGTGATCGTGTTTTTTCAATACATCAGCTTGTTTGATGATTTGGTGAAACCTGATGAAACAGAGTTAGGGAATTGATGTTAATTTGCTTGATGTTGTTGGACTAATTTAGGGAAATTAGGATGATTGAATCATGGTGTGATTGTTGATGAATAGGTGGTAGCAGTCGTGGAAGAAGACAGAGACGGGGAGAGGATGTGGTTCATCCTCTGAAGGTGTCTTTAGAGGACCTTTATCTTGGGATCTCAAAGAAGCTTTCTCTATCTCGCAATGTGATATGCTCAAAGTGCAATGGGTAAGTTCATATTCTCATTGATTTCTTGTGTTTGAACTTTTGGTAATATTTGCTTATGTGTAAACTGTTATTTATGACAGCAAAGGCTCGAAATCAGGAGCTTCAATGCAGTGCTCTGGTTGCCAGGGTTCTGGTATGAAGGTTTCAATCAGGCACCTTGGTCCTTCCATGATTCAGCAAATGCAACATCCTTGCAATGAGTGCAAGGGTACTGGTGAGACAATCAATGACAAGGACCGCTGCCCTCAGTGCAAGGGTGAGAAGGTTGTTCAGGAGAAGAAAGTGCTGGAAGTCATTGTAGAGAAGGGTATGCAGAATGGACAAAAGATTACATTTCCAGGTGAAGCTGATGAAGCGGTATGTTTATAATTTAACAGTAATGTATTTTATTGTATGCACTTGGTTTGACATTAACATGTAGCCTAATTGGCTGGTTTTTGGTGTGTTTTGCAGCCTGATACCGTTACTGGGGATATAGTCTTTGTCCTTCAGCAGAAGGACCACCCAAAATTCAAGAGAAAGGGTGAAGACCTGTTTGTGGAACACACATTGTCACTGACTGAGGCTTTGTGTGGCTTTCAATTTGTACTTACCCATCTGGATGGTAGACAACTTTTAATCAAGTCAAACCCTGGGGAGGTTGTGAAGCCTGGTAAGTACCTAGGAATGTTTGCACTCGTATCTTAAGGCCTATGTTTACACTTGTATCTTTAAGGCTTTCTTCTATTGGTTGCTTGCTTTATTAACTTGTGAACTTTTTGTTCCAGATTCCTTCAAAGCAATTAATGATGAGGGGATGCCCTTGTACCAGAGGCCATTCATGAAGGGCAAATTGTACATTCACTTCACCGTTGAATTCCCTGATTCTCTGAGCCCTGATCAGGTGAAGGCACTTGAGGCTATTCTGCCACCAAAACCAACCTCTCAATTGACTGATATGGAGCTAGATGAGTGTGAGGAGACCACGCTACATGATGTGAACATTGAGGAAGAGATGAGGAGGAAGCAGCAGGCAGCACAGGAAGCTTATGATGAAGACGAGGAGACGCATGGTGGTGCCCAGAGGGTGCAATGTGCCCAGCAGTGACGTCGAAGAAAACAAAATTTAAGCTGATTTGAGTAGTATTCATGTACTTAGAACTATGGAAGCTAATCTCCATAGTAGTTATGTAGAACTGTGAGTGTATGGTTGTTGCAAGACGATGTCTTGCATTGGTGGTGGAAGCTAATCTACATGGTACTTATTTAGAATTGGGAGTGTATGGTTGTTGTAAGACATGTCTCTCATTGCTGGTGGGTGAGTGGTGGTGTTCTTGTTTTCCAGATGTTAACAGAAGATATGGAAATCTCTTCATTGCCATTGCCATTATCAATTCATGCTTCATTTTTCCCTTTTTCTCGTGTGTCCTCTAAGGAAACACTGCCTCTAAACTGGCTTTCTCTAAAGCCTAACAGGGTACTTACCGGTCATTTGTTGATTAGTAAAATAGCGTTTGCTTCTTTGGATCCTTAGTGATAACTGTATCAATAAATATGAAAGGAAAATGAACCATTTATTGATCATATTGCTCCTGTGCAATCTAGTGCATCTCTCAACCAGATTGTTCAGGAGAAATGAAAGTCTCGTTAAACTCCATAAAAGAATGAACGTAACTTCCTATAACTATGAAAATTTTGTACAAAAGAAACCTCAGATTACCAACACTAATCACGGGGAATGTTTATCTTTTTCTGGAGATAACGAAATAACTGTGGAACAGGAAATTTTGGGTTATTCTTAGATTTTATACATAATCTTGCTACAAGTAGAAGTTTTTTAAGCTCTCTAGAATCATAATTGTTTCCTAGGTCTGGATCTATCATCATATGAATGGAACTGCTAAGGCCAGATCCTTGCACCCATTGGATTAAATCGGTGCTCCCTTGCTCTGATGACTGGCCAGTTATTAGCTCCAATATCAGCACTCCAAGCTGAAAAATTATGTTGCCACATTCCTGACGCATACATTCTACAAGAGAGAATAGATCTATGAATAAAGGTTACATTGGAGAAGAAAGCAACTCATTTGTAAGGATAGTAGTAACAAGTCACCTTCTGAACATGAGGAATGAGGCATTTTAACACAAGTTCCAATAGAACTATGAAGACCAACATCAGACAGCTGTAATGAAGAATGAATAATTATTATTTCTATACAGTTTTAGAGTGGCATCTAGCTTCTTAAGATGCTGGTATTTTAAACATGGTTTATATCATCCAAATGCTAACATAAAAAGGGAACGAAATTAGACCTTTGCAGTAAAGTTTTCATCTAACATGATATTACTTGAGCTGATAGAGACATGATAAACCGGTGGGTTACTGAAAAGAAGTAAGTATTCCTGCCAACACATAGTCAAAAAATCATATGTTACACTGCAATAGAACCAATGTGCAGAGACCCGATACTAGCCAGTCTTATGAACTAAGAAAACAGGATAACTAGCGGGTGGAACATCAGAAGGGATCACTCAGAAGTGGTTCTAATCCAAAGCAGACAGATGAGTTTGTGACTTACCAATGCTGCTGCTACACCAACGGCTATTTGTAGCCTTGCTTTCCAATTCAAAGGAGTCCTGAGAGGATCTGTCAAGAGCCAGTGTTTAAAACAAAAGAAGATGTTTGCAATTATACACAGATCATGTTTTATAGATTTACCATTAAAATGCTCCTTCAAGCTTCCATTTTCGATATTGTCAAACACTAGTAACCTGCAAAGATACGCCAAAGATTATAGTGAATCTTCAAGCATAAACTATCTTTAACATTAGCTTTATCATAGAAACTCTGCATACGGACATGCACATATTTGAGTAAAGGGATTTTGCAGAGAAAAACTGATGATTTTACACAACTTATTTGACATTGCAACTGCTACGTCATATAATAATTTTCAATATAAAGCTCTTATATGGTCAAATGCATATTTCCATAATCGCAGCTACATTTTCTTCTAAACCAAGTCTACATTTTTATCTAAAAGCAAGCAAATCTGAAAAGGAAATCAAAATGAAAGTCAGATATCAACCTCTTATGCCCTGGGGAAAACCCCCTGAGTGCAAGAAGATGGCGATGATGCAATCGCCCCAAGAATTGCACTTCTTTGTAGAAGCTCTCTGTTCCTTCATCAAAAGCTCTTGTTTCTTTTACCAAAACAACTTCACCACCTTCAAATCTGGCCTTATAAGCAGCCCCATGGGAATTGCTATATACTATCCTGTGAAAGCCATCAGTTGCCTTCTTTACATCTTTGTATGAGAACTTCTTCACAAACAAAATTGGGCCTGAAAATAACAAAAAAAATGAGATAGAGTGTCATCATAATTGATGACGCAACACATCAAAAACAAAGTTAATACTCCAAATAGTAACATTCTTAAACCAAATAGCACTGCCAATTTTAAAAAATGTACCCATTGTATTTGCCATTATCAATATCTTTAATGCGACTCAGGATAGTAAGACATATCTATAAATGAGATAATAAAACGAGTACAAGATGCTTGTCAGGCTATGACTTTACCTCATCCACATGACAGGTTGAACTATAATAATACAATCTTATAGTAGGGATGCTCAGATGTTTAGACTTTACGGGTATTACACTCAATGCTCACCAAGAGGTCCTTTTGTATAAGTTCATAGCTCAATATCTTGTAAAACTAAAGAACTATGAACTTAGGAAAAATTGATGTTAGTAGCAGATAAAATAGTCGTGAATGGAATGGACATATATAAATATGTTTTAACAAATAATAAAAAAAGAAGTTTACTGTTAAAATCAGGAAATATACAATGAAGAATCACAAGAAAAGCAAATCAGGATAAGAAGATGCTCCAATCACAAACGTCTATCACAGCTTAGAAAACCAATATCCAGTGGCCTCAACTGCAATGGATTTGGATAATTTGAATACAAGAAGTCATTTTGTACAGTGATATTGAAATAATGATACTATTCATCATATACTAACAAATTTTTATGATCAAATAGGAAGGTGATTTCATTGCTTCTTGGTATATGTTAGTCTACAAAGGAAAAACTTTGACAAAATGGGCATGCCCACAGTAACGTGGATAAAAGTTTTCTTAGATCTATTCGAATGGCTTACACTTATGACCACAGAACTCATAGAGACCTCACAAGTTATGTAAGTAAACAACGTCAATCTTGCTTGGGTAATAAGATGATGCTCTCGGAAAAAGAAAACGAGAACAAAGTGTAGAGCTGTTTTGTACAGCTGAGAGCACTCTTCTTCCCTTTAAAACTGGAATATGGAAGTCTAATCATTTGTTAGGCCAACAGAGGCAAAGCATAATTGTATCACAAGACAATGTCTGTTACAACTTACAACACATCTTCTAATTCAATTTCCCTCAAGAAGAGGGAAAAGGAAGAACATGAAAAAGGAAAAGGAAAGAGATATGACCCAGATTTCTTCTATCTTAATACAAAAGAAAAAAAGAATACTGCTGCTATTTATCGGGATTGTCTTAATTCTTATGATGTTCCTTCCCTGTCTAATTACACAACAAATGGGACAGCATATGATCAAGATTTATTACATATACTGGTGGACACAATGTTATGCAGACAAACGCATACACACAGGGAAAGACGAAGAGATATATTTATAGTTACATACCAGAAAATTAAAACCCAATTGATTTACCATCCCAAGTATCATTGTTTAATAACCAATACAAACCATTTTTCTGACACTGATCAAGAATATAGATAGCCAAGAATCTTCAGAGCTGACAATAGGATTCTTCAAGATTTCTCTTTTTTTTTTTTTTCCAAAATCAAGCTCATCACAGTCCTTCAAACCACCAAACCAAAAGAAAAAGCTTCTATACATGAACTTATTCACTAAAAATTATTAAACCCATTTTAAACCAGCAAGTTCAAGCTAGAATCCATCGATTTCCATCAAATTTATGACATTTTTCCCTAGGATCATGATTCATGAACAATTACAAAAAAAACCCATTAACCATTAGTAAAATCCAACCTCAAAAAGCTACAACTTTCCCAGAAAACAAAACAAAACAGTTAACAAATTTAATCTAAAAAATAAGTCTTAACAGACAAAGACAAAGAATTGCAGACCAGTCCAACAGTTTTTTTCAGTTAACAGTTAAATAAAAGAGAGTACCAGAACGAGATCGGTGAAGCCAAGCAAGAAGACGAAACCTGAGTTTCCGGATCATAGGATCCATTCCAAAAACAACTCTCTGTTACTTACCGAAACACCAATTTTTTTTTTCTATTCAGTTAACTTGTATGACCCTGCTGCTGCTGCTGCAGCAGTCAAACAGTTATTGCCAATAATTTCCACGTCGTTGTTTTTCTGCAATTTATAACGACTTTGCATTGCAAATGCTTTTCCTTTTTTTTTTTTGGCTTGGAAAGTAAGCGAGAGTTATGATGAGTCAAGTGGTCCTTGAATCAGTTAAATGCTTCAGTAAAGTGGCTGTTAAAAACTTTGGTGTGATTTCTAAAAACAGTAAATAAACTGTCAAAGATCGTTTTGTTTGTTTTCTTTTGTTTTGTGTTTTAATTTTGCTTGTAGTGAACAATGATTCGTAGAGTGCATCCAAAATTTGACAGATCATAAAGCTGGTATAGATTTGTTGAATATTTTATTTAAAATAATTAAATAAAACAACTGAATTAAAATTTTAATTTAAACAACAACAACTATTTTAGTTCAATGGTTGCAGTTCTTACTTAACAAAAAAAAAAAAAAGATTGGTTTCATTAATATAGGATTTAAACATGTTTTTTCTTTTGGCATTTGTAAGAATAGTGTAGCCCATGATTTTTAATGGAATTATGGAGCAACATCATACCCCAGCATCAATATCAAATGTTTACTGGTAGCATTGGCTTGCCTTTATCCCAACCACAATCATCCACTTTTAGATATTGTCGCTTGAATCTTATGATATTATTCAATTCACCAAATTAATCAGTCCCTTAAACAGATTAAAAAAAATTTTCCAACTGTGTTGTTTTATAAAAAGACAAAGCTCAATAGGTTGAACAATGTTTTTTGTGGATACCCTTTGGATGCTCGTTTGAAATAAAGCTTGGTGTCATTAACTTGGCCAAAGAGCAATATAAATTCCAGCAAGTCACTAGTAATTAGCAAAGAAAAAAAATAAGGATAGAAGAAGAAAAAGAAAACAGCAGAAAAAAAAATGCAAAAAAGAGCAGCATTATGAAAACTTTGTGTCTTGGTTCACTCCAGGGGACCGGGCATAGCATTAATTTAGACTTGTTGACTGTGGCTGTGACTTTTGCATTGGCTGACAACGAAGATATTGACAGTCTATTTGGTGCAGGGTTCTGTTTCTGTGGATTGTTTGCTTTTTATGTAAATTTTCTCGCGAATTCATCTCAGAAAGACAACATAGTAACGACTGAATGAAGTGAACTGTAGTAAGGTGACACGTTGGCTATACCAATGCCTCAAACAATTACACAATATCCATCACTTTCTTGATACTTGAAAACCTTCTCTCTTTCTCTTTTTAATGTTTTCAGCGTCACTCTTGCTTTCATTTTCTCTGCCTACAATATAAACCTAGGCTTGGCAATCCATGGAGCTATTAGCACAGTTCAAGCTCCTCATTGTGCTTTTTTTTTTAAACTATCTTTTTGCCCTTAGTTTATAATCAGGCTGAAAATGTAACATGTTAGAAAAAAAATGGAAATATGAAAACACTGCTTCTGCAAAATATGACATTTTGAAGAAAGATTTTAAAATTTTAAGGAAATATTCTAAAGCATGTAAAGTTGAAGAATGGCAATTCATAGTAAATAAATAGATATTTATTATTATTCGATTTTTTTACGGTAAATTTGAATAATCATAAATGAATAATTAATGAATTTAAATAAAAAATTTATTATTCGTGATAAATTCATATAAAATATGAATAATATTTTTTGAATATTTAATATTTAAATTCATTTACATTTAATACAATAATAATAAATATTTAAATTTGTATCTGAATTCATTTTTCCTTTATATGCATAAAATTAATAAAATTTTATATTTATAAAAAGTTTTGAACTTTAACAAATAATCTTTGTTTGTTATTAATTAAAAGTAAACTTAAATTTTAAATTTAATTCTTGTTTATTTTATATTTTGATAAAAAATTTAAATAAATAAATATTTTAAATATTTATTTAAACGAATAATACTTATTTAAACGGATTTAGATTTTGATAATTATATTAAACTTAAATGAATATTTAAATAAATTATAATACAATAAATGGATTTGAATTAAGACATTTAAAAAACAGCAAATATCCATTCTATTATCAATTCTAAATAATGGTATCACATTTTTTAAGGTTTTATTCACTCTTATTGTATTATTTACTTATCAGATACGTAAAAGAATTGTAAGCGATAAACTTCAAGAATATAATAAAACTTTTTGCGTTGATGAAATTAATTCTTCAAACATTCACTAATGTATTATAAAATTATCAAACTTCTATAAAAAATTTCTGTAGCATAACCTTTTAAAAGAAATTTGAATTATTTGGAAAAGGAAGAAGAGTTCTACAAGTTATTTCTAATATATATATATATATATATATATATATATATATATATATTTTTTTTTTTTTTTCAAAAAAAGACTTATAACATAATTAAGTGGCTACTAAATTTAGACTTTTTTTTTTTTGAAAATAAATGTACAGACATAATTGGTTATCTATTCAGACAAAACTGTTTAGTTTTTTTTTATCAGACTTAACTATCTAAACACTTAATTAATCTCTATTTAACTTAAAAATTAATTTAAATAAAATAATATTTTACTTATTGCCAAGTAAATATTAATATATTAATTATATAATTAATGCAAGGCCAACTAAATTTAAAAATGCAAATTTATGGTCCAACCTTACACTTTATCCACTTTAGTCCAATTACATTAAAATTTCGCTCCTCTTAATTTAAATAGCTTTCTTATCTTTTCCACCCCAAATTAGGATTACTTCCGGTGTTTCATTTTGAAAATCTCTAACATAACATACTCGTACGTCTCTTTCTACGGTATTTTCATTAGCATTATAATTTTGTAACTGTACTTTTTCCCCCCTTCAGATTTCCATGTTGAAATATTAATGCAGATGACTCAAGGCACTACATTGTTAATATCCACAATGTTGAGGTATCCCCTGATCCAATGATGGTAGGCAGGCCAGCTAGCTTCACCATCTCAGCTTCTAGTTCTGCTAGTAATTTTTTTTTTATTATTCCTGTCTTTACATATCAAATTTCTATGCCAACAACCTTTCAGATGCAAATCCTCTTGTTCAACGTACTGATTTTGGTTTGTAGTACTTGACTTATTAGGAAATGCGGATGGAATCCCAAGGCATTTTCTGGTTCTGATGCTCAATTGAGACCTGTCGTCTTATTTGTATAGGATATTTTTGATCTGCAATGGACCTCTGTAAGTCTATTTCTATTCTTGACTGAATGATGCTCTATTTATGAGAACGCTAATTGAAAGCTCCATCATATTCTCTCTTGTTAGTATTAGAGTGGAAAATCTGAATTCAGTTTTCCAGCTTCTCATATCCTTTTCGACATGATCTAGAGAAGGATGTGAGCCACTTCTGCCTCCCCATGGTATATTTTTGCAGCCATTTGCCCAGCACGGCTGTAATCATTGGTTCCTGTGGCCCGCTCTGTCTTTGATTTTGGCTAGTTAGAGCTCTACCTCACGGCTCTGGAAGCTTTTCCGTATGTCTCAGGTCTCAACCTTAAAAATTGTTACATTTATAATGTGGTTTTTTTTTTTTTCCTTTTGTTTTCAAAAACACAAATCAATGATGATAAAAATATCATAACATGAACACGGTGTGATTTTCTGAACCAGTACACAACGAGGCTCGGCCTCAATGGAGTGATCCACGGGTTTGGATAAGAGTCCCAGGTGCATAGCAGCCTACCAGGTACAGCCATGGTGACCGTATACAAGTCGTCTGAAAAAATGCTACTAGTAGAACCTCATATAGCGAAGACTTTCCTGTGTGAGCAAAAATCTGGAGAGACTAGTTATGACGGCCTTAGTTGTGGGACCAAGTGACAACGAAGCTGATGATGACAATTATTACATGCCAGATAAGATTCTTGGTTTTGGTCTCGTTCCATGGTAATTAATTAAATAAATATTCATGGTCATAATAATGACATAAAGACAAAAGAGACTTTGATATAATTTCCTGGTCAATAATAATATAGAGAGCAATTTTTGTTGGGTAATTTCGCAGTTGCGTGCATCCTCAGTCTAAACAAAACAAACCCCTTCAAGCAATCCTGCCATGGGCACAGTATCAGCTCAATTCAAGCTCATCCTTTTGCCCCTTCTATCTATTTCTATGCTTTTGTTACCTTTCCTTCGGGCCACTGATTTCAAATACTGCGGTCAGTTTTCTTCTTTCTTTCTGCTAGATTATTGTTGGGTTCTTTTCCTTTTCCTGAAATATCTACTCTAAAAGGAGCCGATGTATGTTAATCCATAGAATCTTAATTGCGTTTGAGTTCTTTTCGTTATTCTGTCCTCTTTTTGTGTTAAATTGCTTAGTTTTTCTTCTAATATATGCCTGAGTCCCTGCATTGAAATCAATGCAGATAATAAAGGTAATTATGTTGTAAAAGTTGATGGAGTCGATATATCACCCAATCCTGTGGTCAGAGGCCAGCCAGCCACCTTCACGATCTCAGCTTCTACTGGTAACTTTCCTTTCTTGCAATTTTTGAATCATATTTACGGATATGTATGTTTTAGGATGTGTTTAGTACTCAGAATCATAAGTTAAAGATAAGAAAGTTCTTTCTTGTGTTGTGTGTAAGATTAAAAGTATGTTAGGATAATTTTTATCTCTTGTCATGTTTGTTCGTAGATATGATCAAAAGTACAAAAGATAGGCCTTTGATAAGGTGGAGTTTAAACATGCAGAAAAAGAATAGCACTTCATTTAGACGTTAAATTAATAAGAAGCTAATAAAATTACTTCATATTTGACTAAGACTCAATTGAATTCAGTTTAGATGCTTAAATTTGCTGGCCGAGCACCCTGTAGAGAAACGGGAATAACTGGCTGGAAGGGTTAATTTTCTAGCTTTTGATGTACCAAACCCATCATCAGGGATTTCTAAAGGTAATTTTTGAGTCTAAGGACTTTATATTGATGGAACTGGAGTTGTTTTACGAAAGAAATATTGATAGTTTAATGGTCTGGATAAGCATGTAACTGCTTGGTAAAACTCTATACATAAGCATGTAACTTCTTCCCATTAATAATAATAAAAAAGGTTTATTACAATTTCAGCACATATTATGTCCGCTTTAGGATGGTTTGGAACAATCCTAAACCTAGATATGAAGTCTTGGGGACATTAAGCATGAAGCCTGAAGAAATCTAGGTTTATAGCACTGACTTCATCTTCTTATTTCTTGTTTTCTTTAATTAAGAATCAACCTTCAATCCTCCATACAAAATGTTATTTAATTCACAGCAAACTCAACCATAAAACCCCTAAATAATGTTCTTAGTAGTGTTCATACTACCAGCACGAACCCTAAACCCTTATCATGAATGCTTTGAAACCCTCATCCCGTTATAATCCATTATTGTATCATGAAAGCTAATTCTTCCTAGCGTTCTTTCTGATTTCCGATACCTATGTCAGTATCCAATTTCTCTGGTAAATACATTTCTAATCTTGGTGGATTTTGCTCTTGCCTATAAAGTTCATTTCTAATTGCTGAAATGGTGCTTTGTTTTGATGGTAAAACCACTTCTTCAAAATCTTTAGCTTTTAAAGAAAAATATTTATTTTGGATTTAATAGCTTAAACGGAAATTCTTGGCATCCAGAAACACTTTGGTCTGTGTCACCAAATGCCTTTATTTATGTGGTACACATTGGTATATGTATCTGAGGATATTTTTTTTTAATTTTCACGTCCATGATTCACAGAGATAGTCTTGTTTGGTATTTCATGAGTGTGTTTTGCAGGTCAAGCTATCTCTGGAGGCAAAGCAGTGATTGATGTTTCCTACTTTGGGATACATATCCATAAAGAAACTCATGAACTTTGTGAGGAAACATCCTGCCCTATAGCAGTTGGCAACTTTGTTCTCTCTCACAATGAAGTTTTACCAGGATTTACTCCACCAGTAAGTTCCACTTAACTGGGATACTTTTTATTTTTGAAACTATTTTCAGGATTATACCACTTGCGAGGTGCCCTTATAAATTGACTTGAAGTTTGAGACGTTTGACTAACCTATTCTCTGATATATTCAGTTGAAGAAAGCACTGCTTGTTTGCAATGCTTCATGTTTGATCTAGTATCTCACATTTCTAAGTTCTCAATTTAATCTTTATATCATGGTGTTTAATGTTGTTTCTATCTTTTATAAAATGAAGCATTCACTCTGCTTTTGAGAAAAAAAGATAGAAAATGATGAAGAAAGCATCTGTTCCTTGGTTCTCACTCGATGTTTAAGGCAGAATACAAAGCGGTGTGTGAATTTATTTTTATTAGTAACTCATTATCCTCAAGTCTTGTGCAGGCACGGTAAGAAATCTCATAGACACCATTCTTTGGCCTATGTGTCTGCACAAGATTTCTTGCTGTGCCTGCGCGAGACTTCGTAAATTGTCATTCTTCTGTAGGCAATTAAAAGTAGAACTCCGATGGTTTTGTTCAAACCAAGGACCTTTTCTGGGGCACAAGCTGATGCCTTATACTCACAGACCAAGTCCATTGCTCACTGCAGTCATGAGTAGACTCTTTCAGTTTTCTCAGTTTTTCATTCTCTCTCGTGGGTTTTTATTCATCTTCTATTCCCTGTCCTCTCATATCTTCCTTTTTCTTGTCTTCAGCTAACTTGTTTGCTTTCATTCTATTGATGGATTTTTTTTTAATTGTTTCTTCTTTACAACTTGGTTTGACTTGGGATTGTTGTAAGATTTTGGAATTTAATCATTTTGATAATTTATTTTTCTATCCTCATAGTTCTTCATATGTCCTGAAAGTGTTATGTGGAATATACTCCATTTGGTTGCATAATATATTTCAACCAATCTGGTTCTTAACTGTCAGAGTGTCAGTAGAGATCAGAATCCAGAGGTTATTCTTTCTTCTTAGCACATAGGTACAAGCTCCATCTAGCTGCTTTTGTGGTTGAATGCCTGAAGAACTCAGGTGGGAAGCACGATGGGAAGTGAAAGCGGATGCTCTGGTTTCGAACTGTAGAACTCTGATTTGAGTTTTTGTAGGCTTCATTCGCTAACCAGTTACATGACCGTTGACATAAAGGCAATTAGCTGATTATTTTTGTGTGGATTTTGCAGGGTTCCTACACGCTTAAGATGATATTATCGAGCAAGGAAATTGCACAGTTAACTTGCATTTCCTTCAATTTCAAAATCGGTCTTGGTGCTTCTGGATCTTCAGTCTCTGATAGCTGAGCCACCAAGTACATGGCTATATAACTCTCTGTAGTCGGGGGTGTTTTCTTATTTCATGGAGACAGATCTCAAAATCTACTATCTTTGTACCTTTATTCTACTAATAACTAGGCTATGATATTATCTATATAAGATCATTCCTGCATGTACCGAATCGCATTTACAACTCAGATATTGAATTAGTGTAAGGTAGTCCATGAGACAACAATGTTTATATAGAAGTCAATTTAATCTGCTGAATCATGCTGAGTTAACATGTTAATTACCATCATTTCAAAATTAGTTTAGTATCCTTGTTTTTTTATGGCACTCTGCCGTTGAACTTTCCATTTATCGACAAAACATGCCATTGTGAGTGTTCAGACCCTGATTCCGAATAAAATGTCTGGCTTAGTCGTACTACAAATACAAGATGAAAACATCACACTTTAGTAGTTGGTTACTACTGTTGTTATCCTTGCAGTAGCAGTACTTCTCACTGACATATCTTTGGGAATAAAACCGGCAAAAATCACTGTAATACTAACTGCAAATTTTAATGCTATTGTAAGATTTAGAAATTTTCAGCTGTTAACTTGGCATGCTTTGAGCTTCTTTCTTTGCAACGAGTAATTTTACTTTTGAGGATTGGCTCTCCTTCAGACTCTAAACGTCAGCATTACTGACATTCACACTGCCAACTCCTACCTTACAGTCAAATCACCTGACTAGCCGGTTTAAATGGAGGTTAAGTGTCACGGTACACGCGTTCCTCCTACTGAAATCACGCGATCGTGTGACATCAAGATTACTCATAATCAAGGTCAGCCTTCATCATGTCCATTTTTTTTCGTGGACCAACCAAATCCGACCCTTCAAGCCTCGTGCCCGCAAGCTTTTTCTGGTTTTTGTCTCCGTAGGGTTGCTTATTCTGAACTCTATAGAGAGGAATCCATCTCTCATCACGCATCAGCCCACGGTTCTCCAAATGATCATGAGCACCTAGCTCTGGCCGCAGAGCTTAATGCTTCGGGCCCCGACCCTCGAATCTCGTAGTGGCACACAGCCCCGGTCCTCTTGATGTTATTACATCTTGGCATGGTGAGAACCCAACACCACGTCCGCACGCATGATACGCAAGCTCCCGTATCAAGTTTACGCAAGCATCCCTTTCACGCTGGTCAGCAGCCAGCTCGGAGCCCCTAGGCTCAACTCGTCCCACGGGACTCGGTTCTTAGGGCTTACGCCCTTTAGCGTCAGTATTGGCCGCCCGCACGCATGATTGACACCCAACATCATGCATGTCCTGCAAGGGGACTCAGGTGGACTGCCTCAGCTGCAGCACACCAGCTGCCCGACTGGCCACTGGGGCCTAGCAACGTGCCTGCCTGCTAGCCCGCGCATCCTCTCGGCTCGATGGCATCCCTCCTACATGAATACCATCGCGTGGTCCAGTCCCGCAAGGGTCTTTGGGTGGACTGCCTTAGCTGCAGCCCACCAGCCCGACTGGCCACAGGGGTCTAGCAGCATGTCCGCTAGCTAGCCCGCGCATCCCTTTGGCTCGATGGTATCCCTTTTACGTAAACACCATCACCTGATCCTTCCGGCTCGAGGAGGAGAAACCGAGGGGCCTAACGGTCTCTACCGTCCAACCCCATGGTTCAACGCAAAGGCGCGATACGAGGCCCGTCGGCCCCAACCGCCCCCGGATTTATCTTACCCGAGGAAACATCGTGCCACGCTCGTGACCCTACCATGTCCGCCCACCTAGACACCACGAGTGCCTAGGAGTAGCTCACTTCAGACTAGCCAGGCCCCCGCCTGCCCGTTAGCCAAGGGGGTGGTGGAGAGCTGACACCAGTTGTCCCCCTATAAAGAGCGTTAGAGATTTTTTCAATATGCTACCAGTGACCGTAAGAATGTCTGAAACGGGGACACTTTTCTGTCCAGCCACCTTAGGGCCTTTCTTCGGCTAACTCAGGGCCCCGTAACCTTCCTCTTGGTCACCATTGCTCTTTGATTCTACTCGTTACTCCACCAACCCACTCGAAGGTGCCCACACATGGCTTCGACCGACAGCACCTGTCTGGCTAGCTGGTCTTAGGGCACCGGCGTAATGCCTTATACTTACCTGTATATCTCGGGGTTTAGGGCATGGACCGTCCACACACAATGTCCCTAACCTATTCTCATGCTCGGAACGCCCGCACACTGCTTTCACAGATGGCACCCACCAGGCTACTTAGCTTGGGGGTGTCCGATCACTGTCCCGAACTTTCCCGCGTATCTTACGGCTCAGGGCCCCCATTGCCCCTACAACATGTTAGCATCATGTTCCCAAGCTCCGAATGCACGCCCGCATTCCTTAGAACCGCTTTCCCGTCAGTTCGATCTCAATCGCTGCTTGGTCCAAGGTCAGTCATGGTAGGACCAAGGCCTGACCATGACACTCTCCCCCATTTACTATGTCGATGCCCTCATCGACGTCTAGACCACACCCAACTATCTTGTTGCACACAGCTGACATTTACTCATATGTCTCTCACTTGTGCCCTCAAGAATTGGGTCGAGGTCCCGTCACACGAGGCACCGTCCACAGTACTCATCCATTGTTGATGTAGATGGGTCACATTGTCGCACTCCTGCAGCTCAGCTCGATTCTTGCTCGATCCGTTTAACCTTGGTCGTTCCATATGGGCCATACCATGGCTTCATTTCTTGATCATGTCATGTTGCGACCTTGAGGCGCCCTAATCGATCAATGACCCTCAGTAGAATGATTGACCACCCGTTTTGCCACTCATTGGTGCGTCCCACCGGACGTGACCCCTCACACCAACTGCACGCTTGCAGCATCAACCCACTGATACGCCCCTCTGGGCGTGGTGCTTAGGTCAACCGCACTTATACGGCACCCTACATGAGGACCCTAACACAGTGGCATTCAAGCACCTAGGTCATCTCCCAACTTGGGTCCTCTCGACCCCTCCAAGGTCACCTCACTAGGTGTGGCCCTCTGGCCAATCGCCCCCAAGACGGTACCTTAAAGCGCGCTAACTCGATCTTTGCCCCCGGCTTAAACACTGTGCTCCACTGCCCAAGCTCCATTATCTTGGCTTAGTCTCACGGGGAATTGACAGGTCTCCCCCACTTTTACTCAAAACTCAACGCCGTATTATGCGTAACCATATCTCCTCGATGGTTCTATTGCTCGATAATTTTGACTCTGGCCCGATTCCTAGGGCATCCCAAGATCCACTTATGCTCGGAGATTCGCTGATCTAACAGAACACCTAGTTCACTGATTAGCTCGACTCGGGGATTCACCCACTCAATCCTCAAGGTCCACTGACCTATACACCTAAGGCCTTGTCAACTGGCCATTTCCCTTTTTGCTAGTCTCGCCCGATTACACCCTGTTGTGGCCCACCGACCACCACAGCTCATGTGAAGCCTTTCTCATCGGCCAACACAGACTCGGTTTACCGATTCACATGCCCTCGTGATCCTCTGACCACGAGAACTCCTGGTCCACTGACCATCACAGCACATGGTCCACTGACCATCCCACCTGTGGCTTCAATCTTTGGCCACTCCATACTCCTCTGTGCAAGAATTCCATGCTTGGGCCCGAATACTTCGACTTGCGCCCCCACTAGGGCACCTGCACCATACAGCAAGTGCACACATTAGTAATTAATCTTGAAACTCGATACCTCTTGCCCCTCAGGACAAGGTTCGCTCGGCCCACGTGGCCTTACGCAACACCATTTCATGGTGTAAACCCCTTTTCGCATCTCGATCTCACTACGATTCCTTCCACCGTAAAGGCATCACATGCCACAACATATGCCAACACCTTTTCCTAGGTGAGGCTAGACTCTGGTGCCCTTTTGCTTGGCATCCAAGAGTCTACTCGAGAGCCATTTTACATTAGCCCAATATTTCCCGTAGCACGCATCGCTGGCTCATTTTCGAGCACTATCGGCATATAACCCACATTTGCGTCTCGACAGCCCCATTTGAGCTTAGCACCATCTCGGATTTCGCGTCACAAGGCCCACACATGGGTCGTGTATATCTCGTCACTGAGCCAACCTAGGCTCTGATACCAAAATGTCACGGTCCACGCGTTCTTCCTACTGAAATCACGCGACCGTGCTGCACCAAGACTACTCATAGTCAAGGTCAGCCTTCACCATGTCCATTTTTCTTCGCGGACCAACCAAATCTGACCCTTCAAGCCGCATGCCCGCAAGCCTTTTTTGGCTTTTATCCCCGTAGGGTTGCTTATTCTGAACTCTATAGAGAGGAACCCATCTCTCATCGCGTATCGGCCCACGGTTCTCCAAGTGACCATGAGTACCTAGCTCTGGCCGCAGGGCTTAATGCTTCGAGCCTCGACCCTCGAATCTCGTAGGGGCACACAGCCCCGATCCTCTTGATGTTATTACATCTTGGCATGGTGAGAACCCAACACCACGCCCGCACGCATGATACGCAAGCTCTCGTATCAAGTTTACGCAAGCATCCCTTTCACGCTGGTCAGCAGCCAGCTCGGAGCCCTAGGCTCAACTCGTCCCACGGGACTGATTCTTAGGGCTTACGCCCTTTAGCATCAGTATTGGCCGCCCATACGCATGATTGACACCCAACATCATGCTAGTCTCGCAAGGGGACTCAGGTGGACAGCCTCAGCTACAGCACACCAGCTGCCCGACTGGCCACTAGGGCCTAGCAACGTGCCTGCCTGCTAGCCCGCGCATCCTCTCGGCTCGATGGCATCCCTCCTACATGAATACCATCGCGTGGTCCAGTCCCGCAAGGGTCCTTGGGTGGACTGCCTTAGCTGCAGCCCACCAGACCGACTAGCCACAGGGGTCTAGCAGCGTGTCCGCTAGCTAGCCCGCGCATCCCTTTGGCTCGATGGTATCCCTCCTACGTAAACACCATCACCTGATCCTTCCGGCTCGAATAGGGGAAACCGAGGGGCCTAACGATCTTTACCGTCCAACCCCATGGTTCAACGCAAAGGCACGATACGAGGCCCGTCGGCCCCAACCGCTCCCGGGTTTACCTTACCCGAGGAAACATCGTGCCACGCTCGTGACCCTACGATGTCCGCCCACCTAGACACCATGAGTGCCTAGGAGTAGCTCACTTCAGACTAGCCAGGCCCCCGTCTGCCCGCTAGCCAAAGGGGTGGTGGAGAGCTGACACCAGTCGTCCCCCTATAAAGAGCGTTAGAGATTTTCCCAATATGCTACCAGTGACCGTAAGAATGTCTGAAATGGGGACACTTTTTTGCCCAGCCACCTCAGGGCCTTTCTTCGGCTAACTCAGGGCCCCGTAACCTTCCTCTTGGTCACCATTGCTCCTTGATTCTGCTCGTTGCTCCACCAACCCACTCAAAGGTGCCTGCACATGGCTTCCACCGACAGCACCTGTCTGGCTAGCTGATCCTAGGGCACCGGCGTAATGCCTTATACTTACCTGTATATCTCGGGGTTTAGGGCATGGACCGTCCACACACAATGTCCCTAACCTATTTCCATGCTCGAAACGCCCGCACACTGCTTCCACAAATGGCACCCACCAGGCTACTTGGCTTGGGGGTGTCTGATCACTGTCCCAAACTTCTTTGCGTATCTTACGGCTCAGGGCTCCCATTGCCCCTACAACATGTTAACATCATGTTCTCAAGCTCCGAATGCACGCTCGCATTCTTTAGAACCACTTTCTCATTAACTTGATCTCAACCGCTGCTTGATCCAAGATCAGTCATGACAGGACGAAGGCCTGACCATGACATTAAGCCTTAGCTTTTTTTTCAGTCTTCCCCTTATTTTCCTCAAGCCTTATTGTTAAACTATGCTATTCACGCAACCCCAATTGCGATGTTGTGTAGTACGAGTAATGATCACTTCTATGTACCTTATTTGTTCCTTTAGTCATTTTTCACCTTTTTATATCATAGGGTTTGCTTATCTAACTTCCTTAGGATTATCAAATGCTTAGAATGAAATGTTTTGAAGATTCCAATCAGCTAAGTCGTTTCATCAGTACATAATAATATTTTAAAAAAAAAATTGGTGGTCATTGGCATTGAAGACTAAGTCCTGGACCTCTGGTGCAGTGGGATGCATCAAATGTATCTTGCTTTTACTAAGGTTTAGTCCCTGAATTGTCCGTATTAGAGATGATTTTGTTCTATTTTTCTTGACTCTTAGCCCGTGAGATTAAACTCATTTTATGAATAATGCTTGATAAATAGAAGAAAGAATATAAATCTAACTGATGTTTGCTTCTGTAAGTCTTTGAGTTTCTTTGCTTTGCACTCTGTATTTGTTTTATGTTGTTTATGAAATCGCTTGCTCCGTTTACAAAAAGAAAAAAACAAATTAGACACAGCTTATAAGAAAATATAATTTAATGGATAAAATAAATTCCAGTTTACAAATAATTTTCTGCAAATATAAATACAATTTAAACGATGGTTGAAGTCACTGTTTCGAATGATGCTGTGAAATTTCATTAGTAGCTTTGTTCTTGGAGAATTTTGGCAGCTAATGAAGTCACATCTTAACAATGAATATTTAACTCCATAGAAAACACTGCGTTTTACCCGTTCAACACATATCTACTTGTGTAGTACTGAATTGTAAAAGGTTTGCATTGTACCTTCCACCATGATTTGTCTATAATAACACTTAACCACAACGGAAAATTCGAGAATTTACATAGGGAAGTTTCCTACAATCTTCTTATCGATCTGTCTATAAATGCATTCAAGTATATGCGTGTTGAAAACCAAATGCAATTTTGTGTGTCATTAGTTGAGTTCTGTTAAGGGGGCCTAATGCGGATTTTCCCAGAATGTAGGTTTAAACTGTGGAATGATTGGGAGCTACGTTTCTTGGTGCCACTCAGTCTTTCCTTGCAAATTATCCTCATTGTGTTTGGTAATAGGAGAAAATATATAGCAAGAAACTGGATCAGATTTATTCTTTGGTTGGCCTACTTATCAGCTGACTATGTTGCAACTGTCTCACTTAGCATCCTTGCCAGTAATCAGGGTGATTTAGATGATGGTTCCCTTGAAAATGCTATAATGTCGGCTTGGGCACCATTTCGTATCTTGCACCTTGGGGGCCCTGACACCATAACTGCATATTCCTTGGAAGACAACGAGTTATGGCTTAGGCACTTTCTTGGTCTTGTTGCCCAAGTTGGGGTGGCATTTTATGTCTTTGTAAGATCCTTGACACCAATGAAGCTCAACTTCATATCTAGTCCAATGTTTATTGCTGGAAATGTCAAGTTTGGCGAAAGGACTTGGGCTCTCACGTGTGCAATCAGTCAGCACTTCAGGGAGTCACTTCTCCCACTCCCAGAGCCAGGTCCCAACTATGCCAAATATATGGAGGAATGCAAGTTGAAGGAAAGGGAAGGATTTAAGTTATCGTGTACTGCAATGCAAGCATTTACAATTGTCCCACATACCAACACTTTTCAGGGAGGTAACCTCGTTCTGGATGTTACCATTTTGATTGCTGCTTATGATTTTTTTCAACACATATAAGAGGCTATTTGCTGATCTTATTCTCAGCTTTCATGATCTTGAAAAGAGCAAGTCCTACTTTCAGAGGTATCCTTGCAAAGAGGCTTTCAAAGTGATTGAAGTTGAGCTTGGATTTGTATATGATGAACTCTACAAAAAGGCAAGAATAGTTTACTCCAAGTGGGGTGTGTTTCTTCGCGCCGTGAGTTTATCTTCTTCCATTATTGCCTTAGCAACTTTCAGCATGATTGACAGGCAGGGATTTAAAACTTTTGACATGTGTATAACATTTTTGTTGCTCATTGGATCTATTTTCCTTGAGATTTATGCAATCCTTGTGCTGCTTTCACGGACTGGGCAATGCTTTGGCTGAGCAAACGAGAGAAATTTCCAGTGAATCAGATTATAAAGCCATATCTTCTTTCAAATTTATAACTAGCATGAACAGATGGTCAAATTACATGGAACAGTATAGTTTGGTTCTTGCTTCAAAGGCGAACCTGTTGATTGCCATGGAGTCCAAAGGCGTGGCTGGATTCACAAACATGTTCATGGCAATGAAACTTCAGTGGATGTATCTCCTTGTCTTAAAGAATATGTTTTCCAACAGCTCGTAGAGAAATCAAAGGTTGCCTCAAACTTTTCAATTTGTAGGCAATTATGTGGTTGCTGGGGTGAGCATGTCCTTGGAGAGAAAAAGTGTCTAGATAAACTTGGCTGGAGCATTGAAGTCGAATTTGATCATAGCATTCTTTTATGGCATATTGCTACAAGTCACTCCTATTGTTATGATCAGAAAAGGAATCCAAATTCTATTCTTGATTCAAGATGTATAGTTAGCAAGTCAATACCAGAGTACTTGTTGTACATTCTTGTGAGGCGACCTTCTATGATGCCTAATGGCATTGGGCAGATCAGGTTTCAAGATACAATTTGTGAGGCAGTAGAATTCATTCAAGAAAGAGAATTTATAACAAATGCCTCCCTGGCTTGTGACAAGCAACTTCAAGTGGACACTCGAAGTGAACCTGCAATTGTCAAAGGAGACAGGAGCAAATCCGTGCTACTTGATGCATGCAGACTAGCCAAAGCGTTGCAGTCATTGGAAGAAAAGAGGCAGTCGAACACCGAAGAGAAGTGGGATTTAGTAAGTCGTGTATGGGTGGAGATGCTAGCATATGCTGCCAGTCAATGTAGGTTGAATCGGCATGCTCAGCAACTTAGACGAGGTGGAGAGCTGCTCACTCATGTCTGGCTATTAATGGCACATCTTGACTTGACAAAACAATTCCAGATTTCACAAGGTCATATAAGAGCTAAATTAGTAGGGCCAAAGTAAATTACCGAGACTAAGAGAACTGAAAGGTCTACCTTAATGAATTATAAATAAATCTTTTGTCAGTTCCTCTGTTGTTGTTGTTGCTGCTGCTGAAATAGACTGTAAATTAAAATTACTTACCTATGTTTCTTCTTTCTGTCATGATCAAAATATAGTAATTGGTAGTGGTGCAGGCCAACAGTTACTATCAAGTATGTTAATTGCAATGGCATTTATACGGAAGTTATTAAGGAGCTTGTGTAATGCTCTGTGTGTAATATACAAGTAAATTAAATACATATTTTCATAAAACAGTTAAAATACTTAGGTACACTCTTGTTTACATGGCTTCAGGTACATGGATGCAGAAGTATACTGACAGTGCTCCTGGGAAAATAGGGGCCAGAAATTCTAGAAATTGAAAAAATCAATGTTGAAAATGTTTTCCTGATTTAAACCAATCTAGCCATCTGGCAAGCAATCTGCTGCGAGTCATTGAATTTTTTTTTGCTAATTTAAACAGAAGAGATATTACTTGCACTTAGCTTATAGTCACCCAAAAACATGCATAAAAGCTTCTGTTAAAATGCTATGGCTAAATAATACCGCAGATGGGAAGAATTGAATAAGAACAAAGCACAGACTATTAGTTTGAAAATAAAACATTTAGGGAGAAGAGTTTAAGAGTACTTCCTTGTCACTCTTTTTCAAAACCAATTTTTGACATAAAGAAGCCATGCTTGATGCCACCAGGTTGCTTATCTATTGTCAAAGTCAATTCAACAGTTTAAGTTTGCGTTGATATTTACATTCTATAAGTTTTGATGCGGCGTTCATGAGCTAGATTAAGTCAGATTCACGCTTAATATTAATCGTTTATATATTTATTTAGATTTAGTCAAATTTAAAATATTTGACCTTAAAATTTTTTTAAATCTAATTCAATTTAAAAAATAAATCTTAAACTCACCCATTAAATTTAATTTATATAATAAAAAAAATTATAAAATGATTAAATTAAATTTAATGAGATTATATTTAATTCACATATATATAAAATTTTAAATTTAAATTTAAAACTAAAATTATATAAAAATTCAATTCAATTCAATTCAATAAAATATAATATAATATTTATTTATATATATATAAATTAATTTATATATAATTCACAAATATATATATCAAAATAAAATATTTATATATTTATGAATTCAAACTTAAGTCGGGTCAAATTCGAACTTTAAATTTTTTATTCAAAATTTAGTCTAAAATTTAAATGAATCTAAAAATTATATCCAAACTTATTTAACAAGTTTTAATTTTTTGTTCAAATTTTCTCAAAACTTAAACGAGTCTTTAAATTTAGACAAATAACTCGACTTTTGAATTTGTCTATTTTGATCCTACCGATTCCATAAAAAAAGATTTAAGGTGTTTTTCACAACATAATATATATATATTTTTTTATTAATTTAATTTTATATTATATACGTATTATATTAATAAAATTATTATTTGATATTTTAATTTAAGAAGTTAATAGTCTAAATTCAATAGGACATTCATGTGGCATTTTCAGTAAGTTCTTTTTTTAATTTTTAAATCTTTTTAATTAGATACATTTTGCAAAAAATAAAAATAATGATGTAAAAATCATTTTAATTTAATTTTATTAAAATTTATATCAAAATAAAAAAATTAAAATAAATTATAAATTATTTTAAATAACTTAAGGATACTATTTTAATCAATAAAAATATTAAACCTGCGGCATCGTGCAAGCCATTTCTAGCGATTTCTAGAGATATATTCCGCAGAATTAAGGACTATCACGAGCGGTCATCAGTATTCTACTGTCATCAGGGAATAAACTTTGAAGAGCATCCCATTGCTTCAATGTCCTCCTCGTATTATCCAAAACAACAAGATTCCTTCCATTCCTCAAAGGCATCTGTGATCCACAGATAATTCCTTTGCTTCTACAGACGATTCCCTTACGTCCATAGATGGTTCCCCTTCTTCCTTGCCCATCCGTAATTGTTTTGCTAAGATCTGCAGAGTGCCTTTCAGTTCAAAGTCTTGAGATAGGGTCACCCAAGCACGAAAAGGAAAATGGTTAGTAACAGCAGCATTTTTATAAACTTACATTGCAAGAGCAGTCTTGCCTACTCTTGCACCTGTAATGATTATCACTTTGCACCTCCCTTTGCCTGATACTAGCACATGAATGTCTTCTGTTTATGTCATCGACAGACAATGGTCTCTTTTGCCGTTCCAGATTTTGAGACACTGCTTCTTGCCTTGACAAGCGAAATTCCCAGCTCACTTCCTTTAGAGATGAGCCTCAAGATTGAGGACCTGATGCTTTTCAATGTCATCAATCGGTTTATATATCTCAGCTCGACTCTTGAAAAGCGGGAAACAGTCCTTGATAAAATTACTGCAACTGGGCTGTTTAGTTTTTTTTTTTTTTATTCTTAATTCTATTACATTATTTGACATAAACCGCATTCGAGCCAGTCCTCTTTGTATCAGTCTGAAATCCTCCTCAAATTCATGTAGCAGCTGTTGTTAGAAAATTAAAAAGTTAGAAAGTTTATTCATTGCTTTGACAAGGCTGGTTTCTGCTGCCTTCCATGGACTTTGGTGCCAATGTCTCCATCTTTTACTTTCATTGACAATTTAAGTACAACAGAAAAACAAAAGTACAATCAGAATTTTGTTTCATATAGATTCAGTAATGATCAGCGAGGCCTTTTGCAAATTGCACAGACACAACCCATCAAATGATGAGTTGATCACACCCAAAAACAAACAACTTCCTATCAAAACTTAGAGCAAAACTATCACGTCTCGAGATCAAGACGTAATGCGATCATATTACTTTGAAAAAAATCTCAAAGTAATAGAAGCCTTCTTTCTTAAAGATTCTAAAATTCTTCAATAAAACAATTCACCAAGTAAAATCTATATCTTTAATCCAACTGATGATACATCTTTATATATCCAAGTACAAATCATATAAAATACAAAATTGCCTCTTAAAATCTCATTGGCCAATATATTCTTCGATGATTAAGTAATCTTACCATTTCATCTTCTAGCTTCATACAAGACTAACCAAACTTATCACTTAGTCATCTGTAAAAAAAAAGTAAAAGGAGAATGAACAAACCACAACTCAGTAAGTATAGGCTCACACACCTTACCAGGTCAAGCATTTTTTTCTTACACATCATATAGATCATTCAAAACATTCATCAAATCATAATATCAAAACATTTCAAGATCATCGTTTTGTCAAATATTTCATAAATTCATAAATTAATGTCAAAATATGTCACTTCATAAATCATTGCAAAATATGCTACCATTCAAATATCATAATCAAATCAAATCATGGATCAATCATTAAAATCATCATAAATCATCATTATCATTCAAATCGTTAGCTATGGTCACTGCTATAACCCGTGACATTGGCCGTATCGACAATTTCATTATCATGATCATTGCTAACTATTATAACCCGTTAGCCAGGGCTTACGCTAACTACTATTACCGTTAGTCAGGGTCGTATGATCATGTCTTTGCTAACTACTATTACCCGTTAGTCAGGGTCGTAGAACTAGTTCTGATGTCGATGATTCCACTTCCCAGGGATGTAAAATAAACGTAGCCATCACAAAATCATTCTTTAATCATAAATCATTTTCTCATTTCATTCATAAGCATGATCCATCATTTATATAGAGAAACACAAAATAATCATATGCTTGATCCTATTTTCATACATCGAAAATAAATAAATAAAACATTCTTTCATTTAGAAACACATATATACATAGTTTCGAAAACAAACAAAGTGTGTAAGATTCTACTTACCTCCATTCGATTCCACCACTTAGTTTTTCCCCCCAAAATCATTAATGGCCTATCCAAGATCATTTCAACAGATCAGAATTTAATCAACTATTTTTGAGACCATTTATACAAAAATCAACTAAGTTACACAAAGGGTTAACTTAAATAATTAATACTTGCAACCTGACCTCTTTTCATTAAAACAGTCATATCTCTATATATCCAAATCAGAATTATGATCTCTTTAATGCGTTAGAAACTAGACTTAATAAGCTTTCTAATCATATATGGTACACCTCGTAATTCCTTGTAGATTAATTATAACAATTTTTGAAATCCACGTCATATACTGCTGCCAAATAGCCTGTATACCTTCTAATAAAAACTATATATTTATTCACAGGAAGCTCCAAATTCAATTCCGCTTATTTCATTGGAAAGTAGACTCAATAAGCTTTCCAAACATATATGGCTTAATTTGTAAATCCTTGTATACGAATTAAGAAGAATTTCGTAATTCAACCCTGATGCTGCTGTCTTACAGCCTGCTTATTCTTAAGTTAAAATCAGACAACTCTTCATAGAAAACTCGGATTTGACTTTCGTTTATTTCATTAGAAACTAGATTCAACATGCTTTCCAATGATATATAATAATCACAGCAATAATCTATCCATTAATGCAAAATTCTATTTTAATTCATTATTACAGATCACAACATCTCATCCAAAAATAAAATTTTTCCTTCAATCTTTAAAAACTCAAATCCTTACTTTCAGCCTTCAAACTCCATTCAATAATCATCAATAAATCTTAAGAACATGAAATAAACAAAACCCAGTAATTTATCCAAATAGATCATCAAGATTAATGAAGGATTTCATGATTTTTCTTGGTTTTTCTCTCAAAACTTCAACTCCAAATAATAGCAATCAACTTGATATTTCTTTTTAAATAAAAAGAGGGCATATACTTACCTTTAAGGGATTAACTTGATTGTGGCTTCTGATTGTGAATCTCTAACTTGATTTTTCATATTCTCTAACCCTAAGGAAGATGAAGAAAAAGAACTCTATTTCTTTTCTGTTTCACGATAGTTAGATTTTCTTTTCATATAATACTTCAGTCCTTTTTTTTTTTACTAAATAATGTCTTAATAAACTGATGGGTTTTAGTATTAGTCTAGTCCAATTATTATTTGGGCTGGGGTATTACAAAAACAAGCAACAAAATTAAATCAAGAACAGCAACTAGATTAATTAATTTTATCTTAAACATTGGAATAATAAATTAATGCATATATACATGCAAACAAGATAAAATTAATATAATTAACTTTGCCTTGGAAAGCCGGCTTAGTTGAAATATCCAAAAGCTACCAAATTTTATAGCAGGCATGCAAAACTAAATGCGGGATTCATAATTTTGGCTTGATGCAATGGGGTAAACCCTGGAGACGTCGTCGATGGTAATAAGATATCTTACCTGACTATAACTTTCGAATTTGTCTTCTTCTTCTCTGACAGCCAAATTCTCTTGCTCAAATACCAATTTTCATTCAAAAGCTTTTGAGAGGGAATGGTCTAAACTCAAACTATAATTAACCGTTTACAAAACTTTTTTGCATGGTGCAAACATAAGAAAGTATTGACTATAAAAAATAAAGTGATGAACAAGACTTAGAAACAAAGAAGGGTGAAGATTAATCAGAATTCTAGGTTTTCTGGGTTTGGAAATATTTGGCAGAAAAAAAAAAGGGGGGGGTTTTTTAGTAGCTAATATCAAAGAATTTATCTTGGACAGAGGGAGTTTGGGTTAAATTACTTTTGTCCTTATCTTTAATGTACTAAGGTACAAGGATATGAGAAGGAAAAAACCAGCATTGGACATGAACAATCAATAATACTACTGTTTACCATGCATAGCAGCAGTTAATTTCACAATAAAATATTGGCTTATGAGATCAAGGAAATTAGAATCTTGGTTTTTCTTTCTTTTATTTTTTCCCCTAATGTGTAGCTAAAGGTCACTTTTTTTTTAAATATATAAAAATATATATGATAATGTATAATGGGGGCTCCTTATGTAAATTCATCACTGTGTATAAGTTTAATTGTTTAATTAAAGTATAGTTTATTAGTTGATTATTCAGTGATATAATAATTAATTATATGAATATAATACTTGATTATGAATATAACTTAAAAAAAATTATGCATTAATTATTTTTAAAAATTAATTATTAATGTTTCTTTAAAAATATGGTAGTAAAATTGATCGCACAAAATTTTGTAATTTGACCAACAAGATCTTATGTCATTGAAGGCTTGATAATGATCATTAATCAATGATGGAAGGTTCAATTAATATTCAATAAGGTAATGTCCCGTGCGTTGCTGTGGTTCAACAATAATAGCAATTAAAAATACTTAAAAACTCTAAAACATATTTAAACATACCTATTTTATTAACCTATAAAATATTAAATTTTTTAAAATCGAAATTGAGAACTATCATGAACAACAAAAATAAAAATAAAAAATTGAAATGAGTGGAGAATTTTAAGATAATTATCTCACCTCATGAGTATTTATAGAGACTAATGTCTTACTTTAAATCGATTCTGTCGTCGGATTTATTAATATATTTTATTCATAAAAATAAACAGTAAAATTTCTAATAGTTTAATAAGAGTTACTTTGATACAGATATCTTAATAATTTAGTGAGATTTTATAAATTTATTTTTAAAACTGCATTAAATCTTTCAATAATTTGGTAAAATTTAATTTAAGATGCACATTCTCTAATAATTTGGTAAGATCAAAATATGATATTTCATCGATAATAATTTTAAAAAAAAAAAAAACAAAGAAATTCATATATAATTCTTCAATAGTTTTGTAGAACCCATAAAAATTTAAATTCATGAAAAATCCTCCAATAGTTTGATAAGATCCATGAATATATTTTAGAAACCTTTTTTATTTTACATTTTTTGAATAAATAAAATGAAATTCATAAAATAATGTGTTGTTCAATTTAAAATAATAAATAAGAATAAAGGGTAAAATAATAGTAAAAGAAAGATATATATATATATAGTAAAATGAAAATAAAATAAGAAAAATAAAATCAAAACAAAACAAAAAATGTAAAAAAAAATACCTACAATCAGGTCGGGTTATGCAAGTAGGTCATACGTGGATCCAAGATGGGTTCGCATAGGTCCTGGGTTGCGAGAAAAGACATTGTGTTGGGACATTACAAAAGCAAAAAAAAATTGCCTTTTCCTTAAATTGCCTTAGTTGTTTCTCTCTTTTGTTGGTTTTCTCTCTGTTTTCTCTTTAAATGGTAGACGAACACCGATGTGAAAATTCTAGAATACGAAAAAACTCAATTTTCGGCTATCGTAATCACCAAATATCATCGGAATCTTCAACTTTTGGCCAAAAAATTTAAACAAAAAATTCAAACATTCAAACTTTAACCCAGATTTTTTAGTTTTTTCCAGAAATCCCAACTAAAACCAGTAAAAACAAAAGATTAAATCCTCCTAGAAACACAATCCCAAAACAAATTTTCACATAAACTAAACATAAAAAAATAAAAATTTCCCTTATGTCAAAATTTTGCCCCTTATTTTGTGTGATGTAGGGCAGCATTTATCAGTCCTTCTTTATAAAAAAACTAGGGATTTTTTCAATAAAACTTCCATATTTATTTAAGTTTTTATTAATTGAATCTGTCAAAGTTAATTAGGGTTTTATTAGGAAGAAATCAAACCTGTCAAATTTAATCCCATTTACTGTATGAAATCTATTGATTCTTGTGCCTTTAAAACCTAGCTTTGATTTAAGGCTTTGATTGTGATTTGAATTTGGTTTCCAATTGTGTATAGATGGAATTTCCAAACCTTTCGGTCCAATTTGCATACGGAATCCCCCTCTTCCAAAAAAAAAAAAATATTGGGCTCAAAGCCTAAACAAAATTAAAAACTATAAAAAGCTCACACATGAACGTTTTCAAGGACCCAACGATCTGTAAGCGATCAACATCGAGAATTTGATTGCATTTCTAGATGAAATTGGATGTCTACACTATTATATTGCTCATTTATATTAATATCATCTTTAGTAGCAACCCTTTTATTTTCCTATATCGATTTAAAGCAAAAAAACAATGACCTGTAACAACACATAGGTCGTGTACTAGTATGTTTTATATTTGGGATTGACTAATACAATATAATTTGAAGATAAGAAACTTAGGTGAAGAACTTTTATAAGCTTAAAAACATTATCTTCATAATACAATGCCTAATAAAAAAATTTTCAAGTTATACTTTAAAAATTTTTTGAATACACTTAAATTATGAACTAGAAAAAAAGTGAAAGAGAATGATTTGGAATTGTTCACCAAGTTTGCAATATATCTGTGTTCTTTGCAAATTTTATCCAATGATTTCATCATCAAACTAAGATGGCACTGTAATAATTAAGTTTAATCACAGCTAAGGAAAAGAGACTCCTACCCCAATCATCTTCTCCGAAACAAGAAGGAACCAAATATTTTTTTATGGAAAACTAAGACACTATGCAAAAAATTGCCCTAAATCAAACAAAAAGTTAGTAAAGATGATGTAGAATATTGCTAATATCTCTGCTATTAACCTTTTAGATGATAACATTGAATTAATCTTCTCTTTTGATTATGAACAAAATAAAAAGTTGTGTTAAATAAATATTGATAAAAATATTTATAAATCTCAATCAATGTTAAAAGTAACCCTTCATGAATAAACATACCTTTAGTGAAAATTTATTACCTTTTAAATGAAATACCATGTCTAACGAATAAAATATTTGAATTTTTGACAATGACATTCGAATGCTTAAATCATGATATTCGAATGCACAAGATGTGAATTCTTACAAAATATTTGACTATTCACATCATAACATTCAAATGCCTAATGCAAATTTTAAACAAATTGATTTTAAACCTTTTTTTGAAAAAAAAATACTTTTAAACTTAATTATTCGAATCCCTTTACTTATTTTTTATTTTTAAAAAAATTTTAAACAAATGCAAACTAGCTATCACATCATTTTTTATATAGATATTTCACAGACATTAAGGGATCGTTGCTATTATTGCATATTTTATGTTTTTGAAAATTTTATTTATTTATATTTTATTTTTAATTTATTAAATTTGAAAGCATATGTATATAGAATACTTTTGTTTTAAAACTGTAAAAGTAAAAACATGAAGAGAAATGTTTAAAACCTTTGTATTCTACATAGAGAGGTTCGAATCTAGTTAAAGTTTGAATATGCAAAAATTTTGAACTGCGGCGGGGTGAATAGTATTCGGAATAGTGCCAAAATTATTTTCAAAAATATGAAAATATCATTTGTTTGTTTTCAATATTTTTAAAAATTTTAATTTTTCAGTTTTAAAAAAATAAAAAATAAAATAACAGACCAAACATATTTTTATTTTTAATTTTTAAAAAATTAGAAAGATAAAAATAAAAACGTTACCACACGATCCGTAAATCTCCTTAATTTTTTAACTATTGGTTTCTTCCTTTAGAATAAAAAAACAAGCTTCCAAATTCATAGACAAAAAATAGGAAAAAAAAAAAAAAAGGGAAAGACGGGGGACAAATTTGTCACGCCCGAAAAAAGATGAAGGGACGGAAGTACCGAGCTCAGCTCCACAAAATCTTTGTATTTTCTATCCATGGCGACGCTCTGTTTTTCCTCCCTCAATCCTCTCTTCTATTCCTTTTCTTCTTCTTCGTCGTCTTCAACCAATCATTTCCTCCCTCAACTCTCCCTAACAAAACAAGAAATCCCCACACTCTCCCGTTACAATTCTAAACGTAGGAAGCTTTTATATCAACCCACAAGGCTCATTCTCCACCCTGTTTTGTTGCTCAGCGGCTTTGATAAGCCCTTGGATACCCAAACTGTTCTTGCGACCATCAGTGTTTTGGTTGCCATTGCACTCTCTCTCTTTCTTGGCCTCAAGGTAATTTCCCTTCTATCAATCAAATACCCTTCAATTTTTATGCATTATATATGTTGGAATTTGATGAATTAAGATTTTTTTTGGGGGGGGTTTTTCAGGGTGATCCTGTCCCGTGTGACCGTTGTGCTGGAAATGGTATTTCTTTTTTTCTTTTCGCTTTCTTTTTGCCCCTTGTTTTTGGAAATATGATAATGAAGCAAAGTACCAGAGCTTAAAATGGGTTGCACCAATTAGAATTTGCAAATGATAGTCTTTAGCTGTGGCTAAAAGTTTACTTTTTGGTGACTGAGGACAACATCTTTAAGAACCAATTATGTGACATTCTTCATAACAATGGCTTAGAAGAACTATAGTTTTATCTCTTTATTTGACGAAAATGTGGCAACAAGCTCCAATAGTTCTTTGATTAAATCAAGTTTCTTCAAAGAATGCTTTGTATGCTTGTCAAAACATGTGATTTATTCAGGAAATGCAGCGACGTGATTTTTTTTTTTTTGTTTTTGTTTTTTTTGTTTTTGTGATGGATGTAGGTGGTACAAAATGTGTCTTCTGCGAAGATGGTAAGATGAAGCAAGAAACAGGCCTGATTGATTGTCGGGTGTGTAAAGGTGCAGGTAAGATTTACCGTCCATTTATATTTTTAAAAGGGCTTAAATAAATAAAAGGACGCTGTTGCATATTGATTTACTCCGTTTCAGTCCTTATTTATTTTACCATTTCAGTGGCTGTTTTTACATTGAACTTTACATCATCAGCTTGTGCATTCACATGGAAGTTAAGTCTGCAACTCTGCATGAGTTAATATCCATGAATATTTCCATCAATTAGTCTTACATTGCCAGTATTGTGGTTTTTTGTGTGATATCCTGTTTAGTTTGATCTCTAATTCAGTGTTTGAACAATGTTGTGAACTGATAAATCTTAAAACTTGAATTTGTTGGATTTAGCCTCCTTGCTTTTATTTGTTAACGAAATTGCTGGTATCCTTATAGGATTGATACTTTGCAAGAAGTGTGGAGGTTCTGGATATTCAAGACGATTGTGAGCTGTGGTTCTGCTTGCAACATTCACATATATTTTTTATCTGTAAGGCTAATTTACCAGTGCTTTAATTCATTCATCCAATCACTTCTTTCTTTTTTTTTTTTCTTTATTCTTTTCCCTTTGTTTTGTCTCCTCCTTCTGTGTACAACTATGTTATTCTGAATATCTGATTGTGAAATTTCTAACAAAAGGGCAAATATCTTTGTGATTTGTTCCATTTCAATGAGTGTTCTTAAGGCTATTTCCCAGTGACCAAATCTACTTACAAGAGTTCGTGCTTTTCTTTTATTAATTTTGAAAAAGAAAAATGTATTGGCAATGAGGTCTTGGTTTAGTAGCAAGGAGGAGACCCTAGAATCTTGACGTCTTAGGTTCAAATCCCACTGTGTGTGGATTTAGTTGTTTACTTATGTTATGATCATAGTTGTAACTCTAAAAAATTGTGTTTTCCCCTTTATTATGATGTAAAATTGTGGAGGATTATGGGTTTTCTTGTTTTTATGTAATAAGGTCGATGGCTTGGAGATTATCATCCAAAAGGAACAAGTAGTTAGTAATATAATCAACAGTAGACTCAAAGATTTTCTTTTTGGTACAAAAGAGATTGTAATATGAGGATGAAGAAAAGTATAAGAGAGGATATAATTTTAAGTATAGAAAAAAAGACCGTAAGTATTGAAATTTGATTTTAAATTTACTAAATTCCACTTAAAAATAATCTCATTAAATATTGGAGTAGTTTATAAATCATAAAATTTTGTTAGTATATTTGCAGAATGACAAGGAATCATTTTCCCTTTGACCTTTGTACTAATGAACAGGGATGATAATGGGTGCCATCACAAATACCATTTGGAGTTAGCAATTGATTAGATAGGACAATGGTGATTGTTCTATGGGGCACACTACTTGGGTGCCAACTTCCAAAATGAAGGCTTTCAGTTCACTGTTGAAATGAAACATTATTCAAAGCTCATTTTAGAAATAAAATGGAAATATGGTAATTCACTTTAGATTTTGCACCATATATGTATGATTTGTGATGTAAATTTTTGAACTCAAAGTTCTCTGAACTTACCCTACTCAGTTCATAAATTCAAGAAAAGTTATCTGCTGCAATTATCATAGTAAAATCTCTCTAGCTTTGTTAGAAGAAGAACCAATATTTTTTATTTTTAAAATTATAATTTAATAATTAGAATATTTACAAATATAATTCTAAATTCTTTTTTTTCTTTAATAGGTTGCTTTTTTTTTCTTACATAAAATATTCAAAATTTTTTACTTCATTTAGAAAATATTAAATTTATAGAACTAATATGAATATTGACAATGTTTTAATTTTTTACAAAAAAAAATTAATGTAGTATTTAAGAATAAAATTTAAAAAATGAAACATTAAATCCATACAAAAAATTAAAAACTATTTTATATATAAAAAGATTTAAAATTATATTAATCCAATAAATTAATTTTTATTTTAAAAACTAAAAAGCCTAAAATTTATTTAATTATATAATATAAAAAATAGGCAATCACCTCAAAAAATATTCCAATTACCGATTAAATAGTTTTTAACGTCGGATGTTAGGTACTGAAATGGTCACAAGTACTTTATGCTTTTGCGTGAGTGCTGACGCAGTTCCAGCTGAAAGCTGTTTGTCCTACAGAACACTACAGACACAACATGCCATTAGCCACAAGCCATCTTCATTTGACTTTTTCTCTGTATTCTACGCTCTGTCCTTCCTACCCTTGGCTCTTCTTTTAAATCTACCAATTCCAGCGTGATCCCTCTCTGAGACATGAAAGATGTCTAGCATGACTGCCTCTGCTTCCTCGACTACCCCTCCCTATGAGGTTGAGTACTTCGTGTTTACAGCGATGGCTCCATTTGGCGTTCCTCTGAATCATGCTTCAATATTATGTTGAGGATGATGGCTCTGTTGTGTGGAAAGATGTTCTATTTGATCCTGTGCACAACCTTCATCTCAGGCTCTATAAGCCAGCTTCGCCTTCGTCTGACAAGCTCCCGATCTTCTATTTCATACATGGTGGTGGTTTTTGCATTGGATCACGTGCCTGGCCCGCCTGTCAAAACTACTGCTTCCAACTCGCTTCAGAGCTTCAAGCAGTAGTGATTTCGCCAGATTATCGTTTGGCTCCAGAGAACAGGCTCCCAGCAGCCATTGAGGATGTTTTCATGGCTTTGAAATGGCTCCAAGCTCAAGCTCTGACTGAGAATCCTGATTCATGGTTAACTGACGTAGCGGATTTTAGCAAGGTATTCGTGTCTGGTGACTCAGCTGGTGGTAATATCGCTCATAATTTGGCTGTTCAACTAGGGGCTAATTCATCTGATTTGACTCCAGTTCTGGTCAGAGGTTATGTCCTTTTGGAACCTTTCTTTGGAGGGACAGTGAGAACCAGGTCAGAAGCAGAGGGACCAAAAGATGCCTTCCTTAATTTGAAGCTCATTGACAGGTTTGTGACAGAATTTTGACCTTGTATGTAACATTTTCACTTGCATAGATAAGTTTTGGGTTTATATGCATCATATGTTTAGGTTCTGGAGGTTATCTATACCAAATGGAGATACGACAGATCACCCACTGGTAAATCCTTTCGGGCCAGTCAGCCGCAGTCTTGAACATTTGAAACTTGATCCTATTCTGGTAGTGATTGGCGGAAGTGATCTGTTGAAAGACCGAGTAGAGGAATACGCCAAGAAGCTGAAGAAGTGGGGGAAGAAGATCCAATATGTTGAATTTGAAGGACAACAACATTGCTTCTTTACTGTTAATCCTAATTCTGAATCAGCCAAAGCATTAATGCCCACAATCAAAAGCTTCATCATTGAAAATTCCAGCTGAAAGGGGTAGTTGTCAGCTCATTTTTCTTTTCTTATGTTAATTTGTTTCATCGATTAAGCTTGTTCTTGTTTGAGTTTTGGTAATGTTGCACTAAATCAAAGTCAGATAGAGTGAATGGAAATGTGGAATTTTATTTTAGTTTGATAATGATCTTTGGATCCCAGAATTAAGATTCATATTACCGAGTAACAATGACATGAAAAGATGAAGACAAAAATGGTAAGATTCATATCACTTGCCGTATGGAATTTGCTTCTATTAAGCTCATGAAGTGAATAATAATAAAAAAAAAACCGAACACGAATGCTATCAGAATTTGAGTTGACTAAAAAGTAAAAATTCAAATCCAAAATATATAGATTCGAATGTAAAACAATTGAAAGATTGATCCCATCCAAACTTATAATAACTCGAATTTAATATTAAAAATAAAAATTAACAAATATTTAATTTAAAATTTAATAACTGATTTTATTTTAACTCACCTAACAACAGTTGCGACCGATAAAAAAAGACTGAAAACAAAACTTTTTGATAGTGTTGGTGGTAGAGATGAAAATATGACTAATTCAAACTCAATCAAGTTTGAATAAGGAAAAAAAAATTTTTAATTAAAAATATTAATTTAATATGATTTTTTAATAACTGAAACTTGATACTAGACTTTTTTATAAGTTTAGAGACTGATAAAGCCAACGCTTTGGCCAAGCCTTGTTTTTCAGGTTTGGGTTGTAATAAAATTTTATTATTTATTATTTAATTTTAATTTTAATTTATAATATGTTTAAAATATGGAAAATATATATTTTTCAAAAAAAAAAAGGTTTCAAGTTTTTAACGGTCTAGAATCAGCTTGTCCCCTTCTGCAGCAATACTTGGAAGCCACGTGTAAAGTTTTGGGACATTTTTGACAGTGTAATCTGGAGTTTCCATAAAGAATATATAAAAATCCAGTTCAAAATTTTCAACCATTGCCCAACGGTCCATAATTTCAAAAACACATTCACATCTTCACCATCCATTTAAATCTCTCTCCACCGTCCGATCCTAGATTCTCCTCTTCGTTTTTCCCAAAAAAGTTAGCAAAACATTTCAAATCTCACTCTTTACTCTTCAACTTTCCCTCCTAAACGCTCCTTCAAATCTCACTCTCTCTAAAACCATAAACACTTCACTTTCACTTAAAAGAAGCCGTTTCCTTTCAACATGCCGTTCATTTCCGATACAGCAAGCGCTATCAAGAGCCGTTTCGGCTTCCACGACCGATCCTCTTCCTCCGACTCGGTCTCCTTGTCTGCTCGTAGTCCACCCGATCTTCTTGTGAAATCAGCCGTCAGGGAGAATGCCGGCCATTCCACTGCCGCTACGTCTGCAATTCGGAGCATCGGTGACTGGGACAATGATTCAACTGAGAATAATGAATCAGCGCCGCAGTCGTCGCAGAGCTTTGAGTTCCGTGAAGATCCGTCGTTTTGGAAGGACCACAATGTGCAGGTCAGTTTATGTTTGAATCTCATCTTTAATTTCCTTAATGAAAGTAAAAAAAAAAAATTCACAAAAGCATTGAAATTGAAATTGAAATTATAATTATTCAACAATACTCTTATCTTTTATATGTTGCAAGCAAAAAACCAGGTAGCTAAATGGAAAACCAAACAAAGGCTTAGATTATTGAAAATATATCGAAGTTAAGCTAATTGGATTGAAACTTTTTTTTGTTTTTGGGAAATTAAATTAGGTTATAATCAGAATTCGTCCCCTTAGTAGTTCTGAAATCTCACTACAAGGCTACAGCAAGTGTGTTAGGCAAGAGAGTTGTCAGACAATTACTTGGACGGGGCATCCCGAATCTCGTTTTACATTTGATCTTGTTGCTGATGAACATGTTAGCCAGGTATACCTCTTTTTAATCTTTTATGTTTAGGTCTTTGTTATTGCGAAATTATGACATTCAAGTGATTTTACAGGAGAATCTCTTCAAAGTAGCTGGATTGCCCATGGTGGACAATTGCATGGGAGGCTACAATAGCTGCATGTTTGCATATGGCCAAGTGAGCTTCCAAGTTTTAATCACTCTTGAGTAAAATTTTTCTATTGTTTCCATGAATTGTTGATTAAGTTTCCACTTTATTAATGTCTAAATTTAATTAATTTGATATGGTTTTATTTTGGTTCTTGTTTTGGTATTGGAAAAACTTAAAAACTTTTTATTATAGACTGGAAGTGGGAAGACTCACACGATGCTTGGAGACATTGAGGGCGGCACACGGAGACACAGTGTCAACTGCGGGATGACGCCTAGGGTGTTTGAATATTTATTTACAAGAATACAAAAGGTATGGTGTATGTGCCTTATGACTTGGGCATACTGTGATTGAAAAAAACCTCACATCTTTCTTGGGTGCAATTTACTTCCTTCCAATGCAAAATAAATTCTCTTTTTGATCATTCAGACAATTAGACTATCTAAACAATCATAATTGATGGGTGGAAGTAACGATTAGTTTTGCACATTGAGTGAGTTGAAAAGCATTGCTACTCAAATTTTGTGCACAACTTCATTCTTGTAGTCGCAAAATAAATTCTTTATAAAGAGGTTGAATAATTTTAATTATATATTTAACTGTTTTAATAACTTAACATCTCAAATGCATTCATGTGCCAAATGATGGGAAATGGCCATTGAGTTATTATAACCTTTGTTTGGATAGAATGAATTTGTATAAGCAAAATAACTACCAAAGTTTCTATGAAAGCTTAATACATAGTTGCTTCTCTATGTTTGGAGTTTCCAATCTTCTATACCATGTTTCATTCTCTTACAAATCTCTCTTTTTCTTATCATGTTATCTCATCCTATTCTTCTGTGATATGTCAGGAAAAAGACACTCGTAAAGAGGAGAAATTAAGATTTACTTGTAAATGCTCTTTTTTGGAAATCTATAATGAGCAAATTCTTGATCTTTTAGATCCATCATCAACCAATTTACAGGTAAAAATTATCTACATATGGTGAACAATTATCTCTCCTTTTTTTTTTACTTTCATTATGTCTATGGTTTGTATTCCAATGTACATAGTGTGATGTATAAGTTTTTCTTTTCCTAAACTGAAGAAATTTACTACTCATTGGTGGTTATGTTGCAGATAAGAGAAGATATCAAAAAAGGGGTTTATGTTGAGAATCTTAAGGAGATAGAAGTTACTAGTGCACGGGATGTGATTCAACAGCTCATTCAAGTACTGCTTGTTAATTATTAATTAATTGTTTTGGCTTCGTGCTAGGGGTAGTTCCTCATATCATAAAGAACATTTAGGTTTTAAATGTTCAAACTTAAAAACTTCCTAGTTAAAAGCTCTGAACCTAAAAATGCAGTTAAAAAGGTTTTTCTGGAGTTATTTTGAATGTATATGCAACATTTTTTTTTAACATTTGCACTTGTTTTGTTCCTTTTTTTTTTCTTTTTTTACTTTCTACCTCTTTACCCAGCTTATTATTAATCTAAAGCTCTATAACATATTTCAGGGTGCAGCGAGCAGAAAGGTGGCAGCCACTAACATGAATCGAGCAAGCAGTCGTTCTCACAGTGTATTTACATGCATAATTGAAAGTAAGGTGTGTGTGACCTTTTAATTGAAGAATTTCTTTGAAATCACTAGTAAATTGATAAGTAGTTCATTCTCTTTCATGGATTTTCTTTACCTTGGGACAAGAAAATTCTAACCAAGTGTTTAATATCAGTGGGATTCTCAAGGTGTAACTCACCACCGTTTTGCTCGGCTTAATCTTGTTGATTTAGCAGGCTCAGAAAGGTACAAAGCATGTCAAAGTGTTAAAAACATAAATGGTTTTTTCTCCTAGTTTCTCGGTACTATATCATTTATAATTTGCTCATGACAGACAGAAGAGTTCTGGGGCAGAAGGTGAACGCCTCAAGGAGGCTACTAATATTAACAAGTCTCTTTCAACATTGGGGTGAGTTATCTCTACTCTAACATTTTAATATTACGTTATATGTTCTTTGTTTTCATAGTGCCACTGTAATAAACAATTTTACATTTGCAGACTTGTGATAATGAACCTTGTAAATATTTCCAATGGGAAGTCTCTCCATGTTCCTTATCGAGACTCAAAACTCACTTTTTTGCTTCAGGTAAAGTGCTATATTTAAGTGAAGTTGACTTTTTGAAGTAAATTTTGTTACTATAGGAGTCCTTATTTGTAGGATTTGAGTGGCCACAGGACATTTCACCTAAACAGTATTTTTGTAAATATATAATATTTTCTTTTCTATTGATATTGTTTAATTTCCTGAATCTGCTATGTAACAGAAAGTTAATAATGTTTTGATATTTTCTTTCCAGGATTCTCTAGGAGGGAATTCAAAAACAACCATAATTGCAAATATTAGTCCATCTAATTGGTTAGTAGAATATATTGTGTGTTTCTGCCCTAGTTGGCAGATTTAAATTTCACTTCTAAATTCCATTTGCATGAATGAATTCGGTTTTTCTCTGTAGTTTCCACAATGATCTGAAATTTACATGTATTATAATTTTGTATTTCATTGAGCTCAATTTACTTTGTTAGAGTAAATAACTATAAATGACAATTTTTCTTTTTCTCTTCTGGGCATCCTCTGCAGTTGTTCGCTCGAGACACTAAGCACGTTGAAGTTTGCACAGCGGGCTAAATTTATTAAGAACAATGTATGAGATCTTTGCTTGGTTACTATGCAGGGCTTACACATCATTCAAGTGACTATCTTCCTCTGTTTTTTTTTCTTCGAACATCAAATACACTCAGCATATTTGGTGATTTCAATTCTCAATGGGAATTGGTGCAAACCCTTGAGCCTGACTTTGTAATCTATACCTCTATACTAATAATAAAGCCCCTTTTTTTAATATAAAATGGGCATAGCCCATGGGGTAATAATAAAGCCTTTGACTGAGTTTGGTGTCATACGTCGAGTGACACAAATTCAGTTAGAGAAATTACAAAAAAAATTATTCTAACAAATATATAGTTAAAAATGTTTGTCTTTTCATTTTGAAAAAACTATGTACGACTTCAAAAAAACTGTCCCTTTTTCAGATATTATAATTTCTTTTAAAATACAGCTTTTTTTTAATACATAATTTTTTCCACCACATAGTTGGTGTTTTAATTTCTAGTTAATACTTAATGCTTTTGACTTTTGGTTGCCATTTTTATGGAAACATATCGAATTAATGGCTTGTAGGCCGTGGTAAATGAAGATGCATCTGGAGATGTTGTTGCTATGAGGCTGCAAATTCAACAGCTGAAGGTATAATCTTGTTTATTTTATGCTCTTTATCTTCGAAAGTACCCTTAAAGTGCTCCTCCTGCAATCAATAATTTTATTGTAAAAATAACCTATTTGCTCAACTTCTATATATCAACATGAGTTCCATTCTACTACTTTTCTCCCCTGGATTTCACTTTTATTGAGGAACCATTGACCACACTGGTAATGTTTGAACAGTACTGTAAGTCTTATGTTTTGATTTTTCTTCCCTGAAAAATAAAAGTAAAATTAGTAAATGTTAATTTAGGAAATTTCAAGCAGCAAACATAATCTCCTGCAACCAATAATGTTATTTTTAAAGATATTTGCTCAACTTCTATTTATCAGCCTAAGTTTCATTCTACTTCTTTTTCTCCGCTGAAGTTCCCTTTTATTGAGGAACCATTAACCACGCTGGTAATGTTTGAATAGTGTTGTAAACACACTGCTACTGCTTTTTCTTCCCTGAAAAAATAAGGTAAACTTAGTAAATGTTAATTTAGGAAATTTTAAGCAGCAAGCACAGTCTTCTGTTGAATGAATCCAAGTCATGCCAAAGTTTAAATGATTTATTTTATTTATTTCTGTTGCATGATTCCCATATTCTTTCAGGTTTCTAGTTATTCACTTATCCTTACATTATTCAAAATTTTGTTTTCCAGAAAGAAGTATCTCGTCTACAAGGTTTCGTTGATGGAAGAAGTGAAAATCTGGAGAATGATATGTTGGCATTAAGTTTTCCAGCATCACCAGGACCTTTTAAGTGGGAAGGTCTTCACGGATCATTCAGTCCACTTACAGCTGATAAAAGAATGTCTCAGGTATGCAGAAATCTTGTTTAATTGAGGAAATGCCTGTTCTAGAGTTGTTGTTAAACTATTTTTTTCTCTTCCTATTATGATTTTGTATTCCAGAAGAAAGATTATGAAGTTGCTCTTGTTGGGGCCTTCAAGAGGGAAAGGGAGAAAGAAGCTGCTTTACAGGCACTGACTGCTGAAACTCAGGCAGCTATGCAGTTGGTATGTTGAGAGAATTACCTTTTTCTTATTTTATAGGTTCCAGTCTTCAGGGCTGGGTTAACAATTAATTTTGAATTAAACAAGTGAGTAGAAAAAAGGTTGCTGAAACAAAGGAAGTTGCTAGATTTAAATTTATAAAGTTTGGTATTTAACCTTGAGGAATAGGATATGCTTAAATTAGAATATGTAGAGGAATGTTGGGAGCTTTTGTTGTTTACTTAGGTATTCAAAGTATGATGTAATTTGATAACTTATTAGAAGTAAAATTTGGTACTTTGTGTTGATAGGCAAAACAAAGAGAAGATGAGATCCAAAGCTTGAAAATGAGGTTACGTTTCCGAGAATCAGGAATTAAGAGGCTGGAGGCTGTTGCTTCTGGAAAGATTTCTGCCGAGACACACTTATTGAAAGAGAAGGAAGAATATTTGAAGGAAATTGAGGTTTTACGAGCTCAAGTTGATCGCAACCAAGAAGTCACTAGATTTGCAATGGAGAATTTGCGACTGAAGGAAGAGATTAGAAGGCATGTTTTACTGATGCAACTATAGATTCTCCATTTTACTCTTCAATCATTTTTCAATTTTTTACTTGTTCAATTGAGAAAATAGGATTCGATTATAAATTCCAAACATAGCTGTTATTATGAGCAAATAAACCAGTGCTTACGTGATGAATTCTTATACCCTGAAAGAAAATCCATCTTGTAAAGTGTTTGAGGCTTTAAAAACAAAAGGAAAAAAAACCTTTGTGACATCATAATTTTCTAAATGGCAAAGGAGATGTATTATCTTCTTTCTTACATGTAATGTCAGAATAAATCCCATCCTTATCCTTATTGGTTTTGATGTCAGATATCTGTCTCACTTGCATGATTACATTTAATTTTCAATTTTTGCTTCCTTTGGCTTCTAATATTACAAGTTATTTATTCTTCCTTGTATGAGCAGGAATAAATGAACACTAATATTATGTGTCTGATGTTTGTTGCTACTCACAGATTAAAGTCCCTTTGTGATGAAGGTCAGCAGGAGATGATGAATGAACAGATTAAGGTGTTACACAATAAGGTGCAAAAATAAGTTCTTCAAATATTTTTCTAGTCTTTAAGTTCATGGTTGATATTGCTCTTTAGTGCAAGTGTTGCTTACTCCATTGACTAATGTGCAGTTGCTAGAGGCACTAGATTGGAAACTTATGCATGAATCAGATTCCTTAGCAATTGAGGTTCTTTCTAAACTTTGTCATGACTCATGAATTTTAAGATGAGTTAATTTTGCAGAGAAATTTTGTAATCTTGGTTTTCCAATGTTCATGCAATGCAGAAAAATTCTAAAGTGGTGTCAGGACTTACTGATGATGGCAATCAACTGATCTCTAGACAGGTTTGTTCGTATTATCCATTGTCTTCCAAGTTCCTGGTGTGGTTATTTTCTTATGCATCTATATATCTTTGGAAACTGTTTGCATTCATTGAATATAATCTGAATTAACACAACTGAGCTAGATACTTTTCCAACATAGAGTGGGTTATCTTATATAATTGTAATATCTTAATGAATAAACTGCTCTTTGTTGTGTACTTTCTGTAACTTAATTCTTATGATCTAAATAAATTGTTCCTAAATTTTTTTGGAATTATATTTTTCTTGTCCATGCAATGAAAGTAAAAGTTTGTTATCCACTTAAGGAGTAAGGTTCTTGATTTTTACATATTTCTAAATAAGATTCTACAGAAAAGACATTAAAGATACGAAAAAGGAAGGATGGAAATGCCAAATCCTATAGAAAAATATTATGATTCTTGGTTCTTTTTCATCCATGATTATAGAAATGGACTTTAACATCTCAGTCTCAGGCATGTTTCTTTGGTGATGGAACTAATCATTAGCTGTAGTTCAAACTAATCCTATAGAACAATATTATGCCTTTTTGACATGTTTTGTGTGCTCTACTTAATGGTGTCATAATCTTCATTGACATTTGGGCATGGTTTGCTGTTACTTGTGCTACTTGCTTCTGCTTTTAGAATCAAAAAGAAAAAGATGCACACGGTTACGAAAGCAAATAGGATGCTTGAGTTTGAACAAAAATTCTCGTCTTTCGCAATGTGTCTTTTTGCACAAAAATCTACTATTACATAGTTCTTGCCTGAAAAAAATTGATATATGAAAACAGGAGCAAGATTCCACTTGGTGCTCCTCGCTTAAGGAGGAAAATGAATTCCTTAGAATGCAGGTAGCTATGCTTGGATGAACTATTGCTTTGAACCTGTTCTTCTAGTAAAATGGAGTTCAGGGGTTCATTGATAAATGTTTTCTCTTTTAACAGGCCATCCACAACAAGGCTGAAATGGATGCACTGCAGAAAAAACTTGAATTTTGCCTTGAAGAGAAGGAAGAGTTGGAAAGGTGTGCTCCTAGCTTAAGAAATATGTACAATTCCAAGAAACTTTTAGTCATGTAGCATCATATATCGATAAGCATTGGCTACAAATTAATTTAGCAATTTCGCAGGTATGTTAGTGATCTACTTAAGAAACTTGAAGAAGAAAGATCTTCAAGACCAGAGAAAGAAGACATACAGCAAACAGAGCTTAGTTCATTGTCAGTGGATGTGCCAATGGTCAAACTTAATGACCAAATGGAGCTTAAAACAATGGTTGATACCATAGCAGCTGCAAGTCAGAGAGAAGCAGAAGCTCTTGAGAAGGCATTTAAGTTGTCTCAAGAGAATGATGAACTGCGATTAAAGCTTAAGGGCTGTGTTGAGGATAACAAACAACTCCTTGAATTATATGAACAGAAAGTTGCTGAAACAAATTATAAAAGTTTGAACGAAGGTGACACTACTCATGAAAATGACATTACTGATCACACCGATGCTGGTTTAGATGAACATGGTGAAGAAACACAGGTCCAGTTGAAAAAGGTTGTTGATAACCTTGAGCAACAGCTTACAGAAATGCATGAAGAAAATGAAAAATTGATGGGTTTGTATGAAAGAGCCATGCAGGAGAGAGATGAATTCAAAAGAATGTTTTCTTCTGGAGCTCTGATCAGAGGGGAGGCTAGAGAATTTGAATGCCCAGAGAAGCTAGTTGAAGTTGATGGAGGAGAAGACAGCTTGGATAAACCTCAAGTCCAGTTTGAGGCTAAGGATTTAGAGGGGGAAACTGGCCTCCTTGGATCAAATATGCAGGATGCAGGAGAAAGTCTAAAGTTGAATAGGCTTGGTGCTATTGAAGTGATTTCCGATTTGGAGGTGCATGCAGATCTTCAATCAGAAGCAGGGAATCAGATTGATGATACTACCACTTCTTACATGAAAATAGACCAACTAGATACCACTACTGCAAAGCTGTCAGAATATTTAAATTCCACTACTGCAAAGCTGTCAGAATATTTAAATTCTGCCAGAGCAATACTGGAACGGGCACAGGAAAAACTTTCAGATTCTGCCAAGACAATTACTGAATTTGGTTCCCTTGAGAGAGCGTTCTGTGAGATTGATCAGCTTTCCAGAGAAATAGAAGTAATGGAAGGTCGGATAAAGGAGAAGCAGCAACACCTTGAATCTGTTGCACTCCTTTCTTCCGAAACAAAAGAAAAAAAAGCTCTAACCGATAATAAGTTATCAGCACTCAAACACTCTGTGTCAAGCTTTTCTTCTTCAGTTGCTTACATTGAACAGCGAGAAGATCGGGCGAGAACAAGGTTAAATGCTTCTTTGTCCTACTTGGACAAAAAGAAAGAGGAATTGGCCCATCTTAAGAAATCCAAGGGTGAAATTGAGGCTTCCTTGGGTAAGATGCGGGAATCTGAAGCTGAAGCAAGGAGCAATATTGTCCTCCTGAAATCAAAACTCGAGGAAGAAAGTAGAAGACACGAGAATGACAAGGTTTTATTTGCCATTGATAACTTGGACAAAGTAGACTCCTCGCAGAGAACTTTGTGTTTGGGTGGTAAAGCTACCGAGTTACTAAAGACAGAGGTAGAGAAAAGCAAGCTGCAAAATGAGATTAAGTTGTCACGAGAAAGTTTGGCAACCATAAAAATGAGACTCCAGGATTTGAATAAGAAGCTTGTGAAGGTAGAGAATGACATGGAGGCTGTCATACTGGAAGTACAGAAAGGATCAAAGTCCGTGGAGGAGTTGGAGCTTGCGCTGGAAGGTGTAATCCAAGAAAAGGAAACCCTTGTCGAGATTGGAGAGAATGGGAAGACTGAAATTGGTAATTTGATCCTTGAATACCAGCAGCACATGTTTAACATTGATCTGACAGACGCAGAGATGAAGGTGATGGATGCAGAATTGCAGCTTGACCTAGGGAGACTGGAACAGTTGCAAACACTGAGAGCGACAACTGCCAAGAAGGTGAAGGAATTGGCTTATTCAGGTTTCTTGTCGGAAAAGTTGGAAGCAGATATACAAAGTGTTCGTGCAACTTTTGAGGAGGCAAAGACATTGTTAGGATTGGATCATTAAAATGACAGGTAATCCTTGTTTTTAACGGCCTTGATGTTTTCCACATTAATGCATAATTCAATCCTGTCAAATATGCATGCACTGCTCAATTAACAATTCCTTCTTATTAATGTTCCAAGTTTGTGCTATCCGTTACTCAATTGTTTCACTTTCATAATAGTAAATTGTCTTCGATCCATTTTGATGAGGGCTTCTATTTGCACCACTAATTTTGCCACCCTTCACCTTTTATTTTTCTAAATTATCTTCAAATGAAATTATTTAATCTTTTTATTTTTGAAAAAGTTTTCGAATATAAAAATCCAATAAATTAAATAACATATCATATATCTGACAGTTTATTCAAATCTGTGAGGTAGAAGTTTTTAAGAAAAATTATAAAAAAGAGGATTTTATTAGAAATTTTTATTAATGGATATAATAAAAAAAGTTATTTCAATAAAAAGTAATTATAAATTTTAAAATTAATAAAAAGAAAGTTCATTTTGTTATTTTGATCTTAGGGAAAAATTATTATAAGGTAAAAATGAAATAGTAAATGCAATAATTTTATAAATTTAAAAGTGACTTCGATTATTGCCAGATTTTTTTTAATAGAAAGAAAAAAAATTCAATAATAATTGAAGTCTTCTTTAATAATTAATATCCAGAGAAAAATATTTATAAAAAAAAGAAATAATAAATTTTAAATTTATGAAAAGAAAATTGCATTTACAATTTTATTTTTAATTTAATTAGAGTTTTTATAAGACTATTCTTTTTCTATAGTCAAAATAAAAAAATCAACCTTCTTTTTATTAATTTTAATGTTTATAACTTCCTTCCAATGATAATTTTTTTATACCGATTAATAAAAATATCTAATTAAATCCCTTTTGTAATTCTCCTTAAAAATTTTCAAAACTAGCTTACGGATATCATATATCCGATAATTTTATAATTTATTAGATATAAATATTGTAAGTTATTTAACTTAAGAAATTTTTATATCCAAATAATTAAGTAATTTTATTTAAATATAATTTTAAAAAAAATATAAAGGCGTGGAGAGCAAAAATCCCGTGCAAATAGAAGCCCTCCCTCTTGATTTATAAGAAAATTTTCGTAATTTGTTGCTTATTTTATTAATTTTATGATAAAAAATAATTAAATTATGTACATTAAAAAGAATTTTTTAAGAATTTATTTTTTATACATCATTAATAACTTTACAAGCAGTGGGCTTAAGAGATTTGATAAATATATCTTATAGATGAATATGTCACTTTACTAATATTTTAATAGGGTTTAAAAACTCTAATAGCTGTGATCCTGGAGATGGTATAATTTTTTCTTTTAAAAACAGACTTCTTTTTAGCGTAGGCTTTGTTTGGTTTTTTTGTTTTCCTATCACTCCTACTGACACTGTCACTATTCACTTCTGTGGATAATAATTTTTTTTCCTTTTAAAAGTGCTACCTCACTCAAATCTCACAAAATTAGTATAACTCTTTTTATTTGCAGTTTTTTTTTAATGAAAAAAAAAGGAATTGATTGTGTGATTTTAAGTTTTTATGATTTTGAAATTTGGATTGATTTTAGGTTTTGGAAATGATCAACTGAGGATTTGACATTTGAGTTTGAAGACAAGCTAATACTATGAATGGTTTTAATTTTTTATAAAAAAAAAAAATGTATAAAACAATAAAATATATCAAATAAATAATTTTATTTAAAATTATGAGATTTTTTTAAAAATCAAATATTAAACAATATGTTTCATCGAAATAAGATATAATACATCATTAAAAGTTGAAACTTAAAAGTTAACATTTTTTACTATTATGAAGAGGATTCAATCTTGTTTTTCTATAAAAAATTGTGTGATAACTAAAAAAGTGCTCTAGGATAAAATTGAAAGCACAGAATTTATATAAAAATGAGTAATTATAGTCTGCCGAATATGAACATGTTTCACAGCATAGGAATATAAATGAATTGATTATGATAAAATAATTTTATATTCATGATCTATTTATTCAATTCACAAATATTAAAATGTTATTTATAATTATTTATTAAATTTTACAATTGAATAAAAATAGAGTATATTCATAAATTATTCATTCAACGCTTTATTTATTTGTATCTCGAATGTAAATGAATCGAAATTAAATAAATTTTATTATGTTTATAATATGTTTATTTTATTAATGAATTTAAAAATATTATACATGATCATTTATTAAATTTAATAAATAAAAATATAAACATCGTGTTTATGAATTGTTCATTGAACTTTTGTTACTATTTACACATTCATTTATGCATGATTGGACACTTATGATGTATTTGGTATGCAAAATTATGATAATATAAAATAAAAATATATTATGAATAGAATTAGATTGATAATATTATCTTATCTTATGTTTAATGTATACAAATATTAAGATAAGATAATTTATTTATTAATCAAAGTTATTGAGAGGATTAAATTATCATATGTCAAAATGATGATCAATCTTTCTTGTAATTTTATATATTTTTTTAAATATAAATTAAATATAATATAAATTATTATCATCTTATCGTATCTGTTATCTTATATATCAAATATAATCTTAAAGTCTTGTTGAAGAAACTAAAAAACTAATTTGACTTTTATTAAATTGACATAATTACAATTTATCCCTTGAGATAAACCTACTGATTTTAAAGATTTATAAGAAATGAATGATTGGTACAATACATAAACAAATAGTAATGTAATTTTAACTCCTTAAACGGTGATAAATAAAAATTAGATTATGGGATCACACTAAATAAAATTAACAATTTCAGTTTAAGGGGCAATTGAAATTTATTTAATATGATTAAGTAAATGAGGTTTATAAAATTTTTGGGCCAAGCCCTTCTAACTTCAATTATCATCCACCTATAATAGGGCTTTTACTTGCTCCAAAATAAAGCATGGAAGCCATATGGAAACCGCCTTGGCAGCTTAACAACCGCCACAATGTCAAGTTCAAGAGATTTGGCATCCATTATTAAGAATTTTGATTCATTAGCCTTCTCATCCTGCACATAGTTCATTACATACCCTTCATCTTCATAACAATCGCTGTTTTCTGTATCTTTCTTTTGTATCCAGATCGACTTTGGGATGAGCAGTCATGTTGGACCTCAAATTTTTCTCAAATTCCCAACGTACTACAGGCTCAATGTCACCGTCTTCTGTTAGATTGATAATATATGGTAAATCAGACTTGCAAAGAGCAAAGAGTTTATTCGAAAAGAAGCCAAGGCCAATATGGGTCACGCCGAAGCCTTTCATCAGATTAAAATATATGGCCTATCATGATCCTCCTTGTATCCATAACAAATCGAACAATGTCATTTTCATCAGATTAAGCCATCGAACTTGGTGTCATTGTCTAGGCGATCAAGTAGCCAAGATGGCAATTAGCACATTTTGATCATTTTTAATGTTTTTTCTTTTCTTTTTCACCTTCTCTTGTTATGCTTCATTTCTTTTTCGCGCTAACAGCATCGCAGAAATTAAAAATTGACTGATAATGTGATAATGCTACACGAGAAGCATCCAAATATACCCAATTTCGAAGAACCAATAAAGTTACATCATACCTCGCTTTTATCATATATTTTTCTCCATAAATAACTTCATCTGTTTCCTTTGGCTTGCCATACTAAATAACCTCATTGTCCACGACAAATGATTCTCAGCGACCGATAAAAAAAAATTATAAAACTCCCTCGAAGTCTCCTTTTTAGCGGTTGGACAATCATTGCATTTAAAGTTTCAACTCACATTTCTTATGTGGCATTTTATCAAACACCGAACATGCAAAATCCACCCAAATTTAAAATAATAGTTTGCAAAATCAAGTTCTATTAAAATTCAAGTGTTTACACAGATATTACTCATGTACAATGTTACTTTATACATACATATATATATATATATATATCCAAGAAAGCAACCATTGCTTTAGCAAGAAATTATCAACCTATGAAACATCAATGCATTATGATAGAGTTCATGTAAACAATGGAACAAAAAGATTGCATCCAACGTAGAGTCACTTGTTTTGGACAATTGAAAATTTTTTATTTAAAAAATCCAAAGAAAGCAGAGCAAGTTTTGAATAAATAAGAAGCAAAATAAAAAAGAAAAGAAAATACAACCAACAATTATTGGTTTATACCCCAGTTCTTGCAAAGAGAATTGTTTGAATACTTAACGAACATGTGAGAATTAGAACAAATTGATTTAATCAAAAGAATGAAGATATCCTTTATACACAAAATAGTTTTTTAAATAATATGATCTGATTTTCCAATATCTCCCTTGATAAGTTTGTTTCTGACACAAAAGTAGCATTTCCCCTTAGACTTGGTTTTCTAGCTCGGTGACAAAATTAGAATGCTGCACCCCAGTAGATTTAGAAAACATCCCTCCGATGAATTATCCTTCATGATCTCGTAGCACACCACCTACAGAAGTAGTACCAGACTTTCCCTTAGTCGATCCATCGACACTAAGCTTCATAGAACCAATTGAGGTTGGAGTTCGGTGAAAAAAATTATATTTAATACATTATCAGTGTAAATATCTTATAAACGATCATAAAATCATATGTTGCCCTTAAAAATAAATATAAACAAATTTAAATATTTAATTGAGTAAAGAAAATCAAGATCAATATGAGAAACAGAAGCCCCTAATTTTACTAAAAACTCCCTTCTTAAAATTAAAACAAGGAAAACAATCACAAAAGTCCAATTTTAATTTGAAACATAGAAAGCCAATTAGAAAAACCCTAAATTCAATATATAATCATTTACACCAAAGGTTTGATAACCTACTTCAAATTAATCAAGAAAATCATACAAAGACAATCATTTTCAGATTATTTTTAGCGAATGTAATTTTAGAAAGTAGAAGATTTGGATAACTTAAAAAAAATGTCTTGAATGCATGCGTTAACCCAACCCATTGCTTGATGAAAAGAAAAAAAAATGTTCATAACCTCTTGAAGCCGTTAATCTCAAGGCTATCTTCATTGATTTATTTTCTGATCATAGAACCATTATGAAACTTGAGTTGGATGGATGTGCAGATGATTCAACTAGAAGGGCAAAGACTAAAAACAAAATA